TCAAAAAAGAGGCCAAAGAGAAGCGTGTACGCGAGAGAGAGGTCAAAAAATTGCAGACTAAATTGGCCAAAAAGGAGCAAAATAAGGAGAATTCACCCCCCAAATCACTACTCCCAGCAAATCAGGACCCATATTTTGAATCTTTGATGTCTGAAGTAGATAAATACCCTATATTTGGGGACTTTTAACGAGAGAATATGATCAAATTAGGGAGATAGTTGGAATCGCGAGATCCTGGGGCGGTCGGATTTGCTGTGCAAATCCGACCGCCGCCGGCTTACGTAAAGGGGTTAAATACAAGCACGACTCTTTTCTAAGTTCTTCCACCTTCGATAACTTCAAATTGTTCAACTAGCGTCATGACACAAACATCATGGCTAAGAGACCTACGGTCCTCAGAAGGGTTTGTCGTTCTGACGGTTTCTATAGCAATATTCACTGTGGGTTACTTTGTTGTTGTTTTTGCTGCGATCGCTGATTGACAAACTAGGATACTTTCATATATGGCATGGTTCGCACGTATCACATCCATGCGTGTTGTTTCGAGGGCTGATTTTTTTCTTTCTTTCATAAGATTATCCCAATTATCCCAGTTGCATTGGTTGACCGAGTTGGCGCTCGTCCTGAAGATGGTAATTCTCACGATACTCTCAGATTCTAACATGTCAGGCTAACACTGCCGTCGTGCTTGAAAGCCCAGTCTTTGGTCTCTATACTACTAGCCATATACGGCGGTAGTCTTCTGATCGGATCACGTAAGTGGATAGATGCCCGTCTGTGTCGCCTATGGAGACCGTACAGGATTCTAAAAGTTTCAGCTTTATTTGGATATCTCGCGGATCAACATCGTTCGAGAAAACTCCCGTTCATCCTTGGTCTCACCGCTCTTGGAACTTCCACGGCGCTTTTTGCTTTTGCCAGAACATTTTATATCATGGTCATTGCAAGGTGTCTCCAGGGACTCTCTGCAGCAGCCGTCTGGGTAGTTGGATTGGCTATTATTGTCGATAATGCGCCATCTGAACGTGTCGGCGCTGCTATTGGAGAGACCACCATCGGTCTGACGTGGGGATTAATCATGGGACCTATGGTGGGTGGGTATATCTACGACAAATTCGGATACTACGGATCGTTTTCGATCCCCGCTGTCTTGATTACTCTGGATGTGGCCTTGCGATTTGTTATGCTTGAAAAGCCGAGTATGTTTCCGCGACGCATCATGCCGAACCTTGCAGTCTTTCTTACTATGATAGATTCCTCCAAGCAAAACAAACCGGAGCGAAGCCTACATCCCCGGCATATTAGCTCTCGGAGCAATATTGACGATACATCCAATGAGCAACAGACTGGGGTGGCTCATCAGAGCTTGATGTGTCAAAACAGTGACGCCGAACAAGCTCCGCTATTGCAATCGTCGTCGGGTCCCGATGAAGTTACAAAGACGAAACAACAAAAAGCTACGATTTTACATCTATTACTGACTCCCAGGTTGCCCGTGGCATTACTTGCCACACTATCTATGGCAATGATATTTTCATCTTTGGAGACTGTAGGTACACCTGATACTTCGACATGGTTAAGAAGCCATAGCGCCTCGGATCGCTAACTTTCTTTCAACTGCATTAGGTTCTTCCACTATTCACTATTGAAACATTTGGCTGGTCCTCTAGTGGAGCAGGTCTCATTTTTATCGCCTTGTCTGTGCCAAGCTTTGCCGGGGTGCAGATTGGCAAAGTTGTCGATCGCCTAGGGGTTCGCACCCTGGGAACTTTCTCCTTCGTAATCGGCGCCTGCGGATGGGGTTTAATGAGACTCGTCACGGACAACACTATACCACACGTGGTCCTACTTATCTCACTTCTATTCATCCTTGGCCTATCAATCACAACCTCCGAAATCTGCGCCATGATAGAAGTTTCGCAAGTGGTTGATGACTACGAGGCTGAGAACCCCGGGGCATTTGGAGATAAGAGCCCGATCGCACAGTCGTATGCCTTGTTCAACATGGCATTTGCCGGGGGCCAGCTTCTTGGGCCACTGATTGCTGGATCTATTCGAGTGAACGCGGGATGGGGCATCATGACTTTGGTCCTTGCGATCGCGTCTGGTGCGACAGCCCTTCTCTTTGCATTTCTCGGTGGTCCCCAGCGGAAAGCAACTGAAGCTGAACCGGAGACTATGGCAAGCTAGATACTGGCTTTTTTTATAGTGGCCTTTTGGCCTAGTTGGGGAAGTGCGTCCCTAACCGCACTCCTTACAAATGGTTTCTTTTCTACTTAAGACAGCATAAAGTTAAGTTGCAAATGAAATAATTATTTATATATTTCTCGGCGAAACAAATAAACTATTAAGATTCTCAAAATCCATGCGCATGCCTCGGGCTTCTGAACACCTGGTGTTTCCCATGAGATGGCTTGCTGGAAATGGCATGGGCTACGGGAGGTCATCCAACTTTAGAATCAGTTAACCAAATTGAAATGAAGTTTTTATATGACACGTCCACGTCCAACGAAAATCTTGAAAGATCTCCAATATGACAAGGGTATTTCGAATCCTCGCAACTATTACACTACATCTTTCTGCGGGAGTATCTGGTTCATCTTCTTCACTTCCATTTTACTTTCTCCCTCGCACTCCCTCACTTGTGCTCTTCGCCACACCCCATCGCTCCTAATCTTTTTCACTTCATTATTTGTTCACTTCACGAGCACTCACACCCTTACTCTGGCACTACAACGGAATTTACTTCCCTCTTCACTTCGCTTCACTCTTCCTTTATCTGTCACGCATCTGACTGACACACTGTAGCGAACGGGCTAGTAAGGGCAACGTGAGCGGCTGATTTCTTACAGGATATCGTGTGATACGCCAAGGAAGCTGCCAGCTGAAAACCTTCCACTCTGCAGCTCTTCGACGATGCAAACGTACCTCCCGTGGAGGGGCCCTCGACAACATCCCACAGGGCCCAACCAGAAAATGACAATCGGCCCATGCAACCTCCAGCTCCTCTTCCAGGGAAGAGACCCGAATGCCGGTAAGGACTACAAGAATTATCGTCGCATGCTGACCTCTGTGAGCGTCATTGACTTCTTCACAAAGAAGATCCTCGTCGACAGTCTTGTTGAGCCGGCAGACAAAGTTGGGGACTGGTCACCAAAACTGAATGAGGTGACAACGCTCTCTGTTCCAAAAACAACATCCCACACCGCAACGCCAAGAAATGGATTGTATCCTAAACCGAAGGCCAATGGTAAGCATCATTGAAAGTGGACGCGCATGTGCAAAACCTCGACGCACCGACCGGCCTCGTCGGCCGAGACGTACCGCGATTTCGATGTTGATACCCAGAAGGAATGGATCATGGTTGAAGCCCGATTGGGGTATTTCGAGGCAACCCGGCACGCAATGAAGGCTCTGCAAAAGATGTCCACTGAGACGTAGGTCGCCCGGCATTTTGACCACTACGCACAAGACTTACCATGCACCTAGATTTCCATTGAATGAGACAATTTGTGGTTTGTCGGCCAACATCGGGGTCCCTGAATACATTCGATCTCGATCCAAGGCCGACGCGGGTATCGTTGAGAGCCTGACAATTAGTATTATGAAGAGTCACTCGCTCATGACCTATCTGCAGGGCGATTTCAAAGATCGGGGTGGAGATGTCGCGTTCAAGACGCGGGTTACAGGCATTGAGGCTGTGGACAGCGGGCGCAGAGGGTATAAAATCACTGCTGTTTCGGATGAAGTTCGCAGACGACCGTCATGCTACCAGTAGCCGGCGTCTACAGAACGTACATACGCGAATATGGTGTGAATTCCACTCTGCGAGGGGAACGAAAGCCGCTAGCGATGTTCGGGTAATCCATCACTGGGATGAGTGCGTGGCAAAAGCAAGGCAGGCAATGAACACTTGCACACTAACACACGGACATAGTCCAGCGGAGGTATACATCGGATTACAACCTCGGTGTTTTGGCGAGCGGGCCTTTGAAGTAGGCATCAATATATCTACCGGTTATTCTGCCAGTTTTCCCACATGCACATCTCTAATTGATCATCAAAGCAAGGGAGCGCTAAGTCTAATGAGATAAACAGTGTTGTCTTTTTCTTCCCCCAAAATATGACAGTTGACTGACGGTGATCACATCCTATTAAAGGTAGAGTGGGGTCATGTCGAATTCCCCCGGTCACGGGTGATCATCTCCTGAGAAAACACCGTGTTGATAGAATTGACAGCTAGTTATACGAGTAGTTACAGAATCCAGGAAATGATTTGCATCAGCCTTACCCACTTCAGCAGCTGCATAGCCGAGGCAAGTTAGTACCAGGAAAAGACCCTGTTTCAATTAGAGCTTCTTTAAACACGGGATCATGGTATGGAATTTAGTAATTACTTAAGTAGTTCAGGGTGATAGGCCAGTTGACGGGAGCTAAAGATATACTTAGATCTGTCACACCGAGCAGTGGAGAACTATGCGCTTCGGGAGTTGTGGGTGTTCGAACTACCGCGAGGACGCACCAGATCAGGAAGCTCGTCCGATGGAGGTAGTAGTCAATTCGGGCTGTTTCGAAACTAGGTCCCTGAACATACGCAGAGCTCCTCATAAAGAGTTTGATCCAGTCTAATTGAGCCTGAGGCGTTGGCATCGATGTACGAGTAGATCCTGTTGCCATATTCTAATGCGAACTAAACTGCTCTTAATACCACTGCTTACACCTCTCAATCCCCCGCTGCATTCAAACATAACCTAGAAAATTGTATAAAAATCTCAGCTGCACTTTTAAAAGGGTTATAACAAAGTTGTCTTGTATTTCTTAAAGATCAATCTCTGCGATAGAAATAACAAGTGGTCCCCCGAAATCTCAGTCTTTCTAAAGTTCTTCTCCTGAGGTCCTTACGACCCAGATTCTCTATATCAATCGGGCACTTTAGCATGAAGTGTAGCCTACTTGATAACAGACTTCGCATTGTCAGATAGAGATCAAGAGCGTCGCAATTAGAGGGCATCTGCGATGGCGTTGTAGGCAGCCTTGGGGTTATAGCTCCCATCAAAAAGCAATGGGCTGGAGCTGGAGCGCCATGAATCCTGCAGACAGAATATGTGACATCAGTATACAATGTTGCGTTCTCTTTGGTGAATATGGCATTTACCGGGTCAGCGACTCCCCAAACAGTGATCCCAACACACTTTGGCTGGTTCAAGCAGGCGTTGACAACCTATGCAGATGATTATTAGTTGTGACCTCAATCGGACTCGCATTGGAATTTTGGAACAAACATCAACATAGTCGCCAGAGCCGGCATTAGCAATATCAAGTTCAGTGATAGCAACCTCCTTGGTTCCGGCAGTAGCAAGAGCATTCAGAGCTGTGCAAGATTGTCAGCTAATGGTAAGTAGATAGAAGATAAGGAGTACTTATCCTGAGACTGCTGCACCAGCGCCGGCGCTCAAATGAGTCTGCGACCCTGAATAGGGGTGAGTGGTCATACACGGTGAAACACAACAGGGGGTGTATCTTACCAATTCCGTCGATTGGGACACCGGCAGCAATCCATTTCTTGACGTGACTGATCATGCCGCTTGTCTTCGAGTAGGAGGCGGAGTCGAGACTTTTCAAGGTCAGAAGATATGCAATACTGTTAAGTTAAGGGGCATCTCACTTGTAATCATTGATGTAGAGCTTCGCATTTGGGTCCGTAGCACGGGCTGTTTCGAAGGCGATCCGTACAAAGTCTTCTCCAATTACATTGTAGAAGACGCTGTCGCGTAGAGAGCCATCCTCGTTGAAGATTTCGTTGACAACGTCCTTGAATAAGTTAGTCAAGTGGCGTGGGAGGGCTGAGGCTAGTGGCTTCACATACCCAGGCGTAGATCTTGCCCTTGTAACGGTTCATCACAGTGGTAATGTGATTCTTCAGGACATCGATCAAGGTTGCTCTATCTGTGATGGAAGACACCCAAGACGGGAGCTGCGAGTGCCACACTTGACGAGTTCAGCTAGTTCCTTTCCTTCAAGAGTCCGGGATCTCAGAACTTACCCAGAGTATGGCCACGAATCAGCTTTCCATTGGACTCTGCAAAGTCGACCTAGACCCTTTGTCAGAAACACGAGGAGAAAGGATGTAGGATTCATACCAGATAGTCCGATCCAGTGAAAGAGAATTGGCCCCGGTTTGCTATTTTCTGTCTTAGATTCACATACTTTAGTTGCTTCGTAAATGATCATACTTACGCTCAGTAGCATCCCACTTCATGCTGTTCTCGGGAGTCACTTGACCGAAATTGGCCTTGATGATTGCGGGCGTCTTTGCGTTTTTGGTCAATGTGGTCTGGTCACCAATATTTCCGAGATACTTCTTTCCGTGAGCCTTGAACTTGGCATCAATGCTCACAGAGGACTGTCGAGATTCAACGGGTCCGGAAAGGGCTTGACCAGCAAAGAGAAGAGCCAGAGTGGCTGCCTTGAATTGGACCATGTTGAGAATCGCGTTGAAATATATAGACTCGAGGAATGAAAACGAGAAGAATATAGAAACCGACCGTCTGGAGGGGTTGGAGAGACTATTTATGTCTACTTAAGTACAGGTAGGGCAAACGCTAGCTTGTCGTTGAACAAGACGGTCATAGTGAAGTATTAGATGGATGGAGTTGTTTTCCCGACCTAATGTGTAAAATCTGTTTCTTTCACCAATGCGGAACGGAGATTGCCTATTCAATCCAACGCCCTAGTATTCGACTTTATCACCTTCTGCCTAAATGGTTGTGTAGTGACAGAAATATGGTAGATCTGCAGGTAGGTCTCTGCGTATTTATCCAGAACATCTTACAACAACATTGCCGGACACCTCACAGAAAATAAAAAAGCTGCATATCACTCCTGAAGTCTTTTTCAAAATTTTCTAAAAAATCGCCAGGCTCATGGTTTTTATCAAGAAAAAATTCGATGTTACCATTCTGAGACCCATGCAGTATGGGTTGCTGATCATAGGCACCATCAGCTCGTCGAGCTCTGTTCGACTGAACAGGCCTCCTTTAAAGTCTAGCCTCTACGTTCAATTATTGAAGGACCACGAATCCTTGGCTTGTGTTCAAGAGGAAAGCAAGACGCTTAGTCAAAACGGAAGAAAAGGGTCCTCAGTGGGGATTCATTATACCTTGGCGAACATTTGAAACGAAAAGAAGGGTCCTCCCGAGTGGGGAATACAGGGATCGATCAGGATTGAGCCGTCATCGAAACAAATCACCTTCGGCTTCGTAGGTCCAGGCCTTTCCTAGTCCCAACTCCTACATTATCAGACTCATTTTCGGCTTCTGCCGCCAAATCTGCCGAGGAACCTCCGAAGATCGATGCGAAATCCTTTGGGAAGATACAATGGACAACTCACACAATGGGGTAAGCCATCAAACTGGAAATGTTTGGAAATTAGTGTATCTTGTGAGTGGTGAAACAGCCTTGAAACTATGATGTCTCAGGATTTATATCAATTGTGCGCTGCCATCGGCACAGGCTCGTGTGTTCGTGGTCTATTTACGGAATTGATACGGTCTCACCAGGCAGTTCAACAACCACCCTTGTAAAAACTAAGAAATAGCCTGAAGAAGTTCTTAGAACTGTACTTTGTTCAGGGGTGCATGTCAGAACCTATTTCCAGAAAGGCATAAGCCCGGTGGACTGGTTCTGGCTAAAGTACTTTATCCAGAAGAAATGCGTTGAAAGCGAGAAAAGCAAAAAGAAAAACAATAATACCCAACACGGTCTCTTTTCCGCTTGGAACCGCATGGAGTTTAGTTGCATATGAATTTATTTGTCTTCATATTCCTCGACAAGACAAATAAATCATCAAGCTACTCTTGGATGATTCAAATACTTAAGTACGATCGGCCTCCCAGTCAGAGGTTCTGTCTTTCTGCTTGAAGACTTTCTATCCTCTTTCAATCATCATCCCTGAATAAAGCCTTCCCCAGAATGATAATTTTCAAGGCAGAAGCTGGCCTAGTGTCAACTGTCCTCGTCTTGCTCGCATCAGCGCCAGCTGTCGTCGCCGACTGTGCACTTCCGTCAACATACCGTTGGACATCCACTGATCCTCTTGTGAACCCCAAGTCTGGATGGGTGGCACTTAAAGACTTTACCAACGTGGTCTTCAATGACAAACATGTCGTCTATGCGTCGACTGCCACTGCAGCTGGGAACTACGGCTCTATGAGCTTCAGCCCATTTTCTGATTGGTCTGGAATGGCATCTGCGAGCCAAAACGCAATGAGCTTCAACGCTGTTGCGCCCACTCTGTTCTACTTTCAGCCAAAGAATCTTTGGGTGCTAGCCTACCAATGGGGCTCCAGCACCTTTACCTATCGAACATCAGCTGATCCTACCACCAATCAATGGTCATCGGAGCAAGCCCTTTTCTCTGGAAAGATCGCCAATTCAGACACTGGTGCTATTGATCAGACCCTTATCGGTGATTCGACACATATGTACCTGTTTTTCGCAGGAGACAATGGCAAAATCTACCGCTCTAGCATGCCTATCGACAATTTCCCAGGAAATTTTGGGATAAACTCAGAGGTCGTGCTCAGTGACACTCGAAACAACCTGTTTGAAGCAGTTCAAGTCTACACTGTCAAAGGGCAAAACAAATACCTTATGATCGTCGAGGCAATTGGATCTCAGGGGCGGTATTTCCGTTCATTCACTGCGAATAGTCTCGGAGGCTCGTGGACTGAGCAGGCAACCAGCGAGAGCAACCCCTTTGCCGGAAAGGCCAACAGTGGAGCAACCTGGACCAACGATATCAGCCACGGTGACTTGGTCCGTTCCAACCCCGACCAGACAATGACAATCGACCCATGCAACCTCCAGCTCCTCTACCAGGGAAGAGACCCGAATGCCGGCAGCGACTACAACGCTCTTCCATACAAGCCGGGCTTGCTCACCCTGAAGATATAAAGCAGAATCGTTGTTGCAATGGAGCTAATAAGGCCGTTAAGGAAGACTCGCGGGGGTCTCGGGGCAATGAAACTGTGTGAGTGTGTCCAAGAAGGGAGACCTCGGGAAGGTTCATGTCTGAGACGGCGGTGGATGGTCGATTGGTGCCGGTAGTACTCTCAGATGGCATTGAATTTAGATGAAAGCTTTTGTATCCGATGCTCGTCTAGGTTTTCTACTTAACAAGTACTTGCTTTTACTAGAGGTTTGCATAGTAATGATAGGTACTCTGTACCTTGAAAGCACTCAGAGAAATCTATAGAGGTTCAGGGTCAACGTTAAAATCAGGCACCAAGAGATATTATGCGCGAGGGTGTGCATCAATTCCCTATGACAAGCCGAATAGATACCGGTACCGAAGTTTTCTGTTTCATGCCGAATGCTCGATCGTCTCACTGTTAGCCTCTTCCATAACTTCCACGTCACAATCCGCAAAGGCCTTATCTCCAAATGCGACCGCAATCTCTTCAAGAGAATGGTGTGCGGTCTCGACAAAGTATAAATGGACAAGAACGGCCGATGAAAGACAGAACCCAGCAATAACAACATAGAAATACCCATGAATTCCAGCAAATGCATCAGGGGACACCATTCCAATGATGAAGTTGAACACCCAGTTGCTAGTCGTGGCTAAGGCCATACCTTTGCTTCGGCCTCGAAGTGGGAAAATTTCCGCAGGCAAAAGCCATGGCATTGGACCCCAGGTGAATCCATAGAGAATGTTGTAAAGCATGACAAAGGCATATTGTCCATTTGCTTTGACTTGGATGTCCAAGTCGAGTTGTGTGAAGACACAGACGATTGCCAGAAGAACTGCCATGCCGATTCCTGCTCATGAAGTCAAATTGTCAGTCTAAAAATCCAGATGACCGTTTGCTATCGATATTTTCTGGAAGACTGACCTCCGGAAATAAGTAGGGGCTTGCGGCCCCAGTTGTCGGCGAGCCACCAAGTGCCAATTGTTGCAGCCGTGTATGGCAGCGCATTCGCAGCCGTATATAAGAGAGACTTCCGATTATCGTAACCAGCGGATGAAAGCGTACTTGGAAGGTAGAAGGAGATGATGTTGATGCCGTTGATTTGGGCAAACATTTGCACTGTGATTCCAACGATGGTTCGCTTTCGATACCGAGTGAACATTTCCTACCAAATTGTTAAGCATAGTTCGGGACACGCTGGTATGATGACTTACCCTCCAAGTGGATTTGCCCAGATTACTTTCATAAATCACCGCCTCGTGAATCTCGAGGAAAGTTCGCTGGACGTGCTCCGCTTGAGTATCACCGTTGGAATGCAAATCGGCGATTGTCTGCAGACTTTCGTCCACAAATCCATTGATTGCCAGCCAACGAGGTGTCTCTGGCAAGAAAAATGACATGCCCAACAGAATGAAGGATAGGGCAATCTGAATGATGAACGGGCCTTGCCATGACAAGTGATCAGGCAGCATGAAATTGAACCCGTAGTCTACCCAGCACGAAAGCATGTATCCTCCGATCTGGAAGGTATATTCGATTCCAACCATCAGGCCCCGGTGATTTGCAGAGGCGATCTCTGTTTGAATGATGGGCACCGTCATGGAAAGAAAGCCAATACCAATTCCTTGGATGGTACGACCGGCAACGAAAGTAGCAAAGCCAGGCGCAAACATCTGCATGAAGGAAGTGAAGAAGTAAATGAATGCCCCGACACGAACACATTTCTTTCGGCCAATCATGTCTCCAAGTCTTCCGGCTATGAGAGATCCAACCGCCGCTGCTACTTGTAAACAAGCAACCGAGATGCCCGTGATTGAAGGGTTAACACCACTCGTAGTCCCGTCTGCACCTCCATAGTCCTTGAAGAAACGAGCCACGAAGACCTCGTTGACCAATAGGCCGGACATAATTCCTGTTCAGTCAGCGGCTAGTCTTCCCTTTTCAACTGAATGTTTTCACCAGAATTGAAACCGAACAATGCATCTCCTAAACTTCCGAAGGCACATGTTGCATACAGCAAGAGTGGCCCTGTGAAAGGGTATCTCGCTGATACTGTCTTGGGTTTGAGCTTTCTCTCTAGCCATCCCTGCTGCTCTTCAACATGTGCAGCAACAGCGAGGGAACGCTGCCGAATTGATTCGTAGGGTGCTGGCTGGGTAGATTTGGCGACACTCATAGTGTCGGTGAAGTGCTATTCAATAAGCACCGCGTATTCCACAAAGAATTTTCGAGATAGTCAATTTCAGCTCTGGGAGACCGGGCCAATGGCTTTATTTCTACCCCAGATCCCGTCCCGCGGGGAAGGGTCATTTTCTCCACGATTTCGGGGAAGAAGACTGTGGGATGCGTAAGAAAATGGCATGCCACCTCGGGATATGACCGAATCCATGGGATTCAGACAGACCGGGGTTCTCATTGGAGAACGCAGGGGAGCTAACAGCTTCAATTCCTGCGCAACCCGAACCCGAGCCGTAAATTTTACGGCTTGGATCGAATGTTTTGTCCGGAATCACAGAGTAACCGACTAACAACGAGCCCGTTCCACTTAGTTTGGCTGTTTACTCTGCCGATTGGCTGAGCTGCGTGGGGGTTGAAACGGTTCCGGGTGTGGTGGAGTCGTGATCTCGGTTCCGGTGGCGAATATCACGGTTCCGGGGGTCTTGTATACTCCCGAGTACGAGTAGATCGACAGTCGGATCCGATGCTGCGGCATTTAAATGATATTCCAGACTTTACAAAGTCAAGTTTTGATGTCTCAAGACTGAAGCTGTGTTTTTGCAGCTCAGTAATAGCCTGCGCAGAGCTTGTCGCTAGGGGCACCGAGAATGACGATAACCGGATCCGACTAGATAGAGAACGCGTTGCTAGATAGTTATGTGGAGTAGCCAATGCTCCATTGGAAGGCATTGAAAAGGTTCCACCAGCTGTGTGTCCGTCCATTTGATTATAACTGGGGTTCCAGCGCTACCAGCACATAAAGCTCGGGCGATATCCTGGGAATCATTCCAACTGCTAAGCAGAGCAATCACAAAAATGACTGTAACAAAAGAGACTCAGGTAAGTTCATTTCCAAATCAAACGCCAAGCATGTGCTCGTGTGATGCTGGCGCAGATGGGTTGTGGCTTTTCTGACTTTGGCATCTAGACTCCCAATGAGGCTTTTGTTCTGCATCCAGGGGGCAAATTCTTTTTCGAAGAGCGCAGCAAACCAACGATACAATCTTCCCGAGATGTCATAGTCCAAATTATGGCCACTGGCCTTTGCGGCTCAGATGTGAGTCCAAATTCCGGTGCTACAAATACCAGCCATATCACTTAACGCCACTAACTGAAGCTGCCAATTCGCAGGTTCACTATTGGCAACACGGCCGGATAGGCCGGTACGTCGTCGAAGACCCCATAACTCTAGGCCACGAATCGACAGGAATCGTGGTTGAAAGCGGAAGCGATGTACAGGGTCTCGCAATCGGCGATCGCGTTGCCCTGGAGCCAGGCGTTGCCTGTAACACATGTGCGCATTGTCGCAACGGTCGCTATAACCTGTGTAAAGACATGCGTTTCGCCGCAACACCACCATACGACGGAACCCTCGCCACATACTATCGCGTCCCTGTGGAATGCTGCTTCAAGCTTCCACCCCACATCTCCCTACGAGACGGTACTCTGATTGAACCTCTCAGTGTCGCCGTGCACAGTTCTCGGCTTGCAGGCAATATGCAAGAGAAATCGGTTGTTGTGTTCGGAGCTGGCCCGGTTGGTCTACTCTGCTGTGCAGTCGCACGAGCATTCGGTGCGTCAAAGGTTGTTGCAGTGGATGTTGTTCCGGCTCGATTGAGCTCTGCATCCAAGTATGGCGCTACACATACCTATCAGATGACCACCGAAACGGCAGAAAAGAATGCAGCAGATCTCCTGGCTGCTGCAGGACTGAACCTGGGGGCTGATATCGCTTTGGATGCGACTGGCGCGGAACCCTGCTTGAACTGTGGTATCCTCGCCCTCGCACAGGGCGGGACGTTCGTTCAGGTTGGGCTGGGAAAGCCGAACCTTTCTCTTCCAGTCGGTCAGATCTGTGATAAAGAGATTGTCTTCAAAGGGAGCTTCCGATATGGGCCTGGTGACTTCCAGTTGGCGATTGGATTACTGGATTCGCGTCGGGTTAGACTGGATGGTCTCATTACCCACGAATTCCCCTTCACCCAGGCAGAGCAGGCGTTTGAAAATGTTGCTGGCCGCACTGGAATCAAGAGTGTGATATATGGACCAGGTGTTGACGAGAAAGCAGCCAATGTAGCTTCAGAATAGTGGCATGTTTGTTGCGGTAGACAATATCACCCCCTATCACTCATTAATCCTGTACGAAACTTACATCGTGAAATTTACATTCATCTTTCGGTCTCGTTCCACGTCATGTCCCATAACCAATACAGTCCTCCCTCAATGTTGTCCTGGTACGTGTCTTCTGCGACCGGACGAGGAAAACCAGACATGCTCCAATCCTCAGTTGGTTGCCCAAGAATGTTGCTTTCAATCCCCATCTCAGGCTCTTGGTATGGAGCGTCCTGAGCCTGTGTGGAGGGATAGGCATAAAGTTCCACCGGGCCCAACGCTAGAAGGCATTTTCGCATCAGTAAGTGGTTCTTGTTCGAACAAGACTCGTTGGGTTTTCATGACCTACCATGTTGAACAGACGTCAGGCTATCGGTCAGTCGATCAGCCCTGCTAAGATCCGGCAGTCTTTGGTCCCCAATGAGGGGATTGCGAAGATCCAATGCTGCATTGAGCGGCATCCGAAGCGTGTCTTCCACGGAGAATGAAGATGGGTCTGTTAATGAATGAATCGGCATTTGACCCATCACCTGACTGTTCCCAGTAATAGGAGCTAGCATGGCAGCTGATTCTCGGCGGAGGAGCATTATCACAACATTCTTCAGCACAGCAGTGCTTTGTTTTGACAAGGCGGACCGTCTTCCGAGCAAATCTTGCAAACGTAGAATCCGCGTAATTGTTCGTTTCACTTCCTGTGCGGTATCAGAAAGAGGCTCGGAAAGAGCCATCACAGCCAACACAATTGCAGCATTGAAAAGATTGATCGCAAGAAATGCAACGAGGTGGCTGTCGGTAGCTAGTTGGGCAAGAGCGGGCAGTTCTGTCACCCTCGATATCCTTGTTGCTGCATGCATCCAGAACTCCGAGCTGGTAGTATGAGTACGTCGGTTTGCGGATTCTGCAGATGCATTTGGTTGTGTCATGGAGGGTGAAGTGGTTGAATGGTACATTGGAGTGTTTGTTTCGCTCTCCTGGGGTGATCGATTGTCTGTGGTATAAAGGTGATCGACCTGTCGTGCTAGCAAGGGTCGGTGTAACACAATGAGAACATTGTCATATGTTAACTGAAGAGATAGGGATTGTAATGCGTAAGCTCTCGAGGTTGGTCCGCCATTGGAATTGAAGTCTTGATCAAGATCCAATGCCAGATGTTTTGGTAGGCAGGACCTCCATCTCTGCAGATTCCGTGTGATTTGGCCGACCAAAGCAAAATATGCATCGCCATTGAGTTGTTCAGATGTACCCAAAGTCCGTGAACCAAACACAGTTTTGAGAGCAGGCGACGCAATCAAGTACAGCTGATTCAACTCCCTTTGGTAGGTAGAATAGCATATAGCGTTGGTCTGTCCCGAGGACGGATCAACAAACTTGGGGTTTTCGACCACGTCCGATGGCATGTTGAGATTGCAATCCTTGTCATTTATGCCCAGGGGTCGGCCATACGTGATAGAAGCAAATCTATCCCATGTGTATATTGTCCACCAAACTCTTTTTCTTTCTTCGATATCATCAACATCTCCTCGTGGAGTTCCTCGATGCATTCCTAATGACTGAGACATTTTGATAGTCGCACCCAGCAAGGAAAAGGAAAGGTTTGGTCGGCCATGATAGACGTGATGGGATCCCAACAGGATACACGTCTGAACGGCGGTGATTGAAGGTGCATCCATCAACTCCACCAAATTTGACTCAATAAGCTTGAGCAGGTTTGCACCCAACGCTTTCATCTCGTGGTTTTTATCCTCCATATCAGTGCCACCCCTCTGAGATCTATACCACGATGCCATTGCAAGCATCATTGCGAGTAAAAGAAGAAAGGGACGCTGAGAAGGATATGCACACCCATCCTGAATGGAAAGCAGGCTTTTCCGAAATTTCGGCTCGTATATCGCGAGCGAAAACCAATGCACGGCATCGAAATAGTCTTCCAACAGACTAGACACGAGCTCTATGAGGGGAAATGTCTGACCTAGGATGAGAGATATGGGAGCACGTTGGCTATTCGTCGAGGGATTTGCATCTGAGCTCTCGGTGGTCGTCTGATACCCGGGTATGGCCGAGGTGGTTTGCTCATCAATGCGGTGGCTACCGAGCCCACATATCCTTTGAGCAATACCGATAGCCGATTCAGCCTCCCCGCAATTCACGGGTGATGGCATACCATGTCTACCAGTAGGCAGTGCAGCATCATCGCCTCTAGGAGGGGCATCTTCTGGTGTGGCTTGGTCACGTAGGGCCGAGTCGCAGTCAGGGACAGTCTCAGGTAGTGAATGTTCACTGGAAGTCACTGGCGAGAGATGAGGCCGACTTATGTGAGCTCTGCTTGGCTTAGTGCCTAAAGTGCCTAAGCGCCTATTGCCTCATGTGAGTATCGGATAAAGTATCCCCCAGGGTGAGAGTCAAGGCGTACTTCGGTGGGATTGCTCTCCGTGGCCGAGCTGCAGTCGGGAGTGGCCGGCAATCAACTTTGGCTCGAATACACACCGAGCAAGGCCGAACGGGGTCACACTGTAATGTCAATTCAGCATGTGCTCCAATATTTAGAAATGATCAGGTCCAAGGTGCTCTACCCGAGATTTATGGCGCCGGCACCTTTCGCAGGCGCTTCTCACTCTGGTAGGGAGTGGAGACCGAGTATAGGTCTCGTCAAGACCGTCATTCATGATACATAAAACACCAAATTGGTTGTCAAAGTGGTTTTCCCAGCCCTGGAAACTTCCAAGGAGATGGGGATTAATAATGTGAGGTGAAGCGACGTGGAAATACGCGACGTGTCTGGGAGGTGGCCGCCTGTTTCTTATCACCACGCCCCCTCGTTATCCACACACTATCGATAAGCAAAAAAATCGAAAAAGATCGCGGGGTTCATTCTTCACTTTAGGCAATTGTTGTTGACGATGGCTGAGTCTCTTGAATATCCCCCTACGCTGGATAGCGCCTTCAATGGTGCATCTGAAATCAAAGACCGCTTTGATCCGATCCGGTTGACGACAAGCAACATCGTCCCAATCATCAACCTGCCCCTCTCTCAAAAGGTGCTGGGTCATGAGTCGAGTGAGGGCCTCGCGCAAGTCGCAAGCGGAGATGTTTCATACACCAACTTCGTCGCGGAACAGGCTCGCTCCGCCCTGCAGTCAACCGATGACCAATCTACCGAACAAAAGCAATCACAACTGCTGCATCTTGGTCTAGCAGCTTTGTTCGCCTTCTTACAGTCCAACGTCACCGGACCTCCCCTCGAATTCAGCTCAGCTGAGGCCATTTTCCCTTCCGCTCTCCGAACCGAACCACAAACCCTCAAGGCTGTGCGAGCGAAGATCATCAGGGATCTCTCGGTGGATGGTGAAGCGGGCTACAGACTCACACCTAACCCCGAACTGTTTGCCGTCGCCAAGGCCTTGCTGGCTGATACAGCCACAGATGGACCGCTCTTTGCTAAGACCGCGCGTATGCGCGCCAACTTCCTTCACCAAAAGATGCTTTCGGAGGTCACAAGCACTTTGCAAGATGTGATCTACAAGGATGTTGAAGTTTTGGACAAGGCCGAGCTAAATGCTGACGAGAGGGGTCGCTTCCTCCTTGAAAGAGCTATTATTAACACTCACCATGGCTTCGACATCAAGGCCCGTGAAGATATTGACCAGGCCGCCAAGGTACGCAGATTCGAATTTGCGTTGACTGGTAAGATGGGCAAGAGGACAAAGTTCCAAGACCGTGATATCAGTCAATTGGTTGTACTCGCTAAGAGTGCCGATGAGACATCGCTTTCCTCTGAGCCCTCTGGGCCCAAGAAATTGGATCTGAACGATGACACACTTCTTGAGAACATCTCTTTCTCTGACCAAAAGGACGGTGAAGAATCTGCTGCAATCCAAGATAAGCTCCCGGCTTCCTTGGAGGGTATCGATGCCAACAACCAGCCAATTCTGAACCCAGTGGATTCAGCTCTCTTGCTGGCCCTGGCTTCTGCTATCACCAATACTTCTCCTGAGAACGGTCTCACTCGCGAAGAAACAAACCCCTACGCTATTCGTGTACTTGATGGAGGTAGTTCAAACTGGCAAATTTATACACAGGCACTCTTGGTGCGCAGTCGTGTGGAGGGCTACCGCTCGCGTACAGTCGAGCGAGCCGTGCTCCAAATGCAGGCTTTGGTCGACCAGGTCATTGCCGATACCGCGACTAGTGACGACGCAGCCCAAACCGAATCAGGCGAGCCTTCAACTTTCCTGCCACGTCCGGAACAATCCGAATCCGCCCCGGCCGCGGAGCGACTCGAAAACATCTGGATCCTTAACTTCTCAACTCGATGGAGTCTCGAAGCTGAGCTCGCAAAGCGCTGGGTCGACCTCGGTGGTCTGCGCACTGCACTAGAGATCTATGAGCGACTTCACCTTTGGGCTGAAGCCGCCCTGTGCTACGCTGCCACCGAGCGTGAAGGCAAGGCCAAGACCCTCATCCGCCGCCAGCTATACGAAGCCACAGGCTCGGATGAGAACGACGAGAATGAACTTTTCGATGGACCTGAGCGTTCACCATTGCCAGCAGATGCACCTCGCCTGCTTTGTATCTTGGGAGATATTAACAAGGACGAAAACATGTACGAGCGCGCATGGGAGGTATCTGGTCAGCGATACGCTCGCGCCCAGCGATCCTTGGCCCGGCACTATCTCACCTCCACTCCCCCAGAGCTGGAGAAGGCCGAGGCCGCATACAAGAAGAGTCTTAAAATCAACCGCCTCAACCATGGCGCCTGGTTCGCTCTCGGATGTGTGCAGCTTGAGCTCCAAAAGTGGGAAGAAGCTACCGACACATTCACCCGCACCGTCCAGTTGGATGACACAGATGGCCAAGCGTGGAGTAACCTCGCTGCCGCGATGCTTCGCACATCTGCACCTCAGCCCACTCCTGACACAGTCGATGAAGTCACAGGCGAGACCCCTGCTGATGTAGACCCTCACAAGCGCAAGCGTGAGGCCCTTTCTGCGCTGCAGCGCGCTGCCCAACTCAAGGGCACTGACGCACGCATCTGGGACAATGTTCTGACTGTTGCTGCCTCCATCCCGCCACCAGCAACACCTTTCCGCGATGTTATCACTGCGCAAAGACGCATCATTGAGTTGATCGGCGCAAAGAGCGGAGAGAAGTGTGTTGATGTGGCTATTTTGGGCCTGTTGGTCGATTTCCTCAACACTGCTTTCTCGTACGATGACCTGCTCATTCGCTCCGAGGATGAATCCGAAACTCCCATCCTTCGTACCGGTACTATTCCCGGTCAGATTATCTCTCTGGTTGACAACCACGTCGTTCCACTCATCACGCATTCAGCAATCTTGTGGCAAATCGTTGCTCGCGTTGAGGTGTTCCGTGAGCGTCCAAGCAAGGCTTTCGAGGCACACGAAAAGGCTTGGCGTGCGACTGTCGCTGCCAATGCCCAGGGCGCTTTCCAGATGGGTGATGAGAAGCCCTGGCTCGAGGTTGTGCGTGCTACAGAGAAGCTTGTCCGGGATGGATATGCTAAGTTCGGACCCATAGACCGGGAAGGTCAAAAACTTGAGGGTGACCAAGAAGGCGAGCTTGTTGCAAAGGACTGGCGTTTCAAGGCCAGAAGTGCCGTCCGAGGTATCCTGGGCAAGGGCAAAGACTTCTGGGATGGAACCGAGGGCTGGGATCGTCTGAAGGAGTTGCAGTCTGAGGTTACCGGAAACTAAAAAGATATAGAACTGGATACAGGTTATGATTCCAGGAGGATCTGGCTCATTGCATTTTCATGTCAATTTTGAGTTTAGCAAATGTTATAGCAAGGCGATTGATTCCCTTGACTCCTTGTCCTCTTCCTTGTGCAATCATCTCGACTCTAGTTTGCGTTTTACCATTCCGCAAAAGCTTTCAAACAGAACGGTGTCTGTACCTTGAATCCATCGAACAAGGGCCTCCACTTTTTTCTCTTCTGCCTTTTCCCCCAGGGCTAGACGTAGGCGCACACGTACACCTAATGCCACTTTGGCGGGAGGGCCTTTCAACTTCGTCATATCGTTTCCTTCGGCAAGTTTCATCTTCCGACGCGCCTGTCGGGACCAGACATTCTCGCCGGCAAAGCCCGTGCCCGTGAAGTCTTTCTCGTTCCAACGCCAAAACCAAGGCAGGGAAGCCAGCTCCTTCTTTAGCGTCTCACTGGTTGCGTCAATGGGAACATCGGATGGAAGTGTGAATGTGTAGTCAGTAGGGAATGGGAGAAGACTTTTCGGCAGGTTGGGAATACCTCTTGCCACATCCTGAAGAACCAGTCAGCTATGAGAGATCATGGTATCATGTAATGGGTGTAAAAGAAAAGGCTCAAGTTCCGACGTACCACAGGGGGTCTCCGGTCTCCCCAAGACCATGCTACTGCCCAACGCTTAGTCTTTGCCCCCTGATCAAACTCGGTCACGGCATAATTATGGTTTTCGTGCTTGATCAGCTCCTCAACAAGGACAGAGACGCTGCTCATCTTGCCTAGCATGGATGTGTACCATTGTATTCTGCAACGCAAATGCAGGCTTTCGTCAATCATCTTCCTCACGAAGTCAATTTCTCCACCACGGGTCACCATCTCCACCTCGGCGCCGGTACATGCCTTGGCGCATAGTCAGCACAATTCATGAAAACAAGCATGGGTGTAAGATGTGATTGTAGTGCATGAAGGGAAAATTGTAATGGTCATTTACCGAAAATGGAGGTCGCTTCTTCTGTTTAGCGGATTCAACTAGCTCGTCGCGGGAAGTGTAGAAAGGTGGATTACACATGGTAAAATCCAGACTAGTGAGTGGTCAGAGATAATCTTCGCAATGCAATGTCCTGAGAAACCCACCCTTCACGGCCGAGCTTCTCAAGTGGGAAGAGGGGACCATCGGGATCCGATTCTATGATCCGAATCCGTGATTCTAGCTGGTTCAACGCCACGTTCTCCCGAGCGGTATTGATATTACCCGGGTCAATATCTATGACGATCAGTGGATGCTGAAGATTCTCGACTGGACGAACATACCAGTAGCCACAAACTTCCAGCCGGGCCGGGTCGTGCAGCCAAGAAGAGAGTAGATCCCGATACATCCCGTTCCGCTGTACCTTGTTAGCCGGAGTTGAAAGAAGTAGGACATGAGACGTACATGTCGAGACCAACAACTTCTCGTTCTCGATCATACCCCTCATTCGATCCTTCTGCAGTTGAATCAATGAGGTCTTGGATCCATATGATGTAGTTGAGTCTATATTGAATGTGAGACACATGCATGCAGGGCTCAAATCGTCAATTTTGACGACGTACCTGTTTGGGACCTAAACGCCAAGTCAGTTCGAGTCTGCACCTTTTGTGATATTGCGTGCATACCGGTGGACACAGCCGATCTTCGGGGATTTTGACTTTTAGCTGAAAGTCCTGTTGCAACAGGGTTGTAGTGAGCTGTCTGCATGCCAAGTCAGATCCACTTCCTCTCGGGATGTCAGACGCTAGGCCCCGCTGACTTACCGAACGGCGGCTGGATCGGTAAAGTCGAGCTGTTTGTTTGGTTTCAAGCTAGTGACGATTCGGATTAGAAGCCTGGAATATACCACGGATAATTTCACGTACTGCTTGGCAAAGTCGCGACATTGAAGCGCCAAGGCCTCAAAGTCAACATCCTTCTTATACAGGCTCCGAGCGAGCTCCATGATAAGACGTGGGGGCCGGTTGAATTGTGGATCAATTCAAGGATCCTCTCATTGCCTTTAGGCTTATCTGATGTGAAATGGTGGTTGGTCGTGGAGGAGAAGTTACGCCCGGCGGCTGGACTTGATGTTGATACCGGGGTCATGTGACTGCATGGACCCTGAAAGATGATCAGTCTCAAAGTGGAAATAAATACTCTAGTTTATGTGCTCGAGGAAACTGAGCCAGAACTTGCTCTCTGATTGAAATCTTAAGTAGTGATGTAATTAATATGTGACTTGGGGATCAGGACTCTGGAACTGAAGGTAAAAGTAGGAAGAAGCTGTTGCCATGTTTTATGTACCAAATGCATATGTGCTGCCGAAGTAGAAACAAATAATAAGCCCAAATATTGAAAAACCAAGAAGTGAAACCATATATGCACCGCTTTTCACCTGAAGTCAAGCCCAAATCATCAAGTCGTGAAGATGATTGAGCTTCAATGCCCAATCGAATCTCTTTTTTAATCCCCCAATCTCCAAAACTTCAAATATTTCCCCTCGATCCTCGACTCTGAAGATTTTCAGAATCAAGCCTTGTTCTCCTTCTTTTGGAAACGCTCATGGCGCTCCAGGCGCCATCCGTAGCCCCACTTCATCTCAACCACCAAAAGAGGAACCATAGCGAAAGTGATGCCAGCAAGCAAGAGGAATGCCCACTGGGCAGTGATAGCATCAATTATAGGCTGGGAAGCTGCAACACCGGCAGCACCGATCAAGCAACGCATCAGGTTGTTGACAGCAGTCGCGCTGGCACTTGCACCGGGGTACAAATCAATCACAAGGGCGCTGTTCATGGTGAAAATAGCAGTAGATCCGTAGGCAATGATAAATTGCAGAATGATGGGGACCGCAATGTGAGTGCGCAGAGAGACACCATAGAGAGCAACGCAGACAATGAAAATGGCAGTGATCCACCAGGTGTTGCGCATCCGAGCGTACTCAATGGGGAAGTCAGGGTGAGACTTTGAGTTGACGCGGGTCTCGATTGGAAGATTGTGTTGTTGGCAGTATTCGCGTTCGGTCCGCTTGTGGTTGTAGTCCATCAGGTATCCGATCGTGTAGGATCCAGTCATGCAGCCGAATCCGTTTCCAAGGAAGGTCAGGCCAACCTCAAGAGAGTTCAGGCCATACTTTTGTTCGAACAAGTCAGAGGTAGACGAAGTGACCATTGACCAGACAGTGTAGACGATGCTCCCGTAAAGCAATGTGATGAAAACATCCTTCTCGCCCAAGAAAGTGAGTGGCGCAAGTACAGTCTTGAATGTAACCTTGGCTTTCTTGCCAACGGGAGTGGAAGTCTCTTCGGCATCTTTTTGGCCGGTGATTGAGTAGATGAAGGGCCTGTGAATACCTTTCAAAGGGACAGTTCCATTGCCGGCAATGGGGCGAAGCGTTTCAGGGAGGAACACCAAGATGGATAGAAGGCTAATTCCTGACACGATGACCAAGAACCAGAAGATAGAGCGGAATCCCAGGTACTGAGATAGTATACCACCAAAGACTGGCCCAATTCCCTGGCCCAACATGCGCACTGTGACGAGTTAGCTTTGAGCGTGTGATATTTTGAGTGGATAACTCACCTCCACCGAAGATTCCAATCAAGCTGCCTCTCTCCGCTGAAGTGGTAATGTCACCAATGACGCCAGCACCAATCGATATCGTCGCGGCACTACCGGCAGCCTGCAGAGCTCGGAAAGCCATGAGCTCGCCATAGTTTGTGGAAACAGCCAAAGCAATGTTGGCAATAATGTATACACCAAATGTTCCAATAAAAATTACACGGCGGCCTAGAACATCTGAGAATGATCCCCAAAAGCTTGGAGCAAGCCCTTGTACAATCATGTATATCGTGACAGTCAATGTAGCTAGGGACATAGACACATTAAGCTCCTGTGATGGTATTAGGTTGAAGTTCTTTGGATCTTTTTTGGGGTTGACTTACTTTAGAGATATCTGAAAGAGCGGGGAAGTAAATGTTGGAGGATAGTGGAGAGAAAATGGCAGCAAGAGAGACGATGCAAACCAATTGCAGCTTGCGAGACCGGGGGAAGACATGATAAGGTGGTGGTGCAGGGGCTTGACTTTCGAGATTAATTGACTCTGCCGGTGTCGATGGTACAGTGATGTCTTTCTCGTCGCGTGGTGATAAGTTAGGACTGGAGTCAACAGACTGGGTGGTAACCCTAGGGTCTTTGAGTGTTTCTGTGGAGCTGCACTGGGATAAAGTCATGATGAAGAACTCTTCTAAGTAGCACGATAACTTCGCAAATACGAAAAGATAGAGATTTATTGACAATAGAAGTGGAAGTGAGGCTTCATCGGTCACAGCTTTGGGAATCTAGAATCGAGACCGGAACACCAGCACCCTTTTGTATCCCAGATCGAGCACGAAACCCCTATAGCGGCTATCATAGAAAATACAAAAATATTCGGCGGACCCATGCATCTGAGAGTCAACTAAACGTGCTCCACTGTGGGTATTACTAGGGGGACCACTACGAGTACGTTCTCCCCTTGATGGTAGAAAGTGGCAAGGATCAGACCAATCTGGAAAAGTCTACGTCGCTCATTTCGACACGTACGGGTCATAATCCGCAATTGGAAGTACTCAAGATTCTAGCTCAGAATTCCAACGGGAAGCCTACGAATGATTCATTTTTCCAGCGTGAGCTGGGTGTGTTCTCTTTGATATTGTGTCATCTTCACGCCTCGCCCGCTGACGTCTATCCCGGGGAAGTAACATTCCTGAGCTCCCCGCGAGCTATCCGGGGGCTTGGTCAGCTATAGTTGAATGGCATCGACATTTGGAGGCCGTAAATTAAATACCATTACCCGCTGAAATTCCATCCAGTCCCCATACACGCGTGTACATTGCAACTGATCTGCATCGCATGTGCTGCACAAGCCCGGTTTCACCCACGGATCATCAATCGGGGAAAAGCTGTCGGAAGAAAAATCTATCTGACACCTGCTCTGGATCTCATCTAGGCTGTACGAGTACATGATCAGTCTTCCAGGTCCTCGCGATCCTGCAAGTCTACTCCGGCTGGTGCATTTGAGATGCATGATAAGCTGTTGAACAATCAAGCCCAATCAAATTTACCTCGCCAAGGCTTGGCGATTGAGCAGAGCAAGAACGAGAAAAGCCTGAAACTCAAGTTTTCCGAAGGTCCAAGTCTCCACGTGTTGAGTATCCCATGTAGGCGTTTCCAATGTAGGTGTTATCTGTCACCCAAATGCCAAGCTTCGTCACTGATCCTAAATATTTGATATCAATTCAGGGGAAACAATTGGACAAATAACGTCCTCGACTTACGTAGACATCCCCCTTGGATCTGTATGTAGCTTGTATACATAGGGGACGTTGGCCCTTGCTTCTCTCAGAAGCCGATTCACCAATGGTAGCCCGACAAAGGGGGCGGCTGAGCATCGGGCTTGATACCCAATGACGATGAATTATAATCTCAGATAAGCGATGTCCGTAAGCTAGCTGATTAAATCAGCTATGTCTGTATGTGCAATTCCGATTCAGAGCAGATGATAGGTGGATGGAAGGCGAAGAATGCATCCAAGACATCCCCTGGACAAGGTTTGACGCTAGACAGGAGATGATCGACGAATTGAACGGCCTCTATACACGACTAAGCAATGGTGCCAATCCTCGGCTGTCGATCAGTCCCATAACCCCTTGTGCACGGGTTTTGCTTTTTTCCATGACTTGGATTTATAGTCTTTTGATCCGGCTCCACTGATGAGCCACGCGCAAGCCGCCTAGCATTCCTAGTGGATCTGCCAAGCCCTCGTCATCGTCTACGATTGATCGTTCAATTGTACATCACGCACATTGACTGTCGATTTCTTACTTTCGGAGTGTTTTTCGTCTCGGGAACTTTGCATCGCTCGGTTAAGGCTGGTTCAAGTTGGTTAAGGCTGGATAGGGCTGGCTAAGGCTGAATGATATTCACCTGCGAAATTTGATAGACCTGAATTTCCCTCTGTCGCCCTCAATTTTGATGCCCGACGCCAAGACCCTAAGTAAACGATGAGAGCGGCCTTGCTCCCTAAACTTTTTGCACCCGCGAGCGCCACCCCGAGAGGGTCTCGGTTCTCCGACTCTCGGGTAACCGAATTTCCTAGTGCACTTTGCTAGGTTACATCTTCAGATTCGCCCGCCATTGCAGCCCGATCAAAGGCACAATTTCTCCACTCTCGACCATCCAAGAGGCCTAGGCCTCCCACTCAGAATATGCTTTTGGTCTGACTCGCCTGGCTATCACGACTTCCGAATCATATCATTCATACATGCAGCACCATAGTGCTCCAAATGAACTTGGCCCCGAGCTACTGCCGAGCTAAAGTTATACTATATACTCAACTTGGTGATTGGCTCCAAAATATGACGATCAACTGGTGCAACACAGCGTACTTGTACTCACTTTAGAAGCACTCTTACGAGTACGAGGTGCAGTGTAGACCAATACACTAGGCACGTAAGCCTTTCCACTCCATACGACTATTTTCTACTCCGTACTTGTAGGGTCCTCCTGCAGACGGGAGTCTCCTCAGTTGGTAGATCACGGCCCCACTGGATGGAGCCCTCCAAAGCATATTCAGAAACAATTAATCTATTATCCTAGCATCTTCATGTGATGATGCCAGACGTCTAGCTCACTGAACTTATGCATATAGTCTGTACTGTACTTGGTTACAGCAAGCTAGACCAGGATGTTTCCATCTGATAAGGGTTTTGCCTCTGACGTCAGCTGTTTACTTGCGAACTACTCTCTGCACTCCCAATGCACAGGATGTCTCTGCCTTTTTTGTTTTGATTAATGATGTTTTGACTGCGAGTATCCCTTCTAAAGTTGAAGTAGACTCCATTTTGGGGGGAAATTTGATGAAATAATAGCCTTTAGGTAGATCCCCCCTGACACGCATGACAGCCTTCTCGAAACACAACTTCGACGATTTATTGACGGTTTCAGGCTCAACATCTCCATCTGAGATCTCAAACTATGGAATTTCTCTGCCTGTCTGACATGGAGGCTGTGTTCGATCTATTTGGCATGGCGCCTCAATACACAGCGCTTTGGCCAGGGGATTTGCAGATCTGATGTGGCCAGCCCCTGTCTTTCCCGACGGAACTCCAGAAAAAGAAAAAAACGAGAAAAAAAAAGTCAGAACTTCGGCCGTACGCAAGCTAATCCTAATCATGAAAAGCATTCCAGACCCGTGAAGAATGCAGCCAAGCTCTACGCCATAGGCCACCACCTCATGCTGCCATGGCGTGAAACAATCACCTTCCGTACTTCGTACTCCATAAGTAGTACTTCTTCAATGGCCGATCATTTAATTTGCGAACAGCAGAGATGATTTCATTTCAGCGTCGGTAGAAATGAATGACTCCACACCACTCAATATTGTGCAGCATCCTCGGGGGAATTAAAAAAAAAAAAGTCCATTTGGCAGCTTGTTGAGCCCGACACCCACGCGGTCCCTGACCCGAGCGCAACCGTCGACCCTACAAGGCTTCCAAGGTTCCAATTCGGAACTCCCCCTGATCGTCGGCATAAACACATAGCTCACATCTGTCAGCGACGATTGCGTGTGCTGGTTCCATGTGAATCGCAATTGGGCGCTGTGGGTAAAATATACATATAAGATGCACATGTATCTCATGGCAACGCGCGGGCCATAGCTTACGAGTACGACAAGTACACTATTCCCTGTGATGTGCCAAGTGTATCAAGTCGCACCAGAAAGAACCCCGATTTTCGGAACACATTGCTTTTGTCCTCGTGCCTGTTCCGCTTGTTGATACCGCCTGGTAGAGATCTTGGCCATCTCTTGGCGTCGCAAAAGTGGGAACTTGGCGAGGTTTCTCGGATCTCTCGTTTATTAGCTGAAGTCGGTGTAGAATGGAGGTAATTGCAATTGCAGGTTTGGGTCGGTTGGAGGAAACTTGTAACTTTAGAAAGTTCGAACCTTGAGAGACAGACTTGCAAGTATATACGTGGGAAGCTGACGCTAGTTAGGGACCTCGGAAGTGGAGGTGCTGTCTAGGTGGAATGCCATCCATAGATCTGGGCGATTGGGCAGCTCAGCTCTAGGGCTCACTTGTAAATATTCTAAAGTTTGAATAAATAAATATACATATATATATATTCAACTTTAAAATCTATGGATGTTGGAGGTTCTCAAGTTCCTGCTACTTATAAGTAGTATATCTAAACTTTACTTAAGTAGGACTTGAGAATTCTAAAGTTGATATCATTGCGTGCATACCTGGGCAATCTGGTCTACAGCTCTAACTTGAGAAGTAGAGGTGGTGGGTACTTAAGTATTGGGCGTGATTCTAAAGTTATATATCTGGCTCCAAGGTTGGTTTTCTTCCGACAGCCACCTGTAGACCTGGGCTGACATTCCAACCCTAGAAAGTTCATGGATTGACAAGTAAATTATACAGCATCTACTTGGTGATTGGTTAAATTGTATTATGCTCGCAAGTGGGACATGAATTATTGACCAAGTTATTCCGATATTGACGACTGGGGGAACCCGATGAAGGATGATAGTTATCAAGTTAACATTCCCACCAACACATTCATCCTGGTATTTCTCTTGCAATGTTATCACTGTGATGGCATAGGATAAGACGGCCAGTATTCGGCAGTATCACGACAGCCACAGGGAACATGGCTGTTTCCATGCAAAATTCCCGAGCATAAAGCATGGAGTTGGATATCCAGATAGCCATGAATCGAAATAACAGTGCCACTCCCATCCATGGATATCGAATAGGAATCGTCAGTCACTGGGTGAGCATAGAAACCATGCATACTGGAGCAGCTTGTTGCACTCTGAACAAGGCCAGGATGGCAATGATGCATGAAATTGAACCTGAATGCTAGAAAACCAGCCTTTTGAGATTGTGAATTGGCGTGGTGAGGTTCAGCACGGTTCCCACAAAGGTCTGGAACGAGGTAGAGCTGATGGCATATGGACCGTATGGATAGAGCCGAATGCGGTTCTTGGTGGAAGTTGGCCTTTTCGTGGACCTGCGACACAAATAAAGTGCCCCATGATGTGAGTTGACAATTCGAGAATCGAAGAAAATATGTCCCGGGAGATTGACATCTTTAACGCTTGCCACCTCTTGATTTGGGCTTGCCTTTGCCTCTACCACCGGCCATGCGACGACCCGAGGATTGGACACGTTCAATGTCTTGTTTGTTCAGATTCAAAGTACCACCTGAGAACTTGCCCACTGATGCTCCATTGACACCGCGTTCCCTTCGTCCATTGTTGCTTGATTTGGACACCTTGCTAGGCTTTTCAAGAATGATGCCATTCTCCTTGGCCTCACGACGACGTTTCTCATCCTTCGTAGCAGCCTTGGCCTTGATTCCTCGTCGGTGTGCAGTTGGCATCTTGTTTTGCGCGTACAGTGAATCCTTGGCTCCGAGTGATTGCATGCGCAGATCCAAAGCCTTGAGACGGTTCTTTCCGGTTGGCGCTAGGTCCTCAGCAGAGTCAAGGAGATGGGATTCCGTGAGCAAACGCTGTAGAGCAAGGTCGTGCTTTAAGTTCATCACATCGTGTGTATCCTCCTCCTCTTCCTTCTTGGATGAGGGCTCTGGCTTGGCATCAGGTTTGTCAATGGATGACATGACCTTTCCACTCTGCAAGAATCTTCATCAGCACTCATACAAGGGCATTTCGTGATCCACAACCTACCATGAATGCCTTCCATGTCTTCTTGTCCATTCTGTCCGTCGGAGCAGCGCGCGTATCTGTGTGCTCAACTACTTCCACTTGGTTGCTCTCTTCGCTGAGATCAGACATCCCATCCCAATCGCCTTCCGATCCAGAGTCATCGTCATCATCATCGTCCTCGTCTTCGTCTTCGTCGTCGGAGTTTGAGGTTTTGGCAACTTTGGCGGTAGGAGCTGGCAAATCAAGAGGCTCGAATTGCGCTTCGAATAATTTGCGGAATACGTCCTGCGCATTGTCCACGGGGGGCGGGGAGTCCTCTTTAGCTTTCGGCTTAGAGACCACGGTGGTCTCACGCTTGCGTTTCACAACCATTTTGAATAATGATATCGATCAATTTGCAGAGTCGAAAAAACATCGGCGGCTCGGCCCAAGAAGTTTTTTTGAGCTAAACTCCGAGTCACGTGTGATAAGTGCCGATAAGCCCCTCGACTCACACAGCGTGTGGGAAGCAAATTAACTCTCCAATTCATCCGATTTAACAGAGAAGATGACCAAATTCAGGCCATGCATTGACCTGCATTCAGGACAGGTCAAGCAGATTGTGGGTGGTACTCTCAGCCAGGTGGCTGCGGACTTGAAGACCAATTACGTATCTAAGCTACCGGCCAGCCACTATGCGGGATTGTATCAAAAGCACGACTTGCGTGGCGGGCACGTTGTGAAACTTGGACCTGGAAACGAAGAGGCTGCTCAGGAAGCATGCAAGACATGGCCAGGTGGACTTCAAGTGGCTGGAGGTATCACAGACAAGAATGCGAAGTACTGGATTGACCAAGGCGCCGACAAGGTAAGGCTTGTTATCGATTTATGGCCCTGATTGCAATTGAATTTGAATGTTATTATGCCTGGTTTTCCCCCCAAATTACCCATGGTCGTTCGTTCCCATGTTGCGTCATAGCAAGCGTGATGCTAATGGAATGCGGGATACAGGTGATCATCACATCATTCCTCTTCCCAGAGGGTAAGTTCTCTCTGGAGCGCCTTCAGTCAGTTCTCTCTGCTCTGGATGGTGACAAGTCTAAGCTTGTGCTGGACTTGAGTTGCCGCAGAAAAGACAACACCTGGTTTGTCGCCATGGACCGTTGGCAAACCATCACAGAGATGGAAATCAACCAGGGTATGTCTTGTTCACTAGTCTGCAAACCTGTACTTTCTGACAATTGACAGAATCCATTTCTCTCCTCGAACCATACTGCGCTGAATTCCTGATTCACGCCGCGGATGTCGAGGGTCTTCAACAAGGTGTTGATGAAGAACTTGTTTCACGATTGGCTGAATGGTGTACCATTCCAGTGACCTATGCCGGTGGCGCCCGTCACTTGCAAGATCTTGAGAAGGTCCACACAAGCAGCAAGGGCAAGGTGGATCTGACGATTGGCAGTGCACTAGACATTTTTGGAGGCTCTGGGGTGACGTTTGACGAGTGTATTGAATGGAACAAGACACATTAACGATGAGATGAAAAAAATCATAGAACGATAAATGAGATACAACAAATTACAAGATATGAAAGAAATTATCAGTAGCAAATATAGAAATAAAAGTTGAAGTTGAAGTAGAGAAAGTCGAGACTGTCAATAGATCACGTCTGGGCTTGTCCCAAAGCGGCTTAGGGGGTCCGCCCGCCTCCGTATCTCGAGACTTCCAACTTCAGCTGTTGATCACCCTCCCGATCTTCCATCAACCTCTCTCCAAAATGAAGCCCGTTGTCTCCGCTTTGAACGCCTGGTCGTGGTATGTACCCTGACTACCGTGACCTGACTCCAGTCTCCCTAATTCTAACCCGATCGACAGCGTCGTTATCTCCCTCTTCGCAATCGTCATCCTCTCAGTCCTCGGCTCGCTCTTCGGTGTACGTTATCGCGCATCCCATCCCCTCGAAATTCCGCCAGACATATTGCCCAAAGCCTGGGCATACGAAATACCCCCAAAGAGAGACCATGCGCTAATGAGAACTACTTGAATACAGAGCAACAACCACTCCTTCACTGGATCCGAAGGCGAACCCGAAGATGGCCCGGCCGTCGCTGCTTCAATTTATACCGCTGTGATTGTCTACGTTGTTCGTCCACCCATTCCCCGTGACTCGGCAAGATCAACAATCGCACCAATGATGACATCGGTCGCTGACAGTAACTTCTCTCGCTTTCTAGGGTTTCTTCTTCTTCTGCGGTTTCCAGGCCTTCCTTCACATGCGAGACAGCAGGGGTGGCGCTATATCACTGAATTAAAATATACCAAGATTTGTTTGCGATCGTTGTTACTACAACGCTACCAACACCATCTGTCGATTTCCAGTTTTTTGAGCTTACATCTCGGGGCTTCTCATGGATACGGCGCGGTGGCTTAGAACTCACGGGTGGAAAGGGCTTCCGGCTCGTGAGTTTGGTTTCAATACCTACGGCTACCAACTATCCAAATGTCTACACTGCGCGAGCGAAGTAGATCTCTCCACATTACCAGCAAGCAAGATCGGGTTATCTTAGGCGTTGTGGGCAGGTTCCTGATTCTTTTTTTCCCCGCAAGAACACAAAGGTGGCAGATCTGTGAATTGTACATAGACTAAGCCGAGAATTACAGTCAGTTCTTTGATATCTCATTATGTCCTTGTGCATTTGAAGTATAAACTTGATAACTTGGTATAGACATTCAATCATTGGTCCATCATCATGAAGGAAAACAGCTTTTTGAGAGACCACCAACGCCAGTGGATGCAGAACCAGATACTGAGCTCCCGGATCCAGTTTCCTTTTCATTTCTTTTGTTTTGATTTGGGGTTTCGAGACATTCACTCCTCATCTTCCCACGGGTCCAACATCTTGGACATGTAGGGACCGTCGAGGAAGTAGCCGAGACGAGCGTAGTAGCTACGCACACCAACACCGGAGATGACACTGATCTTGCGACTACCGTGTTCCTCACGGGCAATGCGTTCCGCCTCCTCCATCAACAAAGTTCCGAAACCACGGTGCTGGAACTTGCGCGCATCACGGCCGTGAAGTGGCACGGCAGAACCGTACACGTGAAGCTCGCGAACAATACTCGTTTGCTGGCCAGTGAACTCGGGACGGAATGTGTGGGTCTCGCTGCACTTTCGCAGACGAAGAAGACCAATCAGAATATCCTGTTTGGGATCTTCATAAGCCAAGAAAGTTTCCCAGCCGCCGTTGGCTGTGTAGTCGCGGCGAATCAACTCGATTTGCGATGGGCGGATCTTGTTCTTGACTTCGTTAATGCCGACTTCTCGGGTGCGGACGTCACGGCAGGTCGTGCCGAAGTCCTTCATACGTGCCAGAGCCAGCTCGCGCAGGTTGCCGTTCTCCACACCAGATGTCACCAGGGGCATGGGGATATCACGCTGGACACGGTAGATACGGGTCCATGGAGGAACAAGGGCAAGGATGCGGGCGACAAGGTCGATAAGTGCGTTGGGGGTATAGTTCTTGTAACGGCCGGTGCGCCACAGTTCGTAGAGACCGGTGCCTCGGATGACGAGTGTGGGGTAGAGCTTGAGACCGTCGGTACGGAAGTTGGGATTTTCAAAGTACTCGTGGAACTGGAAGAGGTCTCGCTCCATTCCAACGTTAGGCAAATCGGGCATCATGTGGCTGACGACCTTGAATCCGGCATCTTTGGCGAGTTTAAACGTTTCCGCGACTGCCGCAACGGTGTGACCGCGGTTCGTGTCTCTCGCCACGTCCTCGTAGAGACTTTGAACACCAATTTCCAGTCGCGTGCAGCCGTAGCGAAGCATGCTGCTCAAATGTGTGTCCAAACAATAATCCGGTCGTGTTTCGATCGTGATACCCACACACTTCACATTACTCATTTCACCAGCCTGCACTGCCTCGTCGACATTGTCCGTTTGATATCCGCTGAGCGCATTGTGAAGTTGGGAAATGAAGCTGTCTCGGTAATCCTCGGGAAGCGACATGAAAGTTCCACCCATAATAATGTATTCCACCTTGTCGACGCTATGACCGAGAGACTTGATTTGGTCCACACGTCCTCGCGCCTGCTCGAAAGGATCGTAGCGAGCGCGAATGGCTCGCATCGAGGTAGGCTCATATCCGGTGTAAGATTGGGTGGAGTATTCAAAATCGGAGTCTGGGCCACCAGGGCAATAGACACAAATGTTACCGGTGTACGCGATATGGGGGCATCGGTGGGGTTTGCACATGACCGCCACCACGGCGATACCAGAAGAGGTTCCTGCGAATCGAATTAGTTATATTTCCAATCCTTCTTTGGAGATCCTGCACGCACGAATGGGCTTTGCGATCAATTTTGGCAGAATATATTTCTTGTAGTGTTCCGGTACAGCTGCAATAATGGCTGTGAGTGGCGGTTGAGTGGACAAGCAGTGCTTGCTCGAAAAGGTGCCGCGCAACTTGTTGAGGTTCAGATCCTTCCTAGGCTTTGTCGAGTCCCTATGCGCCTCGTAATCCTGAATGAGGGCATTTGCAATGTCGGAGCATGCTCGCATGAACCGTTCACTCTCGGGCACCGACTTTGCGTTCTTCTTCGCGGTCCGCTTGGTTTGCTGGGTCATAGTCATGGTAGCCATGGCGAAGAGACTAACACCGCCAGGTGAATAGCTCTGTCGTTGTTAAAAAAGTCCGTAGTGGTGGGGGTTGATTAGATAGAAAAAAAAGTTGCTGTCATGGCCGAACTCTCTCGGGTCCGCTTAAGTAAAATAATTGTCCCGAGCGAAAACTCCCGGGCGCGCATCCCGAATATCCTTGCTTCACCTTCATCCCCGAATTTCTCTTCCACTTCACCTCTCTCCCCTCTTCCATATTCGCAATGCAGGCCTTCCGCCGTAACACTTTCTCGGCCCTCCGCAAGGTTGGCGCCACCCAGCGTCGGACTGAGGCCACCTCTGCCTACCAGAGCACCGTGAACAACCTCAAGATCAACAAGGACACCCGTGTTCTGTTCCAGGGTTTCACTGGAAAGCAGGGAACGTGAGTACAGATATCCGCACGATCCCTGAATATCTCACGCGCAGTTGACTGACGGTTGATCTTGAAATAGCTTCCACGCCGAGCAGGCTATCGCCTACGGTAAATCTTGTTCACGATATAATCGCGACACAACAGCTTACACACCACAGGCACCAATGTCGTTGGTGGTACCAACCCCAAGAAGGCTGGCTCTATGCACCTCGACCGCCCCGTTTTCGCCAACGTCAGCGATGCCGTGAAGGAGACCGGTGCTACCGCTTCCGCTATCTTCGTTCCGTATGATCCTGCGATATCCGTGAGCTGCCAGTACAGCAAAGCTAACTGTCACCAGCCCTCCCCTGGCTGCCGCCGGTATTGAGGAGGCCATCGCTGCTGAGATGGGTCTCGTTGTCTGGTACGTGTCCAAGCATTGAGCACTTTTTTTCTTTTTTCAAGCCCCCTGCAAAGAGCTTTCAACTGACCGTATTTCGTCCAACAGCATTACCGAGGGTATCCCCCAGCACGGTATGGATCGCCCTCAAACGTCGAAATGCGCGCAAGCTGATTGATTTTGTTTAGACATGGTCCGCATCACCGACATCCTCAAGACCCAGAACAAGACCCGTCTGGTCGGCCCCAACTGCCCCGGTATCATCGCTCCCGTAAGTTGATACCAGACAAGCGCGCAATCGTCCAAACCATGCCTCATACTCATACAATTTCACAGGGTCAATGTAAGATCGGTATCATGCCCGGCTTCATCCACAAGCGCGGTCGTGTCGGTATCGTCTCTCGCTCCGGTACCCTGACCTACGAGGCCGTCAACCAGACCACCCAGGCTGGTCTCGGTCAGTCCCTCGTCGTTGGTATCGGTGGTGACCCCTTCTCCGGCACCAACTTCATCGACTGCCTCAAGATCTTCCTCGAGGACCCCGAGACCGACGGTATCATCATGATCGGTGAGATTGGTGGTTCCGCCGAGGAGGATGCCGCCGAGTTCCTCAAGGCCAACAACATCCACAACAAGCCCGCCGTCTCCTTCATTGCCGGTATCTCCGCTCCCCCCGGCCGCCGCATGGGTCACGCCGGTGCCATCGTCAGCGGTGGTAAGGGTGGTGCCGACTCCAAGATCTCCGCTCTGACCGACGCTGGTGTCATCGTCGAGCGCAGCCCTGCTTCCCTCGGCAAGACCCTGCTTGCTGAGTTTGTCAAGCGCGACCTTGTTTAAAATCGTCGTTAATTTCGATGCATCGAATCCCAAAGGGATCTGAAGTATATCTGCTATACTGTGGGGTTTTTATGGGCTGTTCCATCCTTGGCTGCTCCTGTATTCTTTTTCTCCTTTGTGTTAGAGACCCTTGAAGTAATTATGTTCTTGTGACTTTGTCCGTGCACCTGTATACTGTTGAGTAAAATGATATGTTTCTGCTGTTTTACTCCGCCAGTGGATGCTCACTACTCTGTACTCTGTGAAGAGAGCTCTAGCTCATCCCAGTATCGCATACAGTAAGATCAAGGGCCTTGAACCCCAGGGTTTGTGTGGGACTTGACACGTCCATACTGGGTACTACACGCTACGCGGTACACAGGAAAGAGGGACAGGAAAGAGGGACAGGAAAGAGGGACAGAAAGGTGAACACAACAGCATCAGACTACACAAATGTATCTCATGGGTAGCAACGCAGGATCAGATATAGGTTTCGGGATCTCTCCCTACCGCCTCACCTGCTCGCCGACTCGCATGAGACTGGGAGGTTTGATCTTGACCACAAGCACTCGAACCCTTTGGCCAAGGATCCAAGTGCGGGTGTCTGTGACCCGCGATGGAAGGGAGACTACGGCCGACCAAAGGAGGATTTGTTGGGGGAGAGAGAGAAGAGAAGAAGAGAAAGGGAGGGGAGGAGGTATTTATACCCAAGAGTTGGAGAGGTGGTTTCCTAATTGAGAAGGACCAACACCTCTCACTTCCAAGGTTGACTTCCAGACTTCATTTCCCCTCACCTCACCTTTCACCTCACTTCACAAGGTACCAGAGAGCTTGACATAGCTATGTCTTGTCTTTCGACTCTCCAACATTGTCCATATCAAGCCGTTGCTGGTAGAGATACTTGAGTTTACCCATCTCCCGTCTCGTACTGACCAGGACTTCCCAAATTTTCTAAAATATATCTAGGTACTCTCCAAGTCTTCTGGAAACCCTTAATCAACTATGGATTTGGCCCGATCCCTTTCAGGACGACAGCACCAACATTTGAAAGAACACACCCAAAAGAGCGTCGGGTGCATCCCACATCTTGATCAACCTGAGAATGCATTGTCTTCCGAGAGCTTGAATCAGATGGCGTCAGATGTGACTATTTGGGTGTCGGCCCTCTCCAAGACACCGATCATGGATTGGGGATTCTCCCTGCTGTTTCAAACATCTCATAATCTATAATCCTCACGATGATCCCTCCAAATTGGGTTTCGCTTTATAGGCGCAAGGTATCGCAGCTATGCGAGCTGCAGTCTACTCTCGAAGATCAGAAGTCTCACTCAACCCTCAAGAAGCAAAGGAATTCTTGTTTTGCCACCATCTCAAATGCAACAATCGAGATTCATTCTATGGACTTTGCTACTGGTGCAACTCGATGCATGCTCGGACATTTCAGCCCCGACGTTGAGAATGCTATGGAAATATGCAGTGACGATTTCTCGAAGCTCAGAGAACTGATGAACAAGTATCAAAGGACCGACAGGTCAAGCATGCAAGAGACCCTCCTCCGAACCTTTATCAGATACTCAAGGAACGGGAAATTCTGCGATCCAGGTCCCTGGACACCATCATGCCAGTAAGCATATACAGACAATGGTTTCCATCTACAGGGCATAGAGCCCAATGTACTAACTCCAGTCAACTCCAGATTCACTCAAGACACTGGAAACCTCTTCAACAGCAGTGACAAACATGGATTCACCATCGAAAGTGGAGCTACAATGGCCGACACCGTCTCCGGCCACCGAATAGTCATCATGAAAAGCGACTCATTGGTCGAAAAAACACTCCCGTCTGTTGGCGAGATACTCGTCCTCGTCAGATGGATGTCCTCCGGATATCGACCTCAGATGAAACATCTGAGAAAAGCCCAAAGACTCTCGCAAAGTGAAAGGTTCATTCACGACTTTCCGGTACGTTCTCAAACAAATCTCTTGGGAGTTCAATTTACACTGACTGTTGCATAGACAATGGTGATTTCATTTCTACCAGACTGTCGAGTCCGAATCCTATACGGATACTTCGACCAAGGTCGACTTAAGGTGGCTTACACTGAAGCCATCAATTTCGATGCCAACAATTACAGCTCCAAAATGGGTGTTTTGGTGCAGTGGGCTTGGCCACTGGTCAATTTCGATACCAGAAAACCTATTCCTCTCCTGACCATCTCAGAGGAGACTACATGTGATACGTGTGGATCAGCAATGCGAATGAACCAACCGTGTGAGGAATGTGAGAGCGGCTGGGAGACTGAATTTGAGAGTGATTTAGAGGGGGAAGAGATCGATGTTTCAGGGTGTGAAGAGACCAATATACCAAGGTGCGAGGAGGAAAGGCCGAGCATGGCGAAGAGGCCATTGGGAACCAGGGCGGCCTCGAAAATCCCCCGTTCCATCTTGGGCAATGCATTCTACGCTCGTCTGATGAGGGCCGTTTCATAATTATTCTGTCTTTCTGGCATCATTTTGACTGATTTGTCGTCCAAAATTCATGTATGTTGTGTGAGATGAACGCATCACGGCCACGGCTGTACCATAGCCCTGGAATTGACCATGAGATGAATTGAAGGATTTTCGAAAAAGTAACTTTACAAAGCCAGCTTTGAAGATAGAAATTAGAAGCTATGTCTGTAGTGCATACTTAACAATGTAGTCGTGAGGTTGGGTTGGACAGGAACATGAAGTAAACGACGATCCGGCTCAATAGTCAAGGCTTTGGGCTTTTCTCTCCCTTTTCTCTCTTCTTCCGATTAACTCTCCATTTTTGTATCTATTTCAGAAAAGGGAAGAGCAAACCTACCAAAGCTGGGGGGTTCACACCATGAGTGCATCCCTTGGGGCCTAGAAATTCTCTAAATCGCTTCAGTAAGTGTTGATTCTCCACAGGGATCTGAGTTGCTTCATGAGACACTACCTACCATCTTTTAGATCACAGCTTTGGCGAGCATTTATTTAGGCATCATTATGGCTTTTTGCCTCGGATTTACCGTCACGTTCGAGATCTTTGCGAGACGATTTCCCCGGTCTTTTGAACTCAAGACTGGTAACGAAACAACACACCAAGGCCGCAAACGCTTCTAAGATAATTTCCATTGTCCCGCTAGATCGATCTGAGCCCAATTGATCATTAACAGAAAGCCTCCACAGGCTTTTTATAGTCAGAAACAGAAAAAGCATTCGATATGATGTCATACAGGGGATTTGGTCGAGCGCAAGGCTGTCGGAGCACTGCCCTGCTAGGCTAATGGCTAATCAAATTTAGAAATTCAGACACTGCATTACAACAGCCAATTGGGACTAGGGGATATGTTGAGATCCCTGATCCCATAGGGCCAGAGCTACCGTGTTTGTTTTGCTTTCACAGGGCCTCTCCCTCACCCCCCAATAATAAGCTGTACCTCACCCTCTGTTGTCACCTTGTTGACGAGGTCCCTCACCCACCGCAACTGGTTGACTATGGTAATAGAAAACTTGCCACCGGGTGGGTTTTTGGCGATGCAACGGTGTTCTCAGTTGCAGGCGATAGTACGTTATGCCCGTCTCAGGCTCAATAGTGAAATCTGCACCTCTTCTTTCTGCAAGGCGCGCTTGCGAATCCGCTCTTCGATGGTTCCGCGGGTGATGAGACGGTAGACAGTGACTTGGCGAGTTTGGCCCAGACGATGCGCACAATCTATAGCTTGTCAATCGATGGTAGGGTTCCAGTCGAAGTCGTAGAGAATAACTGTATCGGTGGCTGTCAAGTTGATACCGAGACCACCAGCACGAGTGGAAAGCAGGAACACGAAGATTTCAGGGTTCAAGATTGAGATGGACAACGAAAGGGGCCGACCTGTGTCTTGCCAAATTCGATGAAGTCGTTGTCCGTCTCAATCTTGTCGGTCTCAATCTGCTTAAGCCTCATTGAGGAAGTGGCGCGGCCAGTAGAGTTTTCAAGTATGAAAGGGATGTGCCCTGAGGCCACCCATGTGGCCTCCGGATCCTGGGGCTTCCCATTGCTCGAAACAGGTCTGGTGGTAAAGTCCTAGTCTGTGGTGAGAAGCAGGTACAAGGAAGAAACAAAGAGTGGGAAAGCGAGCGTTGTGAGCGGTCCATTTCCATTGCTATGTAACGTACCATGAGAACTGCTCGGACATCATCTAATTTGACTGCTTCGTATTTCAGTTCGAGGTCCATTGTGGCGATGAGAGGAAGGAGAAAAGAGAAAAGTTTCATTTGAGTTATTCATTTTTGTCGAAATTATTCCCACAATATGACCAGTGAACCTGACTATGATGGGAGATGCTATCTACTAGATGTTGATGAGATTTGAGATACTTGGTTAGGTAGATCTGAACTTCGTTAGATGCTTTGAAGGCATAGATAAAGATGCCATGGTTGATACTTACCCCCCAGCAAACTCTTTCATCTTATTCCACCCAGGGAGAGTAGCAGAGCCACCCGGTTTATGGCCCATGAAAGAGTGATCTTCACTTGCACAAGTTGGGTCCCCAGTGGCATTCATGGAATACATATCATTCTCAGCCATCTCTGCACGTTCGAAGTACTTGTTCTCGGCTCTCGTCTTCTGGTCTCTCAGACCAAGAAATTCGCCCATCGTTGATTTGCCAGTGGGTGCCTGTAGAATGCAAGATCAGAACATCATCATCGCAGTAGTAGTTGTCAATGACAAACATCCATATGGCCAAGTCCCTGCTCCTTGCCTCCCATCCAGAGGTGATTACCCCATCCACCTTCACCACCAACATTGTTGGCTGGAGTAGGGGTAGCACTGGTGCCCCCGGCAACTGAACCGGTTTGGTGGTTTGGACTGCTATCGCCGGCCATTGTTGTATCAAAGGAATAATATCTGGAACTTTTGAAAGATGAGTAAGATGTTCAATAGCCGAGCTAGTACGTATACTCACAATTTCACAACTAGAGAGTTGTGGCAGCTGAGGTAAAATTTGTTTAGAATGAATAGTATAGGCACAAGTGTAACAAATAAAATGGAATACCAATGCTTTTGTAATATGTCCTTGGCCTAAACTTCGCCACCAGTTCGGATGAAGTCATGATGAGAGGGTTTACAACCTGGAAGTAGTACATCATTTGCATCCCCATGGGCCTGTTTGTTTTGTTGTTTGGATTCTTTTTCTTGAAATTGAATTTAAAAATCCTTGGGATTTCGACCCAACGTAGAAAGATGGGCTTTGCGAAGGAGCCCGCGGGAGCCCTCCCGCAGTGTGTAGAGCTCTACCCTCTTTCTCTTTGCCTTTCATCTTAATCATTTGGCAAATATCTCGCCCTAGCGCTCTCTGACTTTCTCTGCTTCTCTCGGAGTTCATTCTTGGTGGTTCTCGCGCAACATTACAAATACAGCTAATTACTACCTCTTACTGACACAAGACCATGATGATTTACCAAAAATATTCTACAGCACAACCCATTAATCTAATTGATTGACATGCTAATTAATTATGTTTTCCGAGGATTTTCCCGATCATATCGGAAAACCTTGAAAGCCGGCCAAAGCTGCAACAGAACAGCACCGACCATCATACAACCAGCAAATATCTGCGCACGCAGGAACTCAGCTGTTTCGAGATTAACCAAAGCACCTGCAATTGGAGTTCCAGCCAATGCACCAAAAGATGATATCCCCCACATCATGCCCAGGCGTGTTCCCAAAAAGGTGGGATCAGGACAGAAGACCGGATGCGCCACGATGGACGTAGGTGCAGTTACCAATACACCACTGAGAGCTCCCCAGTAACATGCCCAGACGATGAAGCCGGCGCTGCTGGTCGCGGCTATCCAAGTGAACATGGCGATGGCGGAGGCAGCCACGGCGAAAACCAAGATTCCAATTGGTTTGATGTATGCAACGAGTAGGTAGGGGACGACACGTCCGATGACAGATGATCCGTTCACGATTGCAACCATATAAAAGCCAAGGCTGGTAGTTGTGTGGACGACAGTGCGGGCATATGAGGCGACGTAGAAAATCGGGACGTAATAGGCGAGCATGACACAGGTGAGTGAAACGGAGAACATCATGAATGAAGGCTCACGGAAAGCCTTCCAGTCGATCAGACTTCTAGCACGGGCCTTTTGAGCAGGCTGTCGACACAGAATTGTGCAGGCAATGATAGCCAGAAACAAGGAGATGAAGCCGATGGAGCGAACAGCCCATCCAAACCCTACCTTGGGCTGCAGTTGACGAAACATGACAGGGAAAATCACAGCTCCAACGCTGGATCCGATCGATGCGAAGCCGATAGCGATAGGACGCTTCGTCGTGAAGCTAGTGGAAATCACGACAAGTGCTGGGATGTAGGAGATACCACCTCCCATTCCGACGCAGAATCCTTGCGCGAGCAATACCTGTACGAGTGAGATAATGCGCCGATGTACTTTTGATCACCGCTTACCTGGTAATAAGAACTTGCGAGACTGGTCATCATCATTCCAAAGACGGTCAGGAAACTTCCTGCTATGATCAGAGGACGCAAGTATCCCACATCAACTAAAGGTCCTGTTGCAAGGCCAACCATGGGTATCAGAGTTGCTTGAATACTGCCCACCCAAGAGATTGTTGACGGTGATTCATTCGGTAGGAGAACAGTCTGGTAATATTCTTGAAAGGCGCCATATGTAGTCAAGATTCCCCTGTTCAAACTGTTAGCTGTATGGTGAAGTATAGAACCGTCCCACCCACCAAGAATTGACGAAAACACAGAAACCCGCAAGAACGCTTAGCCAAGCATCTAGGCCTCCATTGATCCTCTTTTTTGGACGCTCCGGCTCAGTATCCTGTTCGTTTTCACGTTTGGGTGCTAAGTTGTCGCCCAAACCGTCTGTTGACGGTGGTTGTTCGGGGGCCGGTGTCATATTTGCCTCCAAACCCATTTCGACAGAAAACTCTCATCATGAAAGAGCAGGAGTCGATGATTATAAGTACTACAGGGGTCCATTTACCCCGAAGGCCCACAGTGGGGAAGCTCTTTGCCCATGGGGGTTCTATTAGTCACTGGTTTGGTTCGGTTCAACCGGCAAGTGTGTAGCCGAGCTCTACCGTATGGGCTTGGGCACTGGAGTTTTGCTCTCCAAGCCAATTGCACGGGCACCTCCGACGGGGATCTGGCCCCAATGCCTGGGCAACACCGCTTACATGAGACCTGCACATGGGCAGCGTTCAAGGCGAGCATAGAATCCATACTCCTTGATCCCTCCTTCTGAGATTGTCAGAGATTGTCAGAATAAAGTGCTCGGGGCTTTTCAGGGCATATAATTTGATTAATCTACATAAAATGTCCCCAAGCAAGGGCCGTTATTCGGAACATTTTCTTCCCAAATTGTATTGTCCGCTTTAGTGCCGTTTGACGCAAGTCTGACACCAATCACGTACATCAAAATCCCCCACAGATGCATACAGTGCCCAATCTCAATTATCCTTGCGAGATCGAATTTGGACCCTGTTCAATGCAAATGATGAGCAATCCGTCTCAAATAAGAGAAATATTCGTGCCAGTCGCAAATGACAAAGATGTTCCCGAGGTTTGCTTTGACTGCAGCTTCGACACTGATGTACTCCGTATGGAACCATTGAAATTCTGGATCGACTTTTTAGATGTCCCATTTTGAGGACCAGCGTCAATCATTCTAAGTGATATGAATTTTCAGTGAAATGTCGATTTTCACTGGAATTCTGGGGAATTTGTGGGGTTTTTCGGTCCCCGGAATTACTGTATTTCCAACTTTCCAAGGGAAGGTAACTATGTAATTCCAATTTTGGCAGGCATTTCCTCTATACTAATATACTGGTCATAAGAAAAATGCTTAGCTTCAAATTACATGAATAATGTCCAATCATCTATTCATAAATCTATTAAATAATATAACCCTCGTGAGACCGTTGTTGAAAAGTATCTTGTTCACAGGGCGCTTTCATAATATCATCGTGCGACAGCCTCCCCAACAACGTAGGGCTCTTTTTCAGAAACATTAGCCTGCGTGTGTTCCTCGTCCTGGCCTTGCGGGAACTCAGCAGCTTCCTTGGAATGTTCGATGGGAACATGGTCCTTGACAACTAGCCATGTTGGCCAAACTGCGAGACCTGGGATGGGTTAGTATACTTCGAGGCTATAATGATTGATTTGAATTACCAAGAAGAATTGTGTTAACGGCAAGTGGGACTCTTCCGCCTTTCCACTCTCGGGTGTTGATGCCGAAGGACACGGCTTGGGAGAAACTCTCTTGGCCACGGAGGATACCGGAAAGTCGAGCTGAGGATTGTTAGTTTGTGGAACAGGATGTCTCGGGATGTACTTACAGAGCTCGGAGATGTTGTCGGTCATGGTGGAGAGAAGGTAGTAGAGGAAGTTTTGCAGACATTGCTGGGAGAATTCTGGTCGCGGTCAGTGTTGTATCAATATTTCTGGTAACAAACTTACCCCAGAGCAGGATGACGAAGAACCCTTCGACGAAGCCTTTGTCGGCCCAGTCGAGCATGGGTGGGTTCTTGGTGTACTTTTCTTGGATGACCCAACAATAGACCCAGGCAGCGATGTGCACGACGATCACGTAGAAGAAACTATCAAACATGTGAGCTTTTGATCCAGACTCATCATTTTGACATTGAGTGGGGATCGTCTTACCTGTACTTGATTCTGTTTCTGACTGACAGTCCACGGTAGTCCAAGAATCTGCTGATTATAGCCGACGACAGCAGACTGGCGAAGTAGCCTTGAGCTTGTTAGTTTCCATGGACCTGTAGAACGGCGAGGTTCGCAAACATACTGACAAAGCCCATCAAAGCACGAGCACGAACACCAAAGTAGTATGTTTTGAAGTCTGACCGAAAACGTTAACATTTGACAAAACAATAGGAATGATCAGCTCATACTTCCGCTGTACTGGTTGAAGTACGCAGCCCAGAAGACCGGCAAAAGCAAAAGAATCTATGACCCGTTAGCTCTCGATCCGCAAGATGAAGGATATCAAAAAAATACCTCTTTGCGCTTGCAGACTTTCCACAGCTCTTTCATCTCGTCGCGCCAGGAGTCCTGCAGAACAATCTTGACTTTGCTGCCATCGTTGCGCTGGACCTTGCTCGGTGGTGTGAGCCAGTACGCCACAGGAACAGCCAGACACTGGAGCGCGACGAAAATGAGATATGTCTCTGATCCCACCTTGCCCTTTTTGTGGGCATCGCCGTCACTGTTTGGCTATTAGCAAGACCGCCATGGTAAAGTAGTGGGGAGAACGTACTGGTTCAGTCCCAGGACAATAGCACCTCCCAGCAACGGACCGCCTGTACGGAACCACAGCCAGATACTGATTTGATTAGTATATCCAACCGGTTGTATTTTTCTTCGGGAGTTAGACGCACTTCATATAACGGCCTCTCTTGGTTGGCTCAGGATATCCCAGAGCAACGGCACCCTCAGACGCCCAGAATAAACCAGCACTGCACATCACGTTAGAACCTGCGCATCACATCTCCAGTGTCAAAACTTACGATAGACCACAGAATACAGATCCTAGAAGGACAAACCACACGTTTCCCTATAACACATTATTAGTCTCAATCTCGATCTGCGAGAATCCTCACAGGCAAAAGCATACATATCGATTATTCGTGTATAGCGCAGCACTTCAGACAGGTCAGTTCCCACAAAACCAAGTTTCCGACATCCGGTTCACATACGAGTAAAGCGGGTATCCCACAGCACCAAGCATCAAAGTCCAGTTCAAACCAATGCGGTTCGCAATTGGGCCACCGAATAGACACAGGAATCCCACTGCGCAGTGTTAGCTTGGTATAGTTTCTTTCTTGCAATCACATACTAAGACCGAAGACCAAGGCGTTAGCCGCGTTAATCAAGAACGGCGACTGGGCACCGCCTGCGCCTAGAGAGTTCATGGCGTTCCATAGGCCTGGGGCTAGGAAGCCCACGCCACCGATGATACAGGCATTGAACAAGGTGCCGCGGTACCAGAGTTTCTTTTCGGGCTGTGCCGTTGTATCTGAAGCCGAGATGGAGGCCATTGTGAGAAGCTTTGAACCAGAACGGAATGGGAGGTTGTTCAGGGTAAAATGGGCGACGGGAGCTATATATGAATTTTCTCCATGTCCAATCTTTCAATCCAAGATTTCATGTTGCATTGAGCCTATTCTCATCTGTTAGCAAGATGGCGTGCTTTGGGTTTCGAAGCTCTAGAGCCTGTTTGGGACTAGTGGCGAAGGCCAAGACAGCCTTAACATATGACTGACCAATCAGAGAATGACCGGGCGGGTAGTTGTGGGGCTCATTGGCGACAGACATCTGGCCGCTGATTGCCGATGTTTAAATAGGGAAAGATGAGCAGAGATTTATGTCTCTAGTCGGGATTGGTGGTACGAGGTGGATGGATATTTGATGAAAAGAAAAAAATGTGTTTGTACTATCTCATGAAAAGGTCGTTATATGTCACAGCGTGTCTTTTTTTTTTACTTGGAAACCTCCTTCACTGCAGCGATGATATCGCTGGGGCCGAGACCCTGGGCGTTGACCTGCTCGTACAGACCACCGCAGCCCTCCTTGATGGCTCCGATGGACTTGAACTTGGGGGTGAACTTGCGCTCGAGAAGGTGGGTACCGAGACGAGAGCCCAGACCAGTCTTCTGGGCAATGGACTCGACAACCAGGACGAATGGTGAGGATCCGTACACCTTTATGGTCTCTTCGTCGACAACGTTGAGAGTTGGTTTGTTGATCAAACCAACGTCGAGACCCTCGGCGCGGAGGTTCTCGACAGCGTCCAAAGAGCGGTAGAGCATGTCACCGTAGGAAACGATGTAACCGGCAGAGCCCTTGCGGACAATTTCTTCCTTACCGTGGACGAACTTGTAGCCTTCGCCGTAGAGCTTGCTCTCGGTACCCTCCTTGAGGATGTAGGGGACCTTGGAGCGAGTGGAGAAGATGAAACGCAGGCCCTTGTTCCAGAAGACCTCGTTGACAACGGCCTTCATCTGCTCACCGTCGGCGGGGAAGTAGAGCGAGGTGCTGGCAGCATCCATGAGACCGTTGTCGGCGAAGAAGTGGTTGAGACCGAAGTGGCAAGTGTTGTCAGCCATCTCATCGACACCACTGTGGGAGAAGTGAGACAACACGGTGCAGTCGTTCAGGCGAGCCATGGTGATCTCGGAGATACACATCTCCAAGAAAGCGGAGAAGGTAGAGAACACACCCTGGCGCTCACCGTTGCTTCCAAAGCCGAATCCAGCGGCGGCAGAGAAGTTACCTCGCTCCATGACACCAGATGCAACGAATGACTCGGGGTGCTTGGCACCAATGGCCTTGAGACCAGTGGAACCAGCAAGGTCAGAGTCGATGACCATGACGCGGCGCTGGGCCTCCTCCTTGCTTAGCTTATCAAGGATGTCGTTGACAGCATCACCGAAGATGGTGCGGTTTCCGCCCTTGTCCTTGGAAGAGCCCTTGTAAGTGTGGGGGTTAGATCCAGGCTTGATCTGGTCGTAGAAAGCAAGTTGCTTCTCGCTGTAGCCGCGCTTGGTGAGGTATTTGCGGGCAATGTCAACAGTGATGACGTCGTGAGCATGGGTCTCACCCTCAATACCCTCGATACCGGGGGCCATCTTGCGGTCGACGATCACAGCGGCAGGGCCGTCGTAGTTGACAATCTCGCACATGGCGGGGAACAAGGAGTCGACGTTCTCTCCCTCGGCGCGGAGAACCTTCAGTCCGTGACCATCGAGGGTGCGACCAATCTCGTAGCCCTTGAGGTACTCTGAGGGGTGACCAGCAATAGTGACATCGTTGTTATCGATGAAAAGCTTGACATTCAGCTTCTGGGCGACAGCCAAGCGCGCAGCCTCGGCGTCGTTGCCCTCCTGCTGGGAGCCATCGGAGCCGAGCATGATAACGTTCTTATCCTTGTTGGCCATGGCGATACCGTTGACCATTCCCCACATGTGACCGAGACGACCGGAGCTGAACTTCACACCAGGTGTGAAGCCAAGCTCGGGGTGGCCGGGAAGGTGAGAGTCGGCAGCACGGTAGTTGAGCAAGTGATCGGGCTCGATCTTGCCATCCAAGGCAGCGAGGAGGTATTGTGTGGCGACACGGTGGCCGGCCTCATCGTACAGAGCATCCACCCACTTGTTGGGGCTGGCATTGATGAATGCAAGCAGAATGCAGACTTCGGGGGCGGTATCGAAGGGACCACCAGTGTGTCCGGAGACACCACGGGCAGATCCGGTGGCAGTGAAAGCCACTAAAGCATCTCTGAAAACATTGATGTTGTGCAGAAGATCGCTTTTCTGCTGGGCGGACAGCTGAGGGGTCTTGGGGTCAAGCTTCAGATGCTTGAATTGCTTCAGATCGACGGGGAATGTGTGGCCGCTCATTTTGAAATTGACTTTCAATATGAGTGTAAGATATGTACGAAGGGGAAAATCCAGGAGCTGCAGGATGGAGGGGTTATAAGTTTGAACTCACCGGGTTGGTGACGTCACGCGAGAGATAAAAAAAAGTGACTTGTTTTCAGCAATCGACTTGTCCACTTTTTTTTTTATCGAATGCTCCACCGTCCAGTTTCAATTCGATCGTTGGCTTCTTCGCGGCTAGTTGATGCACGAATCGTATCCCTGATGTGTCAATATGCAGTCCAGGCTGTGACATGACCTGTCAGTGTCAAGATCCCCTCTTTAAAGCCGTTACGGGTTGACCATCGCCATTGGACTTGGGAAGTAACCATCCACCTTAAGAGTCCAATTCATGCGGTGAACTAAGACCGTGGTCTTCCGCCAGGATCAGTTGTTCCTAATTGTCCTGCTTCCGTGCCGAGATACGTCTACCCAGTTCCTCCCACAGTACGAAGTACATGCAGCTTGTCCGCAACTCAGCCACTCTGCACGATTAGCTCTAATTGTTTTCTTTTTTCTTTGATTTTTCTGTGCCGTCTGGCCCCTCAGAACCTTCTTTTCCGGGTAGTATGTTGGGACTAGCATGCCTCAGCGCCAACAATTGCGCGCGGGGCTTTGGCGAGATTCCTCCCCAGCCATGTAAACATCAAACAATACATAGAATAATACTGAAAGCCATTGCTCTGGGTGGCACGAAAAGCTATAACCCAGTTGGAAGAATCTATAATCACTACTTTCGCTCCATTCTAATGAACCACGGAGGATAATCATCGGAAGCACCTTTGGGGGATTTTTGTCACTGTCTAGCAACACACTACAATGAAGTGAGAATACCCCGAATGGATCGGTAGCTAACCAAAGTTCTTCCACAAGGGATGAACTAGTTAATTTCTAAAGTTCCACTTGAGCAATGATGTCTACTTGAGTAGATGATTCCTTCTAAAGTTAAGAATATATGAGACACCCTCAAAGTCCGTTGTATAAATTTCGATGGGTTCTTGGCACTTATCTCTCTTCAACAACCTTTTCAACTTTAGAACTTTAGAAGTTCCATAGCTTAAGCTACTTTCATAAGTAAGTACCTATGAAAATTGAAAGAATTAAGAATTCAAGTCAATCACTACCCCGACCCCCCCACTTAAGCACAGGGACACGTCTAACTTAGACTGCGCCCAAACCGCAAACCGTCTAGCACCTCGTGCCGCTATACAACCCCGTGATAGGCCCATGGACAATCCCTCACATCAAGGGCTCCAAGGGCGGTCCCAGGGCAATGGATCAGTGTTTTTCTTTTTCGATTCACTTAACGCGACAATTTTAGAAATTAACACGCGACACGATCTCGTTCCCTCGCAAAAATGACACAGTCAATGTCAGAACCAGAGCCACCAGAACACCCCCCACCAGACTATCACAGTATCCCACCACGCAGGCCACCAATCGAGTGTATCCGAACATCAGCAGCCCCTCAGCGTAAGTACCCCTAGCCAAAGATCGAGCGTGTGGTCATTGCTGACTCCTCAGCACCGAGCCGCTCAGTAAGCGATCCCCCTGGAGCTTGGCCAACTTAGCCCCCGTATCTTACCAATCACAGTCACAAGCCTTCAAAGTCAATGGGACGATCTATGTCGCGGCTCAAATAGCAGCCGCGCCGCGGGTGGGTTTTTTCATTGGGCCGCCAGCCGTAACTGCCGAGCGGATCTTTCTGAACATTGAGGCGATCCTCAAGGCGGCTGGATCCTCGCTGGATCGAATTGTTAAAACTACGGTATGACCTGAAATGGGCTTTTTTTTTGTTATGGTGCTGATAGTCATGTTCAGGTTTACCTCACGGATTGCGCTCATGGAGTCCCCGAGTTCGAAGCGGTGTATCAGAGGAGACTTCCTTTTGCACCGCCGCGGACTACGGTGCTGGTTTCGAAGATGAATACGCCTGATATTCAGATGGAGGTCATCGCAGTAGAGTAAGTTACGGGACTTTTTAGCTTGGAAGATTATGGCTGTACGTTGGAATGACATGGAATGGTTTTTGGTCTCAATCTCAATCTCACATCATCTGCATTCATGGATCTGGAGGAGTTTTCTTTTTTTTTTGGCAAGATCCATTGCCCCACATTGTATCACCCCCGAGTCCAAGGCCAAATGCTCATATGAAGTTGTCAGGCTACTCTGTATTTCGTACTCGGTAAGCAACTTGTAGAATTACAACCCAACCTTCAAAATCATAAAGTTCTTTGTTGAGTCTGGTTCATACCGATTTGGTCGGACATTAATGTCCAACCTGCGCCAGCACTTTGAGCAGACCCACGGTGGGTTTCGATCTGCGGAAACCCTGGTCTGTGCTCCATCCAATAGCTCGCAGTTGAAAGTCATTGACGGTCTCCGTGCAGTATACGTATACTCGTACAGGTATGTGAAGGCAAGTCACGGATAATATCCAAGTATTATAAAGGCATCGGATGTAACCCCCGCAAAGCCAAGGGTCAGACGGCAAGTCGGCGCCGAAGCCGCGGACCGGAGCCCCTTTAATTTTTAATTTTTTCCCTTTTTGCGGGGAAGCACGGTGGAAGAAGCCCATAGTGAATTCGACATTTGTAAAAATAAAAATGAAAAAAACAATGAGTATTGTATAAGACCTTGTGCTCTACAAGTACCTACACAAGCATAGATTGCCACCCGATGCAGAACAATTGCCGATCAATGGATAGGAGCTGAACTGCACAAAAGACGGACTCGCACTACTGGCCGAGATCGGGCAGAGTGGATCTGCAACATGGATGAATTTACGGAGGTGACTCAATGAGCAAGTGAGATTTTTCTTTACAAGTATTCTCTTCTCTTCTCTTCATCTACTGTGCCATTGACCTGCCAAGTCGGGGTATCGATTCAACCTCGGGTAACGCCCTATCCCTGTCTCCGTCTGGATACCACCTAAGCAATAATTGGCGATCTGCGGTCTACGCCTCGGCACTTGAAAAAGGCGTCGTTGAGACTTTTCTCTTACGCTCTCTTTCCTGCCGATCTGAAGAAACGTGCGCTCTTTCTAGCGCTATAATTATAGTGGGACTCCCAGGTACGTTCGCAGGGAAATGAGAATTCAAAACGGGCCTGTTCCGCGCCAGCGCATCCCTACCCGACACCGAGCTGACTGTTCCGCGCAGAGACGAAAGAACCAATTGACAATGGCGAAAGCCAGGCCAGTTCGCAGACAGATGAGCTGCCGCCTCTTACGACGACGACCGAGCGCAAGTTGATGGCCAAGGTTGACTGGCACATCTTGCCTGCGATTTGCATTTTGTACCTCCTCGCGTTCTTGGACAGGTAAGAATGTCGCCACTGCGGGGTGAACCGGGAGCTCACATCAATCGCAGAGTGAATATTTCCAATGCCGCGATTCTCGGATTGAAGGAAGATTTGGATATTGTCAATGGAACAAAATACAATACCGCGCTCACCATCTTCTTCGTCCCGTATATTATCTTCGAAATCCCGTCCAACATTCTCTTAAAGAAGCTCAAGCCTCATGTCTGGTGTGGGTATTCAATGGCAATTTGGTGTTTGCGAATAGCTTACTGATATCTGCATAGTGTCGCTTTGCATGTTCATGTTCGGTCTGGTCATGATCTTCCAGGGTCTGGTCACGAACTGGAGTGGATTGATGGCCACTCGGTTCTTCTTGGGTGTCTTCGAGACTGGCATGTTCCCAGGATGTAAGTTTTGGCTCAAAAGCATCTCATGTCTCACCACTGACAATGACCAGGCTTCTATCTGATGGGCATGTGGTACAAGCGCTCTGAAGCGCAAAAGCGGTTCAGTTTCTTCTTCAGCTCGACTACCTTGGCTGGTGCTTTTGGTGGCTTGCTTGCCAGTGGAATCGCCAAGATGGAAGGCATGCAAGGCTACCGCGGCTGGCGTTGGGTGTTCATCATTGAGGGTGTCTTGACTAGCGTCGTCGCCATCATCCTGTGGTTCTGCATTGCGGATTTCCCAGAGGACGTGAAATGGTTGAATGAAGAAGAACGCACATATATGCGCGCAAAGTTGGCCAAGGACGTTGGTAAGGCTGCACACCACGTACCCTTGGGTAAACGCGAAATTCTGGGTGTCTTCAAGGACTGTAAGTCAACACATCTTATTTTTACTTCGCCTGTGCTAACAATTCTAAAGACAAGGTTTTCATTGGAGGTTTAATGTACTTTGGATTGATTGTCCCGGCGTACAGTACGTGTCTCACTCGTTGAACTCGTTTGAATGACTACTGACCATATACAGGCTACGCCTACTTTGCCCCATCGATTATCAAGACCTATGGTTACGATAACATCAAGACCCAGCTTTACTCGATTCCTCCTTGGGCCGTGGCCTTTGGATTCTCAATGGTGGTGGCCACCATATCAGACAAGATGCGTCACCGATTCGCATTCACTTTAATCCCAATGGCCGTGGCCGTTGCTGGCTTCATCATGCTTCTCACAATCCACAACGACACAGCACCGCAGTATGGCGCCCTGTTCCTACTCACCAGCGGATGCTACAGCGCCATGCCCGTCGTGGTATGTTGGTTCGCCATGAATCTCGGTGGTCACCACCGACGCAGCGTGGGAACCGCCTGGCAGGTCGGCTTCGGTAACATTGGTGGCATTATCGCGACTTACGCGTTTGTCCAGAAAAACGGTGTAACCGATTACCGGACTGGTTATATCATTTGCCTTTCCTTTGTGTGTTTCGCTGCTGTCATGTGTTTGGTGTACGTCCTCGCATTGTGGTATGAGAACCGCAAGCGCGATAACGCGGCGGTTGACCCTGCGACGATTCCGGAGGAGGAGGAAGAATATCTCGGTGATATGGCGCCAACCTACCGGTACCAATACTAATTTATGGTAGCTTGGGTTTGCGCGTGTAGTCGCTTTTGTTGTGACTGTCCAGGTGGAGGCTGTTACGCTCTTCCTGGAGTCCCGGGCGACTATGACGATATACAATAATGCTGCAAATGAATGTAAAATTTCATGTTCCATAAATAAGGAATTGAATTGCATAGTAGAGATTACGCGTGAGGCATTGAAGTACAATGCATGTGAGCTAGTTGGCATTGCGACAGCTTGGTACGATGTATATGAAGCTCTTTATTATTGCGGGATGCCTTTCTAGACAGTCGCATACTCAAGTCAACTGTTTTCATAGTTTGCAATGGCATTCAAAATCCATTTGTGTTGAGAGCAACATCGAAGACATGTTAGGGTTACCGCAAGGATGTCAACAATAAGCTCAACCACATAATTCGCCAATGGATGCAGCCCCAGAATTAATGATGTCGTAGTGGATCCAAGACGGTTTCGATTAAGAACAGCTTGCCCTACCAATTTCCCAAAATTGGCCAAAATTGGCAGCTGGCGTGGCTATGTGTGGTCCGGGATGGAAAGCATCATCGGTGCACGTGACTGCCCTAAGCGAGGCGGCTGAGTCATCCACACCGCACTCAAATGCGTCTCGGGCCGCGCCACTTCATCCTTCTTTCTACTATCTTTCTTCATCCTCGCATAATCGTGAGTGCCTTTCCAAAGCCGACAATGATTTTCGGCCATGCGCTAACCAATTCACAGTACGAAGATGAGAGCTAAGTGGAGAAAGAAGCGCGTTCGCCGTCTCAAGCGCAAGAGAAGAAAGATGAGAGCACGATCGTAAGTCGCTCATGCGCTGGCACATGGCCATTGATGAATTCGAGAGCATCGTACTAACTCCCAATTCAGCAAATAAACTACTCGCCCCCTCCATCTCAGCGCACCATGCTCGGGCTCATGTTTGAACACTGAATACGACAACTGAAGTCGACGTTACTTTCGTTTCGCGATTATGCCTCTCACTCAACGAGTGACTTTACCCTCCAAACTTCCGACCTCAAGAAGAAGTTGCAAACCGGACGACGGAATCCGCTGTTTTCAAACAGTCCTACCTTTTTTTTCCAACACCTCGGATTCAATTCACGTCTACGATTTGATGTTGGGCATGGTCATTACTCGGAGAGGCTCCCGTGTTCAGTCGGATGTTGGAGGATCGCTATCGGTCTTTGAGCACGACTTGGGGTGACTGGTCAATTCTCATGCTTTACGGCTCTCCTTCGGGTTGGTCAAAAGTAGTGGAGAGGTTACTTCCGGGAGTTTATCAAAACAAAATCCATGGAATAGCTCGGAGGTCTTTGGTTTAGCTACTCAGATGAATCGATGACTTGATGAGTGCTCACTTTTTATTCTTGTAACTGTAAAAATTGTCCGTAGTGAGCTACGCATATCACTGTGACGAAATGTCCATACGTCAATATTTCTTTGTGCGCAAATCAGTTCACCGCCCGCCGGGTCTCCGCTCGTAAAATTTTCTGCCAGACAAAGACATTTTATTTCACCGCGCTGAAGCCGATTGTCGACTCAAGCTAAGGTCGTGATAACTGCGCCAGAGCACCATGCCGTCAAATAAGACAGACCAGAAGCGCAAGCGCTCTGCAGACAATGACCGTCCCAGCAAGAAGCCCGCTCTTCAAACGCTGCCTCCGCTGGCTGCCAGCGTTGTCGAAGATAAGAGCGAGCTGGCACCGGTGATTGGTGAGTGCAAAGCTTTTTTTCTTTTCAGGCCGGACTCAAGCCATTGCTAACGGACATTCTGTGTGATTAGCCAACACCCCCGGTCTCGCAAGCTCAAAGAATCTCACATGGAACCCATACACCAAAGCTCGCGCCAATGTCTCCAAGTCTGCGGCTTCAGGCCGCAACGCCGGCATTGTCTCATCGGAGATGCTGCTGCAGTCTTCAGACCATGCCAAGATGGACTTTGTCGGCCGTGAAGGCACAGGAGACGATACCGACTCCCAGGTCAAGCACTATGTCGCAGTTGTGGACCCGGAGCGCAAGACATGGAAGGTCGTGGAGGTCCGCCGGGCTACTTTGCGAGGAGCAGTCAGAACCCGCAAGGCTGAAGACGAAGACTCCGATGAAGACACGGTACGATTGAATCTCCAGGGTACGCCGCTTGAGCAAAACGCTAACAATACAACAGACCATGCGCGCTCAGCGCACAGCTCTCACCAACACCTTCGGTACGAAACAATCTCGCAAGGCCGTGCAATCGATGGCCGAGAACGCCCAGCTCTCCAACGCCCCCACTGGCGCGGTTCCCCAAGCAGGCGCAGCCCTCATCTCCTCCATGCCAGCCAACACCACCTCCGGCCGGGCCAAGGAACTGGCCGTGCAAGCCGAAGTACAAGCAGCCAAACCCCTCCCCACCCCCGATCTCTCCGCCTCGCACCCCTCAGACGTCTACACGATCGAAACCCTCGTACCAGGCAGCCACACGACCCTCACCCAACTCAACGGCGTGGACGAATGGAAATCCCAAGTCGAAGCAGGCCTGGGCATCACCACCGTCTCCCGCTACGTCTCCAACCGCGTGGGCCCAGTCGTCCACTCAGACAACACCACCCACCTCCAAGTCCTGCGCTTCATCCAACTCCTCATCGAATTCGGCCGCTGTCTCAAAAACGGCGGCAAAGGAGGTGGCCCAGGCTCAAAGCGTCTTCCTCCCCGCGAAGAACTCCGCCGCATCCTCTCCAACACAACCGGCTCAGCCAAGTCCGATCAATCCACAGACCTCCTCCCGGAATCAGTCATCGATGCAGTCCGTCGCCGCTTCGCCCCAACTGGCGGCTACGTCTCAAAGAACGACTTCACCCTCTTGCAAACTACCATCTGCGCTCTGTCCTTGCACATCCCACCCCAGCCCGCTAAAGATGGTGGCTCCAGCTCCCTTGGTGGTAATGCCCCCAACGAACTGGCAACTGATCCTTCTGATCTGCGTGACGACCTGCGTCTGGATCCAGCTGCTATTACGCAGTTCTTCAGGGAATTGGGCTGTCGCATTGATAAGCCTCGTGAGACTGAGTTCGCGAAGTGGAATATCAAGGGTGGTCGTGCTGAGGCGAATGCTCGTCGTGTTGCTCGTCTGCGTGTCCCAGTTGAGTTCCCTAAGGTCAGCCGTGGTGGTCGTAAGTAGAGTTAAAAACTGCCGCTTGTATGGGATTTTGGCGCTCTGTGGTTTAAAATTGTCATTTTCATATGTTTCTGTATCAATGAGACAATGTTACATAGCTAAAAGAATTGATCGTATCATATTTTATTCACTCCACCTGGTGTTCCAAGGTTTTCAAGGTTAAGAAATACCAACGGCTTAGGGTATTCGTTGTATATATCATGGCTGGGCATTCCCAACTTGGGCTACCTCCGACCTCTGGTTGAAAAGTAAATATTTCTCAACTTTAGAAGTTAAGCACCTGGTGACAGATCAAAACTTTCTCGCTAACATTGGAAGCTATAACTCCAAACACTCTCAAAGTTGCTAACGAGCTGCAGGGATCGGAAAGATAACCGTAGCTGGAATAATACTCAGCCAGGGCTCAAGTAGTACTGCTGATGCGGCCAAGCTGCCGCTGGCTCGTTCAATACTTCCGCTGAGGGGCCACGATGAGGATTCGCTGCCTGGACCAGCTGCTGCGATTGCTGTGGCATTAAGCTGTTGCTGTCTGATGTCAGGGACCACTAGCCAACCACTGTCGTCAACGAGTACTTTGTTTCGTCGTGATCTAGTACTTTGCCATGATTGTGATTGTGTCAACGTGATCGTGATCTTGCGGAAATCCTGCAACCCCCCCCCTCCCCCCCCCCAGGGATGTGTCGAGTCCGCAGATCTCATGGAGATGTCGGATACAGCAGAGGCGGAACTGACCGAGCGCTTTTGGTGGTCCCTCAGATTGGAGCGTCGAGAGGGTGACATGACGACAGCCTCTCAGGGATCGGGAATGGAGGTGGGTATACCATGCTGGATGGCTGGTATAAAAGCCCAACCCTGATGACCGAGATTGGCCACGGTTTTTCCGGTTGGCTTGAACCATTGCCATGTATGCTAGGGTTTGGCCTTCACTGCAAAACTTGGGTTTTCCAGTTTTCAACGAGCCTCGTCAGTTGGCAGGCTTTTGAGAGGAAGACTTATTTGGCATCCATCTGATGCCTGTTGGTTGCAGGGGGACGATCCTGGCGAATCTTCCGTGGATTCAGCTTCTGCTCCGAGTTTGGGTTCAGCATTAGAGGTAAGTAATGGTATGGGAGGTTCGGCCAGAGCCGGTGGGGATGACATAGCCTGTTTGTGCTTTCACTTTAGAATATCTGGCAGTGCAAAGAAAGGCGAAGAAAAAAAAAGACATAGGTGAATGTATCGAAGAAGCAGATCTGCAAAAGATGACGGATTGTTATCTGCGCGAGAACGGGGAAGGAAGAGGAAAGAGGAAAGAGCCCTCCAAGGATCCAAGCCCTGTCTTTCCAGATCTAAGACCAATCCATGACATGGTCCAGGAACCTTGGGACTTAAGAACAACTAGAATTAAAATACAGAGCGATTTACAAGAGACCTCAGATATAGACACAAGTCTAAATGGTTGTGATTTGAAGAGACGGATGCACATGTTCACATATGACCGTATGTAGATAATATTAAAAGAATGGACGGGAATAACGAAGATCAAATTACCCCAAAAACCAAGAGTCTAGCTCTAGGCGGCGACACCAACCGGGGTGTTCAGGCCAGAGTGAGCCTTCTCAGTCAAAGGGGTAGCAGTCTTCAGAGCAGGAGCCCGAGGGGCATCGTTGAACTCACGAGCAACAGCAGCCTCGATAGTCTCGCCAGCCTGCAGACCCAACTGAGCGTCCTCCCAGATAGGCAAGTTAGCGGCTTCGGCGCCCTCGACACCAACACCGACGAATCCGCCCTGGGCCTTCCAGTCGCTGGTGCGCTTGAGACCGAGGTCGTTCCAGACGGCTTGGACGGCCTCGACGAGGTGGTCGCGCAGGGGCTTCACGTGGCCTGGGGTTGGGGTGATGCGCAGACGTTCCTCGCCGCGGGGAACGGTGGGGTAGTTGATGGCCTGCACGTAGATTCCGTGCTCCTCGAGGAGTTTGTCGGATGCCTTCTTTGCGAGCTCGGCATCACCGACGAGGAGGGGAACGATGTGGGAGGGGTTAGGGATGACGGGGATATCCAGATCGTTGAGGGATTTCTTGACAGCACGAGTGTGCAATTGCTGGAGGGTTCTTTCGCGGGGTTCCTGGGCGAGGTATTCGATGGCGGTGTTGGCACCGGCCATGGTGGAGGGTGGAAGGGAGGTGGTAAAGATGAAGCCAGGAGCGAGCGAGCGAATAGTATCAACCATGGCGGCAGAGCCGGCGATGTAGCCACCGACACTACCGTAGGCCTTGCCCAGGGTACCGGTGATGATATCGATGCGGTCCTGGACAGTGCCCTTGGTGTTTTGCGGGGAAGCAGTGTCCTGCGAATCCCACTTGTCGTAATCGAGATGCTCGGCAACTCCGGCTCCGTGTGGGCCGTACATGCCAACGGCGTGGACTTCATCCAAGAAGGTGATGGCACCGTACTTCTCGGCGAGATCCTGGATCTTCTCAATGGGGGCAATTGATCCGCACATGCTGTACACGGATTCGAATGCAATGATCTTGGGGGTGCTGAGTGGCAGCGAGGCCAGCTTGGTTTCGAGGTCCTCCAAATCGTTATGCTTGAAGACCATCTTCTTCGCACCAGAGTGACGAATGCCTTGAATCATAGAGGCATGGTTGAGACTATCCGAAAGGATGACACAGTCAGGCAGCTTGCTGCCGAGGGTAGCCAAAGTGGCATCGTTAGCCACGAAACAAGAGCTGAACACCAAAGCAGCCTCCTTGCCGTGCAACTTGGCGAGGGTCTTCTCCAAAGTGACAGCGTGTTGGTTGTGGCCCGAAATGTTACGGGTACCACCTGCGCCAGCACCATAGTTATCCAGCGTTTGGTGCATGGTATCCAAGACCTGCTGGTTGCGTCCCATACCGAGGTAGTCATTGGAGCACCAGACAGTCACCCGTTCCTCGGCGGAGGCAGTGTGAGCGCGGGGGAACTCCTTGGCGAGACGGTTGATGTTGTTGAAGTAGCGGTAGGACTTGTCCTTGCGCTTCTTCTCCAACTCTGCATCATAGAAGCCATGGTAGTCGTAGGGCTTGCAGTTAGGGGCGCTGGGGGGACCCCGGAGCACGGCCTCGGCAGCGGCAGACGGCGAACGAAGCGGATTGGTCAGATGGTGCTCTCCTGGAGGCTAATTAGAATCAAGCATAGCACAGACCTCTTGAAAGTCAAACCCACTCTCTCGTTCGTTTTTCTGGTATCCCCCAGAAGCGAGACTGGCGGGGTTCCCACTAGAACTGTGCAGGTCCCGCTTGCCGGTGGGGGCCCGCATGGGCTGGAATGCGGCGACTCCGGCGGCACGCGAGGTGAAACGCTTGCTACCGCTCAGGCGGGCACTCTGCACAGCCAGTGCCTTGTTCATGACGGGGCAGCGGCGAGCGAGGACCTGCAAATTGGACATAGTGCCGCCTCCGGGGCTGGAGTTGGGACGAGTTGCGGTCGAAAGCGTGCGGAGGGTGGTGGGGGATGTGCGCTTGAGGAATGGGCACATAGAACGGGACTGCTGCAGTAGAGCCTCCATAGTGAATTGAGTTGTAAGAGCCAAAACAGGTGTCTCCACGAGATCAGGAGAGAATATGTACACAGATCAAATACCGCGGGAGAAGAAAATCGGTGGGCCAGTCCCCCGGTTAGTCATCGGATTACTTATGGTGGCCTCTGATTGGCCCAAGGCACCCAGGCACGGATGTCCCTTCCCGAAGTGGCAAGTTGCGGCTTCTGGCTGCCGCGGATCTCTCACATTCACACCGTCGCCACTCGCCGCTTCTCGTATTTTGCTCTTCATTTGTGATTTTCCATTCACCGGCGACGTGGGATTTGAGAGGGGTTACACAAGTGGGGTTTGCCGGGATCTACTCCCCCGGGATCTGCATCTCGATCACATTTTGCTCGGCTTTTGCTCGGGACCTCGGGAGCGGGCACGTTGAAGGCCTAGGGCCCTAGGGCGGAGATGCAGTTCCTGTTGGATCCTGAGGATTATGGTGAGACAGTCACGGTGTTTCCGCATATCCACATAAAAATGATTATTGAGTCGGGCCAAAGAGGCTTCATGTCACTTCTTACGTCAGACTTCATTTCCGCAGTCCTAGTCCTCGGTCCTAGTACTCAGTGTCCACCAGATGAATCCGGTCAATAATCAGCATAGAACTGTATGCAGAGTACTTCGTACTCGGTACATTGATCCATCTCCGCACATACTGTTTGCTTGAAATACTCCGCACAGAGCCTCGTTCTTGGAAGGAGATGCGGTCAACCTAAGAGACCCCAAGTGAACCAGACCCCAAGTGAACCTCAAACCGAGGACGTAGGACATACAGAGAGCAGTCAAGACGACTTACGACACCAACAGGCCCGGAATAGAGAGCTGCACTACAGTCCGGGGAAACACCACTGCTACGCAACTCATCCAGACACATGAGGGAGACGGTACATGATACACACAAGAGACACAGGATGACTACGATGAACCAGTCTACAAATGTATCTCATGGGTAGCAACGCAGGATCAGATATAGGTTTCGGGATCTCTCCCTACCGCCTCACCTGCTCGCCGACTCGCATGAGACTGGGAGATTTGATCTTGACCACAAGCACTCGAACCCTTTGGCCAAGGGTCCAAGTGCGGGTGTCTGTGACCCGCGATGGAAGGGAGACTACGGCCGACCAAAGGAGGATTTGTTGGGGAGAGAGAGAAGAGAAGAGAGAAAGGGAAGGGAGGAGGTATTTATACCCAAGAGTTGAAGAGGTGTCCCAATTAGGAAAGCGCCAGGTAAAGCAACGCAGCTTCCTACTTCGGTGCATTGAGCAAACAATCCCTGTGGACTTAGCATTGGATCGACTTCACTCCAAGGACCTAACTAACAGCAAAGTCACTACACTTCCAGAAGGTCCATAAAATCAATCAATCCATTGGACACTCATAACTAAACTAGACGGCGCGCCTTTTTGAACATTGAAAAGCAAGATGAAAAGAGACAATGGAAGTAAAGAACACTGTAGAAACGAGAAAAAGAAAAACCAGACCATCACTCCAGACGAAGCCTAGCTGATGCCACAGCCAGAGCCAGGTCTATCGTAGAAACATCTTTTCATCCTTGCATCACCATCAGTCTTTTCGACCAGATCAAGGGTTGTGTGATAATACAGAGCAGTTCATGTATCTGCCAGACAAGAAAGGGAAAAGAGGCAAAGAAAATGGGGAAGACCAGTAAAGACAACGGAAGAAAAGTAAAAATGGAAAAAGATGAACAAGGATGGAAAATCCTGGAATGAACGCCCCGGGTTACATTAGGTGACAAGTGATTAATCGAGACCGCCATCGCCGTCGATCAGACGTAGGCGCTCTTTAGTAGTCTTTGCGCGTTTTGAGGTTCCTTTGCCAGGGCCGCGGCCGCGTCCACGCTTGGCGGACGTTGACGAAGGAGTATCAACTGGCTCTTCTGCGGGAGTGGCAGCGCCAGAGGGTTTGTTGCTGGCATCATCGAAGTTGCCCTCGCCTATTGTCTGGTTAGTATTCTGATGCACTGGTGGAATGGAAATGCTCACCTTCATGATACATGTCATCGAGCGTGAATTCCCGCTTGCGCTTCTGGGCAGCTTTCTTGCCACCCTTTGCACCAAGGGCCTCACCACGTTCCATGGCCTCCTTCTCCTTCTGCTCGATGAGTTCGGCTTCATCGTCATCAGCAAGCCAGAGTGCAATGTCCTTGGTGCGGTTCTCGCGAGCGCGGGTGTTAAAGTCAACACCACCGGAAGCACCACCTGTGATGACAACGCGCTGCACCTCTTCTTTCTGCAAGGCACGCTTGCGAATCCGCTCTTCGATGGTTCCGCGGGTGATGAGACGGTAGACAGTGACCTGGCGAGTTTGACCCAAACGATGGGCACGATCCATAGCCTGTGAATCGATGGTAGGGTTCCAGTCGGAGTCGTAGAAAATAACTGTATCGGCGGCTGTCAAGTTGATACCGAGACCACCAGCACGAGTGGAAAGCAAGAACACGAAGATTTCAGGGTTCGACTGGAAGTCGGCAACTGTGTCGCGACGGTCTTCCAGCTTGGTGCTTCCGTCTAGTCGACAGTACTTATAGTTCCTATATGTCAGGTACTCCTCCATCAAATCAATCATACGTGTCATCTGGAAGTACAGAAGCACACGGTGGCCACCAGGCTTGAGCTCGCGCAATAGTTCATCTAGCTTGGCCAGCTTGCCGGAGTCAGTCACGAAGCGACCCATTGATGGAACCGCGATGTGGCTGTAGCGTCCCTTGAGGGAGCCAGGCGCAGGAAGCATGGGGGCGTGAGAGTATGGTGTAGGGTCCAGCTTCTTGGCCAGGATCTCCTGCTCGAGTTGGCGGCTGTGATGACCAGACAATGCTTGACGGACCGAAGCATTGAACAATGCATAATTGGATTCCCGCATGGCCTGTTGACCCGAGGCAGAAATGGTAATGGGAGGCGCGGAAGCCTTCGGGGCAGCACATGGTTCAATTAACTGGAGACCTTGATCCTCAAATGCCGAGCGAGACACAGTCATGAGTTTGTTCATGTGACCCTCGGCGGCGACATCACGGACAGCTTGACGATCCTCACGGTCGACAATGTTCAGCATGGAGTGAGACAGTACCGAGTTCTTGGAATCATCACTCTCATCATAAATCACATTCAGGGCAGAAAGTCTGTTGGGTTTGCTGCGGCGACGCTCTGCACGCTCGTAGACGCCGAGTCGAGCAGCCTCACTGGCTTCTGCTGGGGAAGTATCGACGAAACGCAGGAACGAGAAGGCGCCATTTTCACGTGCGCTCTTGTGAATATTTTCCGGTGTCCAGACATTCATCAGCTGTGACAGATACTTGGTCTGGAAACCAGCGCGTGGGTTCTTCGATCCAGGAAGGTCCAGCCGTCCTTCATCGCTACACAGCAGACGAGGCAGGTCATAACGAATCAAGTTTTGAGTGGAATAGCGAACATCGACGAAGCTGCCTTCGCGCACAAAGGAAGCAGTTTCGGCGAAAGACGCAGCGGAGAAAGGTGATTTGGTCTCCGCGCGCTCGAAAAGATCCGGGTGGTTGCAGACCTTTCGGAACTGCATGACCAAGTTCATAAGCGTACTGCTATCAGTATCATCACCGGTGGCGGCCTTCTCGATGAGATCAATGATGCTGACACGATTGCGCAGGTTGGCGTATAGGGCACGTTGGCGATATGTCAAGTCACAGAAGATATCCTTCTCGACCTTGTCGCCAAGCTCTTGCTGCACGTTCTTCTTGACACGACGCAGCATGAAGGGCTTCAGAATCATGTGCAGACGCTTGAGCTGATCTTCATTGAGCTTGGTGTTACTCTGAGCGTGGGACTCAATGTCCTTGGAGAACCATTCGCTAAACTCGTCGTGTGAATCGAACAATGTCGGCATGATGAAATGAAGCAAAGCCCACAGTTCCTGCATGTTGTTCTGAATTGGCGTACCGGTCAACAGAAGCCGGTTACGGCAGCTGAAGCCCAACAGATTCTTCCATCGTGAACTGGAGGAAGATTTGATCGCCTGAGCCTCGTCCAGAATCATGTACTGCCACTTAACCTTCTGGAAGTACTGTGCATCGAGAACGACAAGTTGGTAGGAAGTAACAAGAACATGGAACTCAGAATCACGGTTGTATGTGATGTGCTTGCGGTCCCAGAACTTTCGTAGAATCTTTCGGTCCTTCGCATTACCCCAGTAAGGTAGGACCTTAAGATTCGGCACGAACCTCGTGATTTCTTGCTGCCAATTGTGAAGAGTAGATGCCGGCGCAATGACAAGGAAGGGACCCCAGATATTGTGGAATTCAGCCAAGTATGCCATCACAGAAATGGACTGAATGGTTTTACCCAGACCCATCTCATCTGCCAGGATACCGTTGATACCCTGCTCATACAAGTTGACCAGCCAGTTGAGACCCTTGAGCTGGTACTCTTTCAACTGGGCATTAAGCATCGTGGGCTGAGAGATTTCGATGTCACCCAAGCTAGTAGGGTTTTGGAAGTTCATCTCCCCATCGTCAAACGCCGCCATGTTGTCGCCCTCTTGGTTAAAGGCACGAGCGCGGTCTTGAGCTTGCTGAACAGCATTCTGCGCATTGGCCATGGCGGCCTGTTGCAGAGCCGTTTCATCCTCGGCATCGAAGTCAAGGTCCTCGAACGCAGTAGTCTTAGCGTCGGGGTTGGCGACGCTATCAGGGAGATTGACTGTGTGCGCGTCGGGCTTGCCGGGTTGAGCGGTTTCTCCAGTAGCAGCAACAGCACCATCGCCTTGTGCCTCGTCGGTCTTAATCTTGCGCCCGATGAAGTGAGAGTACAACTCAGTCTGCGAAATCAGGAAGTTGAGCTTGCGCTTCTGGCGATTGGCTTCGCGGTCGGCCTCTGCCTTCTTAGCGGATTCAAGCTCTTGCTTCTCTGCCACACGGCGCAAATCACGCTCCTCGCGCTCGTTCCGCTTCCAGAAGGTCATCATTTCACGCATCGCTCGCTTGGCACGGGCCTGTGTATCCTTGGTGCTCTTATTCGTGCGCTCCTGCCACTTGCGAGACTGCTTGCTGGCCAGCTGGGCTGTCTTGCGCAGGTTCTCCTGGCGGGTAGAAAGCGATGTGGTCTTGATGCGGTAAACCTTGGGGATGTCCTTACGCGCAATGTCGCGCCAAATCTGTTCGTAGATCTGGTTGTAACCCTTGCTGTCGTAATGTAGCTGTGACATGGGGGTACCCTCCTTGGAATGATGCGCATCTCGGCGAGTGCTTGGGGTGAGATAGAGGTCATCATCGATCCCGGCATTCCAGGCAGCCTCCGCAAGATCCTTCTCGGCCTGCTTCTGTTCCTTCGACTTCTTGGGACGAGTTACGGGGCCAGCTGCACGACCAGACCGGCGTCGCGCAGCGTCGCTGCCAATGGCAAACGAGCTCGTCGTGCCGCCCTCGAGGTTAGGAGCAAGTGGTGTGACCTCACCCAGCTCATCGTGGCCATCGCCTCCTTCCAGGGCGCGCTTGGTGGTCCGAATCTTCTTTTGGGCTCGCTCAGCTTCACGCAAAAACTTCATTCTCTCGCCGGGCTCCTGGGCTCTGCTGGCCTTGCGTTCGGCCTCAGCCTTCTTCTGCATTTCCTGGCGCACGGTGTTTTCGCGACGACGTTTGCGTTGCATGTCCTTCTTGCGTTCCTTTTCATCCTGAACCTCCTTCTGTTGAACTTCGGCAATAACGGCACCTTCGTGGATTGTTCGGAATCGGTCGGTACCTAGGATAACCTGGCGCTCGAAGGCTCGGCCTAGGTCAACTAGGAACTCATTGCGGCGGCGCTAAATATGTGTCAGTAATTTATTTGGAACGGGGTCTGATCTTAAATCCAAAACAAACCTTTCGTCGAATTTGCTCGGCTCTGTTGCTGTCCAATGATCGCTTGTGGCTCTTTTGTTTGTACCTTTCAAGCTCAGGACCAAACGCAGGATCTTCAACGTCACTCTTGTCAGCCTGATCAATCTCAGCTGCAGCACGGTTGACCTGCTCCACATCCACGCCAGGTGGGAAAGGCTTTCGCAGTGGTCCACGGGGAACAGGGGCGTGATGTTCCATTTCCGGTTTGGCGAATCCATTGGTAGCAAGTGGTCCCCGGGGACTCTCAATGCGTTTATCGAGCCCAAATCGATGCTCCGACTTGGGGTAAAGGGCGCCCGGCGCAGGTCCATGATTCAAATGTCGGTGTTCGAAGGAGGGAGCAGCGTGTGGTGTAGGGGTAGAAAATGCGACGGGCGGGGGAGAGGGCTTTCTTGCGGGCTGTCCATCCGAAGGGCCGGAGAGAATGCTTGCGAAAGACATGGGATCGGCTGCTCGAGCAGGCTTCTAATAACATAGCAAAACGCAGTCAGTAAATATAACAGCAATGGGCTGATTCCTGTATTTGCCTACCGTTTCCTGGGGCGATGCAGGTCTCTGGTCCCGCATCACAGGAGCTCCATATCCACCGCTGTTTCCTCGCATACGGTATGGGGATTGGGATTCGCGGGTGGGAGATTGCGCGTGGCCCTCCGGGTGACTGGCCGGGTGGCCGTGCGGTGTTGTGTATGGCGAAGCACCGTTGCTGGCCATCACTGAGCTGGAATAGGGTCGCGTCAATGGTGGGAGCTGCGAGCCAGCCGCGTGGCCTTGGAATTGCGACTGGTCTGGGTGGGATTGGTGTGGCGCAGCCCCATTCAAGGGCGGAGGAAGACTCCCCGGCATCGGAGACGCGTGCGAGAAGTGCGGGCTTCGCGCAACGGGAGGAAAGGCTGGGGGAGTCTGGGGTGGGTGTTGATGATACTGCTGGGGTTGCTCATTGGGGTAATACGAGTTCTTATTGGGCGAGGTGTAGGCCGGATACCGCTGCTGCTGCGTCGGAGACTGAGCGTTGTACGGCGGAGCGCCCGTCATGGTGGCCGCAGACCCTGGGTGCAGGTGTAGGCGCGTCGAGGATTTTAGTCAAGCTCGGCTGGGGTGAATTGAGGGCGTCGGTGACACCGATAGTGTCGAGACTCCAAGCAGAGCTAGACACCAAGGGGGCTCAAAGGCCTGGCGCGACGTCAGCGTTGGTTATGGGAGCGAAGGGAGATGGATGAAGGGGGTGAAGGAAGAAAGCGAGAGATAAATACCTGATGGACCGATGGATTCGTTTGTGGTGGGAGGATGCAGAGGAGAAGTTCCCGAGCCCAAAGAGAATGCGCGGGTCTAGGCGGAGCTGATGCAGGGGAGGTTGAGGATGAGAGGATGAGAGGAAGAGGGCTAACAATAATTAAGAGAAAGAGGGAATGGGGGGAAAGATGAGGTGTTGGCTAGAAAAGAGGAGGGAGCGGCGAAAGGAGTGGTCACTTGGTTTTCGGTTTGCTTCGTGACTCTCTCTTTCTTCCTGCTCTTCGATCTCTGCCTTTCGCCTCTATTCCGGCTTTACGGTCCGATCTATTGTCGCATTGCAATCGTCTGCCAAAAGATCGTTTCTTATTGTTGTCTATTCAAAGAGAATGTCTCAATCATTGGAAGTTCTTTCAATGAGAATTGTCTTAATTCATGTATATATATTTCTCAACTTCGCTATACGAATACCCGGCGGGTTGGGCGATAAAGCGAATCTGTATACGGAAGCACACACTTTTTTCCTCCTTTACCCTTGATCCTTGTCCTACTTAAGTATATGTTCCTTTATCTCGATAATTTCATATCCAAAGCATTCACTCTATAGAGCCAGGGAAATACGAAGTTGGCTTAGCAAATTCCCGTTCAGTTACCGACAGAGACCTCCAGAGACAAACGCAGCCCCAAAGGTGAGTCCGAAGGTGGACTCTAGCACGAAGATTTCAAGATTCTAAAGTTCTTGTCACCTGGGCAGACACACCGAGATACTACGTAGAGCACCAAGTAAAGTAGGGAGTGCTCTTGAGGTCCGAGGCATGTGTAATCTGGCCTTGGAAGTATCCGTACGGAGTACTCCGTACACAGGCCGATCTGACAAGTCGGGTGGAGAGTCAACATACTCCGTAGTGCTCAAGTGAACAACAGTCTGCAAAACAACTTTAGGATGCAGATGCAGATCTGTACTGCAGTATATTTGGAACGAAGTTTAAAGCTGAATACTCAATTTTAAGATTGTCGAATAGTTTCCTGACTCCATGCTAACAGCTGGGGAAATTCTGCCGATTTTGTATTAAGCGTTGATGTAATCTATACAACCTAATACAGGCCAGCCTCTCTGTGAGCAAGTTGTGTGGGTGAAAGGTATGACATGTGCCGGATAGAATACGAAACCTGTACTTAAGTATGGAACAATTGTCACCGCCTTTGCCGAGTCAAGATGGAAAGATCACATGACTAGTCTGGATGACTGCCTGAAAATGCCTGATTTCGGCACAATGTTAGACCGCCGATAAGCTATCTTGAATGGCCTAGACCCACCTGGGCAGACAATAGGGTCAATAGATCTCGTGATTGACAACATCTATTGAACTCTGGGAATTCATTATGTCGATAGTCACTCCATGTTGAACAATGGCGGGGCGGGTTGTACAGAGTCCACGGGTACTTTTTCTCGGAATAGCCCTAAGTGTTCATATCTGATTCAAGCACGTCGCTGACTATCATCCTGTCCTGAATCCGACACCTCGGGGGTGAAAACTCTCATCTAGCACCTGGGCGCTATGCACTTCAGATCAGGAAAAGCGAGACGAGGAGAGCTTCCACCTTATTTTGAAGCTACGAAGTAAGGAGGCAGAGCTTCGGGGGCAGCCAGTGCCGGTCGGGATCCCGCACCCCGTCTCGCGTCTGCCAAGGCCACCGACACGAGACCATCCGTACTCCACCGGAAGTCCACCAGGAGGGGAGGTCTCTGGAGCCCGTTCAACATTGGGGTCTCCGCGTTTTGACGCGGGGCATTTAAACCCCAAGGTGCCATGGCCCTGGGAATACGGCTTGCTATCTCACTCACCCCAAGACACATATCACCACATCAATTGCTCTTTTGTCACCGATAGCCAACATACAACTAGAACCGTGAACAGACTCAGGTGCTGATCTCGGTAACATCCAAGAATTGAAGCACAGTCAGAACCTGGAAAAATGGCTTCTTTTGTTGCGACACAAAGGGCCCGAGCCGCAGTATTTGGAAAGTCCTTTCGTCTAACTCAGACGATGTTTGGGGCTCGCAGCGTCACCACACGCGCAACTTCCTACACGCTTAACACTGGCGCGAAGATCCCTGCACTGGGATTTGGCACATTCCAAGACCCGGATTCCCAAGAAGACACTGTTAGCCTGGCGCTACGGAAAGGCATGCGACTGATTGACACTGCCTGTGTCTACAACGTCGAAGAGCAAGTAGGAAAGGGGATCAAGAAGAGTGGCATTCCCCGCGAGGAGATCTTCCTCGGCACAAAGCTGTGGTGCAACGACTATTACCCCGATGACGTGGAGCGCGCTGTGGATGATTCACTGCGTGACTTGGACACACCATACGTGGATCTCGTGTTGATGCATTATCCTTGCACCTTCAAGCGCGGCCCTGATCGATTCCCACGAGACGCGGAAGGGAGGATGATTGCGGGAAAGACAGACTTTGTGCAGACATGGAAAGCAATGGAAGAAGTGGTCAAGACAGGCAAGGTCAAGGCCATTGGTGTTTCGAACTTCAGCAAGGGCGAGATCGAGACTTTGCTCAAGAAGACTAGCACGGTATGTAATCCGCATTTGATCAAAAACTTGAAACTTACTAATACTTTTTTTCTCAGGTCCCTGCTGTCCACCAAATGGAAGTCCACCCCTATCTCCAGCAGAAGACATTCAATGAGTGGCTGAAGTCACAAGGAATCCACGTCGTCCAATTTAGTCCTCTGGGAAACATGAACGATTTCTACCGACAGACCGGCTGGTCCAAGGAAATTGCCCACATGATGCGGGTTATTGACCAGCCTATTCTGAAGGAGATCGGTGAGAAATACGACAAGAGTCCTGTTCAGGTGGTGCTTGCTTGGGGCATCAACAGTGGCCGCTCAGTCATTCCTAAGAGTGTCGTGGATTGGCAGATTGAGCAGAATCTTGAGGCTGACTTTGAACTGCAACCTGAAGACATGGCTCAAATCGCGACTTTGGATGCCCAGGCTCGCTTTAATGACCCAAGCTTGGACTACGAGTGGCGTCTGTATAGTGATTTAGAGGGCATTGATGGCACAATGAGTGGACGAACCCATTAGAATTAATCATTTCAGATTCGAACTTTACCAAATACAAACGCTTTCCTTGTCTACGAAGCGGATGGAGCTATTATATGCCTTATGTCTGATACTACGCTGAATCATACATTGTACTGTAAAATCACTGTAAAATCACTGTAAAATCACTGTAAAATCACTGTAAAATGTGGGCTAAGTAACAGGTCCACTTGTAATAAATATCAAAAGCCTGGTTGGCCTAGTGGAAAAGGCGCTGAAGCACTCCCAGCGGGAGGGGAAAGAAAAGATCAAAAGACACAACCTAGCTAACCGCGCTAGTTGTACTGTAAACTGACTGAAATACACTGGAAACGTCGATCAGCTCGAACTCGTTGATTGGTTAGTAAAAGTAAGAGAACTAGCTGCGTGGACTAAAACTAATAATGCGCCCGATCACGGGGTAACTGCTGACTAATACGCGGACCAGAGCTAACGTCGCCACAGCGCTGCGGGGGCGGTTCTATGTAAGCCATCCCGGTTGAACCGTGTGGTGGCCTGCCTTTCGAGAGACCCTGGTTCGAATGCAGGACCGGGCACTTCTTTTTTTATTTTTTTTTAAAATTCTTTTCCCAACAAAGTATTTGGCATAGTATATGTGTTGGTAACTCGGGTATATCTTTTTTTTGTCTGCTAGAAGCCGGGCAAGGCAAGGATCATGCAGAAACCAGGCATATTGGGGCATTATCCGACTTGGCCGCTCGGTCCTTTCGTACTTTTGTCTGTTTGAACCCTTTCCTTTCTAGCCCATTTCCCGAGACCTCAACCGTACTTCAGGGGAGAAGTACAGTGCAATCGACTTGACAACCCGAGGTCCGACATGATCTTTTGCCGGACAATATCACCCGGAGGTTGGCAACCACTATCCCGCCACAAAGAGATAAGCAAGAATACCCCTGAGACAGAAGAGGAACCAATCAAAAAGATGCTAGAAATTGAGAATAGGCCCCGGAGCTGATAAATAGAGAGCCTCCAGAACCTCCAAGATCGTTGGACATTAACTGAAAGAAAGCTCAGCTATTTCATGTCAAGGTCAATCTACCACTCGCAGATATTCGGTAGAAAGGATTCCTTCTAAAGTTGCATTGCACGACCCAGCAAATTACGTATGGATTGGGTGGTTGATCGAAGTAAATGAACTGTTTTCTTATCCTAGGGCAGAGTAAACCCGCCATCAACAACCAGGTTTGAACCTGTCATATAACTAGAGGCATCTGATGCACAGAATAGATAGACCTATAAATTCAAGTCAGCTTCCTTTCGAATGAGGCGATGAATGGTAGACGCTTACACCCTTGAGCTCATACGGAGAAGCAAATCGGCGGGCAGGAATCTGGCTCAGCCATTTATCAAGCATCTCTTGGGGTGCATATTCCATGATCTGAGTTTGAATGTAGCCGGGTGAGACAGCATTGACCCGACAGAAGTCCACCCACTCGACTGCAAGTGACTTCGCCAGCTGCAGAACACCTGCCTTCGACGCATTATACTATCGCTGATGTTAGTTTCTGAGGAAGTAGGATTTCCGTCTCATGCAATACTCACTGCAGCCTGTCTTTGGGGCGTGTTCACAAGCAAAGCACTGACAGAGGCTGTGAAGATCACATTTCCGTATCCCTGTCGCTTGAAGATCTTCGCAGCAGCTTGTGCGGTGTGAAATGCACCATTGACATTCACCTCCATGATTTCCTGGAACTCCTCCGGGGAGTATTCTTCCGCTGCATGCTCGGAGCAAATGCCCGCATTGGCAACAATAACATCAAGTTTTCCAAAGTCTTCCGCGATTTGGTTGATGACCGCCGAGATTTCTGCGGACTTGGTGACATCGGCCTGATAGGCGCGAGCCTGTGTTTGATACTTGAAAGCAAGTTCTTCCGCAGTTTTTGGGGCTGTGACTGTCGTGCGATATATGATCGCAATCTAGAGGAGGATAAAAATAAGCATTGAGATCTGTCGAACCAGGGCATAATCAGGGTAGGGATGTACTTTGGCGCCAGCTTCGGCATACGCAGTAGCCACCGACAAGCCAATTCCTCGGCCACCACCTGATGTTTTTTCAGTTAGAAAGAACTCAATCAATTTCAAATGAGCGGGCTCAGAGTACCAGTAATTGCAACAACTTTACCCGTCAAATCGAAGAGCGTTTGCACGGGAGCATCGTCGGGCTTTGAGAGAACCATGTTGAAAAGCAAGCAGGGGGTTCACTGGTATTATTTTCGACATTTTGGGCGAAATTGAATGATATATTTATACTTTGATTCTATTTTATACATCCCTTATCACAGAGCTCTGCAGACCTAACACTCATCGTGAAAAGTAAAAGAGCAGTGCTGGCCACGGGCTGTGGGGGGTTGGCACCGTCTCGCGGCATCCCACCGTCTCGATGACACCCGTCCCGGGGCGGACTCCACCACAACCCCGGAGTCGAGATCCTCAGATGTCACCAGATGGCATGGAAATCGATATGGTATGTACAATTATTGAGTTTAATCTGGGTAAGTATGACAGACGGTTCACATCTTACTGTCACACAAGACCCAAGGGCTTTTTCTTTTCGCGAGTAAACTTTGCACGCGGCGACGTCTAAATCCCTCTTAACGGCATTCACCTCTTTGGAAATCCCCCCGATCCTACCTTACTCCCAAAATGTCGGAAGATAACATGGCTCACTATATTGGAATTGACGTGGGCACTGGAAGTGCTCGAGCCTGCGTGATTGATGGACAGGGCAACATCGTCGGGCTCGCTTCGCAGAACATCGAAACCTGGCAACCACATCCAGAATTCTACGAGCAGTCCACCACCAACATCTGGGACAGCATTCGCGCCGCAGTCCGACAAGGTGTCAAAGAAGCTGGAGTCCCGCCATCGAGTATCCGAGGCCTCGCATTCGATGCCACATGTTCCCTGGCCGTCTTTAGCAAAGAGACTGACAAACCAGTCACCGTGGGTGGACCGGGGGGCAGGGATGACCAGAACGTGATTCTTTGGCTGGATCATCGTGCAGTTGAAGAGACAAATATAATCAACGCGACTGACCACCCGGTGCTCCAGTATGTGGGGGGTGCCATGTCCGTTGAAATGGAGATGCCCAAAATCCTTTGGTTGAAGAAGCACATGGGCCTTGAAGAATTCCAAGACTGCGAGTTTTATGATCTCGCGGACGCCCTCACTCACTTAGCAACTGGAACAAAGACTCGCAGCTGCTGTAGCGTGGTATGCAAGCAAGGCTATCTAGCCCCAGGAACAAAATACGGCGAAGAGGGCTGGCAGCTGGACTTTTTGAGGCAGATTGGCCTTGAAGATCTTGCTACAGACAACTACTCTCAACTTGGAGGTATCAATGGCAAGGTTAGTGGTCAAAACTTCCATATGGGCCAAAACCTAAACTCACTTTCTTGTTGTCGCAGAACGGCCAGTATCTCAGTGCTGGAGAATGCGTTGGACCCTTGAGTGAAAAGGCTGCCGCCAAGCTAGGACTCTCTCCCGGAATCGCCGTTGGTAGTGGTGTCATCGATGCCTATGCAGGGTGGATCGGGACAGTTGGAGCGAAAGTTGATCTTGGATTGGATAGTCAGATCGACAATAAAGAGCATCTTTCGCATCGCTTGGCATTGGTCGCTGGAACATCCACTTGTCATTTGGCCATGTCAGATACGGAGCTGTTTGTACCCGGAGTCTGGGGTCCTTACCGAGGCGCCATTATCCCCGGGGCATATGTTGCCGAAGGGGGGCAATCAGCAACTGGTGAACTCATTCGACATGTCGTTGAAAGCCATCCGGCATACTCGGCCACACTTGCGGCAGCAAAGGAAGCCGGTATCAGCCTTTACGACTTCTTGAATGATTACCTACAAAAAGAAGCTGCAAAGAGCCAGGTGAACCATGTCTCAGAACTGGCAAAGCACTTCTTCTTCTACGGCGACTTGTGGGGCAATCGATCCCCCCTTGCCGATCCGCGAATGAGTGGCACAATCATCGGACTGAGAAGTGACCAGTCAACCAAAAGTCTCGCTCTTCATTACTATGGGGCATTGGAATTTATCGCCTTGCAAACACGCCAGATTGTTGAGACAATGAACGAACATGGGCATCAAATCTCGACAATTTTCATGTCGGGATCACAGACGCTCATTGATCTTCTGGTTCATTTGATTGCTTCGGCTTGTAGAATGCCGGTGGTACTTCCAGAATACGTCCATGCAGCCGTATGTCACGGAGCTGCCATGTTGGCGGCCATGGCGGCCAGTAAAGCACCCGGGGCAAAACCGAAGGATTTGTGGAGCGTAATGAGTCAAATGAGCAAGCCTGGCCGACGGGTGGATCCCACAGCTGATGCCCATGAACAAGGGCTTCTCCAGGTTAAATACGAGGTATTTTTGGACATGTGTTTCAAACAGCGTGAGTATCGTTGCCTGGTGGACGAACGATTGTATGCGGCAGATTCTTGAATGAGCTTGGTCCAAGGTTGGCTTTCATCATGAATCTAGGCAGAGGGACGATTGCTTATCACAAAACCAGAGAAGTAGGAGAAGAAGCTTGAAAGAACATTAGAAAAAGGGATGAGTAGCGACTAGGGCAACACCAGTCACTTGGACTGAGAACGATTTGTACCAAGATTTGCTGCGACACAACCAAATCTCAAATTTCATTTTTAGAGTAAGATCATAGGCAAGGATACTTGAATGGCATGACCCCGGGATACAGCTATGCTCTTGCAACCACATAGGCGTTTGTTTGACATCATTCCTCAAATTCGGCAAACATCCAAAAGAGAGCGTTCATTCGCGAGCCCCGGAACCTTGAATAGCCCTCGTTTCGGGTCGCGGGGACCCCGAGTCGAGAAAGATATCCGCAGAGCGCTCTAGTTGGCCCGGACAGGGCTGGGCTACACCCCGCAAGACTTGTTTGAGGAATCTGGGGCCGACGATCCCCGGATTTCCAAGACACCCTTGATACTATGCGTTAGTATAAGCGCCTCCAGGTCTGCAGGCATGACGGTATGATGACCCAGATGTTGTTATATAACAACAAATTCCCACAGCTCTTGATTGATTCTTAGAAAATTGTCTCAACGCAGAGTTATTTCCCTCTGGACAGTCTTCAATTCAAATATCCACTTCAATATGTTCAATGATGAGCGTGCAAGCTGGAAGATTGCCGCTAGGCTGCAAAAGAAGTCTTTGTTGATTGCGGTCAATTGCCTGGCCGGTCTTGCAATCTTCTTTTTCGGTAAGTCAACCTTGATCTTCTTCCGATGAAAAGCGTATGCTAATACATGCGCAGGCTATGACCAAGGTATGATGGGAGGAGTCAATGACTCAAAGGCCTATGTGGAAAGGATGGGGCTGGGATACGAAAGAAAGGGCACAATCACGGTCACAAACACACTTTTGCAAGGAGGAATTGTCTCGGTGTATTATCTGGGGACCTTGATTGGATGCTTCATGGGTGGCTATGTCAGTGATCGATGGGGCCGCATCAATGCCTTTGCATTTGGTGCTGCCTGGGGTCTACTGGGAGCAGCGCTTCAATGTACAGCGATGAGCCCGACGTGGATGATAGTCTCTCGTCTCATCAACGGCATCGGCACTGGTATCCTGAATGCGACCGTGCCAGTATATGGCTCTGAGCTTGCTGACTATGAGTCTCGTGGAATGTTCATCGCCATGGAGTTCACACTGAATATCGTCGGCGTCGTGGTGGCTTATTGGTTAGGCTTCGGCCTGAGCTACATCGAAAACGGTACCTCCGACTTCCAATGGAGATTCCCAATTGCCTTCCAGATTATAATGCTGCTTTTGCTCATTGTCGGCTGCTGGTTCTTCCCCGAATCGCCTCGGTGGCTCAGCATGATGGGCCGCAATGAGGAGGCGATGTATGTCCTCAAACGTTTGCGCGGAACCGAGAACGAACGCGCGGCTATCTTGGAAATGAGAGAGATCGAAGCCACCGTCGAGCTTGAAGCAGAGTCTGAAGAGAAAATCACTTACTTTCACATGCTCTTTGGAATTGGACAAGAAAACTTGCATATTGCGCGACGTGTGCAGCTGGTGATCTGGCTACAGATTCTCCAATGCTGGTCAGGAATTGCTGGCATCACCATGTATGCACCAAGTGAGTTGGCTTCAAGATCTGCTGTTATTTATCAACATGCTAATATCCTCGCAGCTATCTTCAAGATCGCCGGATTTGCCGCACAAAAAACAATGTGGATCTCAGGATTGAACAACATCTTTTACGCATTCGCAACTCTCATTTGTGTCTTCACAATCGATCGGTTCGGACGCCGCTGGACTCTCTGGTGGGGAGCAGCAGGGCAGGCAGTTGCCATGTTCCTTGCAGGTGGTATGGCCCGCGGTGGAATCAATAACCCAGACAGCCAGGGATCCTGGGGTATAGCGGCAACAGCCATGGTCTATCTGTATACATTTGTGTTCGGTGCTACCTGGCTTACCGTGCCATGGCTGTACCCAGCGGAGATTTTCCCGCTTAAGATTCGCGCCAAAGGCAATGCTTGGGGCGTTGTTGGATGGAGTCTGGGCAATGGGTATGTTCTCCCAGCTTTTTCTGCTTCTGATCGGACAGCATTGACATCGATCAGATCATTAACCCTTGCCCTTCCATACGTTTTTGCCGCCATTGGGGAGAACACTCTCCACGTGTTCGGCGCTGTCAATCTTCTTAGCATCCCAATTGGTAAGAATCAACCTTTTTCTCTTCTTTCATTGCGGGATGTGTCGGTTAATATCCAAGATAGTATGGGCTTTCTACCCTGAATCGAGTCAGCGTACACTGGAGGAGATTGATATGCTCTTTGCTGCCAAGTCTCCCTTTGTCTGGGCAGCCGAGTCGAAGTTCAAGACCCTCATGGCAGAGAACCCTGAGATTGGCCAAGCTCATCAACGTCATGGCAACGTGGATGTAGAGAAAGACTCACTTGCTGTTGGTACAATACACGAGGAGACGGTCTCTCGCGATTGACCTTCTGCTTCAAGGTTCCACCTCGGATCTGCGATACAACGATTGGACAGCACTGAGACTGTAAACATAACCTTCGGAACAAGTAGGAAATGGGGTATCGGTTGAGTGCAGCTCCCACTTACTCAATATCAATATCTGTGGATCAATCCTCACATTAGTCAATCAATGATTTGAAAACGTCTTCTCCTAAAGTTTCCAAGTTTCTCATCTCGTCTATTATCCCCTGGTAATGCGCAATGTATGTAATTGGAGTCCAAAGGAATAGTATAATAGCCCCGAGAGTACTTTTCACTAGCATGAATCCATCGATATCATAAAGATCTCTGTGTTGAACTTCAGCACCATTGCTCTCAAACTTGATAGCCTGGACAGTGACGAACCCTGGAAAGAGAATGAGATTGTCTTGGCTACCCAAAGACTCTTCGGGTCACTAGCATTATCATTGGAAAATATATGAAAAAACATTACTAAGAGCTTTAGGAGGGTTGATTTGCTCAACTGCATAATGATATTGACTAATATTTGAGAGAAAATGTACAACAGAAAAACCAAGACTTAAACTGGATATAGATGAGTATATACGAGCTAGAAATTCTTCGAACCTAGTTTTTTGATTGTCGTCACGCTTTTCCAGTTTCGATTAGCAGACTATCGAGGTCAGTGTCCGTGATAAATAAGCATAATGAGATAGAGACTTACTGCCAATAACTCCGTTGACGGGAATATCAATAGAGGTGGTATAGCTGGAGGCATCACTCAGGAGATACACGTAGGCACCGCCGAGCTCTTGTATCTCCGCCAAGCGAGGGAAGCCGCCATAATACTTGAGCTGCTGCTCCCAATCGGGCTGTTGAGGTACCCAGTATGTCATCGCGGTCTTGACCAGACCAGGCGATACGCTGTTCACACGAATGCCGTATTGTGCCCACTCCATCGCCAAGGTGTGGGCCATGTTGCGAATACCAGCCTTCGAGGCACCGTAAGGGGCGGACGGAACACGCTGCGAAGAAGTTTAGTACTGCATGCGTGAAGCTTGAGAGAGATGGATATATACCTTGTTAGGCCGGTATGAAGCCATAGATGCTGTGAAGACCACAGAGCCTTTTACGCCCTGCTTAATGAATGCGCGTGCAGCGGCACGCGCGGTGTAGAAAGCACCGAAGAGGTTGACATTGAACAGAGTCTCAATATCTTCTTTGGTAAAGTCAAGAGCAGCCTTGTGATGGGTACGTCCGGCATTAGCCACCATTCCATGGAGACCACCAGCCTCGTTGATAATCTGGTCGACCGCGGCCGTAATAGTGGCCTCGTCGGTCACATTGGCAGTAACGGAGAAAAGCTTGCCCGGGTATTTCTTGGAGACAGTGGCAAAATCATCCCCGGTCTCACCAATGTCGATAGAGTAGACCTTATCCGCGCCGTTGTCTAGGCAGCACTCAGCAATACCCAGGCCGATTCCGCGGTTGGCACCGGTGACTAAAGCATTCTTGTGTTAGATTTTGTGCTTTGAGCCATTCAGTTTGTGAACGACCTACTAGCAATGACCTTTCCACTCAGAGCGACCTGAGTTTGAGGGACTGGAGTTTCAGTGGTAGTCATATTGGATGATGTGATGAGAATCTTTGAGAGGAACTGGTAGTTGACTTGGAAGGGAATGAGCCGGATGGACCTTCTTATACCTCATTTCACATGAAACAAGAAAACGACGACCTGCCCATGTTCCACAAAATCCAGTCATAACAACCCCCCCTTCTGCTCGAGTCGATGATCATCCGAGACGGCGATATGAAAGCGTGGGGTAAAGGACAGGTATAAAAGTGGAGCAATGTGCCCCGAGACGGGGTCGCCCCGCTTCGGGCCCCGCCCCCGCCAAAAGGCTGAGCTTCAGTTCAATTCAAAGACAAGTAGCAGATCCTGTTCTCATTCGATAAGTGATAGACTTGAATTTCCATTTTTTAAATCTCTGACAAGGTTCTCCCATCTCTAATTTCAATCACTTTACACAATGGCTGCGCTACCTGCCTGGAACCTGCTCAAAGGCAAAACCGCCGCCATCACCGGTGGCACCACTGGAATTGGTCGTGCAATTGTACTCGCATACATCAGCCAAGGATGTAATGTTGCTGTGAACCACTTGGGTCTTGACAAGGATGAAAATCTCAGACACAGTCTTCTTGAAGAGGTCAAGGCGATTGAGGACACGGGTATACAGGCGGGCAAGATCCTAGAGCTTGCCGGCGATGTCACAAAGCCGGAGACCAGCACCAGTCTCATCCAGGAGGCTGTCTCAAAATGGGGGAAACTGGACATTTTCGTCGCTAATGCGGGCGTTTTCAGACCAGCGGAGCTTTTGAAGTGAGTTAATATCAGAACAACGGGGTCCCTTGCGATTCGGGTCTCCTGTTTAAAATACAATCAAAGCTCACAAGTCTAGGATTGAACCATCTCTTTTAGATCACACTGTGGATGTCAATGTCAAGGGAACTTTCTACTCCTGCCAAGCTGCTGCCCGTCAAATGGTGAAACAAGGGCACGGTGGTTCCATCATCGGTGTTTCCTCTGTTAGCGCTCTACTTGGCGGTGGGTTTCAAACCCACTACACTCCTACCAAGGCCGCCATTCTCTCTATGATGCAGTCTATGGCTATTGCTCTTGGCAAGGATAAGATTCGATGCAATGCCCTGATGCCCGGTACAATTGGAACAACGCTCGCCCTCCACGACCTGAGGGATCCCGCAAAGATGGCCGCCCTTGAGGAGCGTATTCCTCTTGGTCGAATTGGAGACCCGAACGATATGGCTGGCCCAGCGGTTTTCTTAGCTTGCGAGGAGATGAGTCGTTATGTGAACGCCACCGGGTTGCTAGCAGACGGTGGAATGTACAGTAAATTGCAGTAAATATGGTGGACTCGAGTTGATACTCATCTCACGTAATGATAGATTGCATTCGTTGTTATAATTTCGGAGAGATGCTATGCAGTTTCTGGTTCTAAGATATTTACTCCCACGATCTGAAATCAATAATCTAATACTGGCAATCAAGTAGCGGCCATAGAGCGAGTGCTTCAAGCAATGAGCTCGCAGTGATTGAAGGGTAAGCTGTGATGTACTGTATTACACCAAGTTGCACCTCTTTGAAGAGTTTTTTTTGTGGTTTTTTTTTTAAAAAAAAATTGTCCATTGATTTCTGTATCAATTGAATTATCCTGTTCTTTTTCACGCTTTTCCGGCGGAGCCGCTGATTTCCATCCACTTGACGGTCAGATCGGCCACCTTCTGAATACCCTCTTCAATCAGCTGAGTGTGTGACATTTTGTCTACATTCGCGTGAAGATGATCATAGTAGTCATCTAGTACGAGACGATTGACATTGATCTTGCTAACACCAGCAGCCACGCAGTGCTTCATCAGCTCTGGCTCAAACCCATTCGTACCATGCAGAGCCAATCTGACTCTACCATCAGCCTGACTGCGGATATTCTGAAATCTAGATACTCAGTAGTTAGTAGTGTTCACAGAGACCGGGGAAACGGTACTGGGCCTACCTCTCAAAATCCAAGTGTGGCCCCTGAGGTCCATACTCGCCGTGGACATTGCCGAACGCGGGAGCAAGCACATCCACCCCTGTGTCGACAAAATCATTGACCTCCTCAGCTGTAGTCATGCAGGCCTCCAAGCCTGCAGTATCCATAACACCGTCCTCCCCACCTTCGATTCGCCCCGGCTCGGCCTCGGTAGCCTTCTGGCGCTCGTTACAGTAGCGCACCAGCTCTTGAGTCTTCTTCAAATTGATGTCTTTCTCATAGTGTGACATATCCACCATGATACTGTCAAATGGCAGTTCAGCTGCTTGCTTGATGATTTTTTCGGACTGCGCGTGGTCGAGATGAATGCTGATCGGCACGCTGGCGCGTTTCGCGGCGTCCGCAGCGGTGCGTATGAGTAATCCATCGGTGGCCTCAATGGCCCATGGGAAGAATTGGATGATCAGAGGCGAGCGAGCAGTATCAGCAGCTTGAACTAGTCCTAGGATATGCTCAATGTTGTAGGCGATGGCAGCGATGACTCCGTATTTCCCGGCTTCCGCATCACGCAGAATGGAGAGATGCGTGTTGGATTGTTTCCAGGACATGTTGAGGCACCGAGGGAATTGCAAGTTGTCGTTAAGTATGTCTTTTCAATAAAAAATAGTAATCAAGACATTCTGACTGGCGAGCAAATAAATAAGTAAAGAGATCGAATGTTGTGAAGATGGCATCGCCGAGTGACCCCGAGACGAGGGAAGTCCCGCCTCGGGTTCTCGCCGCGAAAGAAGAGCGCAACCGCCCACGGTGGATATCCTATCACAAGTTGCTGAGTTGCCTTCCTAATTTCACTTTGACTCAATTAACATCGCATCTGGATTGTTCATTGCGTTGCGGAAAATATTGTGCATTTGATGAATACAGAGGAGACATGACCAGTATCACGAACAGCGCCACAGCTTTCAAGGCCCACGATCAGCGATTCTCGGCAATCGTGGGTACATCTCCGACCATAGAGCTATTGGCAGAGAGCAAGTTGTATCCCTTCGCCCACGAAGCCGGGGTCTTCTTCCCAGACTCCAACAACCTCTTCATTACCAGCAACCGATGCATTGCACCGGACGGACAACAGAAAGTACACATCGTACGGGTCGATCTGAACAAGACACCGCCAACGTGTGATGAAATCGATACAAATATCCCAATGGGGAATGGAGGCATCAATTATGGCAAAAATCACGTTCTCTTCTGTGCGCAGGGGTCCATGACCGAACCAAGTGGATTATACCGAATGTCAACAACTGCACCATACAAATCAGAGATGTTGAAACCCGATTTCCATGGCCAGCCATTCAATTCCGTCAATGACGTGGTTATACATTCAGATGGATCAATTTGGTTCACCGATCCCATCTACGGCTTCGAGCAGGGTTATCGTCCACCGCCCAGTCTACCTAACCAAGTATACCGGTGGTGTCCAGACAGCGGGTCTATTCGTGCAATAGCTGATGGGTTCGGGAGACCAAATGGCATATGCTTCTCCCCCGATGAGCAGGTTGTGTATATTACGGATACGGACCGGGTTCATGGGGACGGTACTATTGATGGTCAGCGAGTTGCGTCCACGTGAGTCATTGATGGTCCATTACGGTTTTTGATTGAATAGGAAGAACTGATGCTTTATTCACATCTAGCTACGCCTTTGACGTTTGCAAAATTCATGGGGAGCCATTCCTGACAAATCGACGGTTGTTCGCTATGGCGGACAACGGGATCCCAGATGGAATCAAGTGCGACCTGAAGGGAAATGTTTACAGCGGTTGCGGTGATGGAATCAATGTTTGGTCTCCAGGGGGCGAGCTTTTGGGTCGGATTCTAATCCGTGGAGGTGTGGCTAATTTTTGCTTTGGGAGAAACGGAGAAGTCTTTGCCCTTAATGAATATCGATTATGGCGCATTCAGTTGGGGGAAGATGTAAAAGGGGCATTGCTTGGAGTATGAGATCTTTTTGATCTGAGAGCTCAGGAAAACCGATAATGAATGGCTTTAATATCCTCGATGGCTGTGGCTCAAAGTGAGGCTTGGCTCTCCCAAATCTGCTGCAATTCATCTCCTAACGATTTGACAGGCCATCCACTTCGCTCTCGGCATGCCTCAAGTAGGTCCAAGATAGCGCCCCTGAAATGGATATCTTGTGTGTGTATTCCGGCTGCGGGCTTGTCAACCTTGGCTCTCTCAGCTGGAGGATATCACATACCTATGAATAAAGCCTGGGAAGACATTAGAGAGGACGCATTATCCTTCAAAGTCATACCAATACCACAGATATTTTCCACACAGCGCTTTATTGCACTTTGTCGCTCGAGAGTTCGTTCAAGTCCACCTAAGCAAGGCTCATGGGAAATCAAGAGAATGTAAGATACGTTAAAAAATTGAACCGCGACGGCTGCCCGACCAGATAAGCATATCTTCATCGATCATTTGATAGACTGCGGGAATCACTTACCAAATTCTGGGGGACGAATCCATACAGGCTGAAAACACGACGATGCACCGCGTGACCCAAGCGGCAAGGGAGAGAACTCAACGGTCAAATGCCGTCTCCACTCTTCCAGCGTAGTCCGAAGAGTGGTTGCTTCGTTGATTTGACGCTGGATGTTTTCTGTTGTTGTCGTAGTTGCACAGAAGCTGATCACCTTCGCAGCATTATATATAGAGCGATTAGCAAGCTCATGAGGTAATAACGCCGAAAGAGGCTTTTGTGGTACCCAAAACGTAAGAGTCTTGCGTTTCTCGCGAAAGGCAGCCCAGAGGTCCTGGCACAGCCATGCCCACCAAACAGCCGATTGCAGCCCACCAGTCTCTCCATGGATTGTTTGGGATCTTTGGATCAGAAAGACGCCCTCCAGGTGGTGCTCCCAATCATTCGTGGAGTTGTCCAGCATTTCATACGCAGAAATAATCAGAGCAGTCGAAAGGAGCTCGAGGCTCGTCTTGTAAGTAGGATAAAGCATAGCCCTGCGCACGTAATGAAGGGTTTGGTAGTAGTATTGGAGAGCCAGCTCCGGCTTATTCACGATGACTGGATCGTCTTGCCCAGGCTGTACCGCCAGATGCCGAAAGGCGAGAGCTAATATAGCGTTTAGAAGACCAGCATTACGCAACTGGTGTCCTGTCAGCCTTCCAATTGAGAATGGTATCAAATTGGCAGGTATTTTCTTACCGCAAGATGAGCAACTAATGTAGAGAACTTGTTTGTCGGGTCAAAAAGATCGATCTGTAGAGTGATGATCAGCGGGGCGGGAAATGGCAAGAATCGAATAATTCAAACATACCCAGGCACTAACATGGTGTACGAAGTGCTCAAATAAGGCCTGCTCGTCCGGCGAGAGCTCTATTGGTTCGCGTGACTGCCATATTTGCATCTCCGTCAGCGCACTGCCTTCGGTGGCGTGGCCATTGGTCACGTCCAGACTCGCAGCACCGCCGCAAGGACTATCCAACACCTGAGTTGCTCGCTGTAGTGAGCTAACCTGAGGCGGGTCATCGTTTTCAGAGTGGCCGAGGGCCAGACTGTGGCTCTCCCAGATATTAGAAACGGTCGACTGCTGTAGGTTATCACCAGGGAAACCACCAGCCAGCAGCCCAAGCCATCGCACAGCCGCAAGAGATGCGGTGGACGGTGACAAGTAGTCCCCATGTAAGGTTTCCGAGGTCTGACCTGGAGTTAGTTCATCCTCTGATCGGTATTCCAATAGAGGTGCTGGAGGATCGGTCTCTCCTTCTGAGGCTGCCCAAGTATAACCGGGGTTTAGCTGCGGCTCGTGATGCACCGGATCTGTATTGGGACTATTTTGGTTGGGGTCATTGATCTGCTCCGAATTCGGTATTTGCTGCGTGGCTGACAGGTCAGGACGGGTCCTAGTAACAGGCCTATCCGAAGCCGCAAGATCGACGCGATGCGTCTCTGAGGTCGCATAGTCACATATTCGTTCCTTCTTGGCACAAGGACCGCAGATCGGCTTAACTTCATCGCATTTCATATGTCGCTTCCGACATGCCAGGCTGCATAAGTTCTGTCAGGCAAGCACGACAGGCCTTGGATGCGAGGGTCTCACCATCCGTCCTTAGTCCTCAACCCGCGTCCCCGGCTCTTTCGTTTGCGCTGCTGTCTAGTATACGAGCGTGAGCTCATAAGAGAGTCATCATTCCAGGTGTTTCCCCCAGTTTCTGGACTGAGAACCCCATCCATTCTGTATCATGGCTTCGCTGTTGTCCCCGTCTCGGGGAAGCGCCAGTCGACTCGCGTCATGGCACGTGACCCACAATTCCCCGCTTTCTCCGCAATTTAACAGCTCCGGTGCAAACCATGCAAAAGTTGCAAAACATCAAAAGAAATGAAAAGAATAAGGACGTTCAACGACTAAAAGGTGAGTATAGCTAACAATAATCCTTTTCTAATGCCCAACATAATTAGGTGAGCTATGCAAACTATCCAAACTGAACGAAATGCAAAAACAGTACTTGTATTTCTTGTCGATTTTATTAAAAGGCCAATTGATCTCCATAGTACTCCGTACTAGTGACAAGAACTTGTCAGAATAGGCCCATTGAGTGCTTTTTGAATGCACGATGGTCCCTACGGAGCCCTCTGCGACGAACCCTCTCGCTGCGCAAACCGTGAGACAGGTTAGTTTTACCCTACTGATGAAGGTCGCCGCAACGGTAATTCAATTTAGCACGAGAGGAACCGTTTATTCAGATAATTGGTTTTTGCGGCTGTCTGACCAGGCAGTGCTGCGACGCTACCATCTGCCGGATTATGGCTGAACGCCTCTAAGTTGGAATTCGTGCCAGAACGCGGCATTTTCCCCCGCACGTCGTTGTTGGATAAGATTAGGCCTCGGGGCCATGCCCCTCAGCAGGCTGGCGACGGCTCTCGGGGATAAACCCTCGAGGCTGGCTGGCGGATTGTAAGGGCCCATCAGAAGTGCTGTCCATTTCGCTCCCTTCGCCAACCATTTCGCCTCCTTCGCCGTACAGTTCGCTTCCTTCGCTGCTAGTTTCGCTTCCCTCGCTGCTAGCTTCGGTTTATGTCCGGGGGGTTTCACGGTGGATATCAACGACGCACGCAACGGAGTTTTCCATGAACTGGTCACAGCAAGGATAGACAAAAATATCCCCGTGCACCCTTTTGAACATTGGGTCCTCAATGTCATACTTACCAGCATATTGCTGGTAAAGACGGTAGCTAGCGATGTAAGCCTCGCCTATTCTGAATCAGTTAACCACGAACGAATGATACCCCCAAATCCATTCTTGTGTGCAGTCTTACCTGGGTGGTAGCGGCAGCGTTGCTCGATGTTCTTCGTCACATCAAAAATTCCCCTGCAATTGACGCAGGTTTTGTAGACGGGGACATGAGTTTGAGGTTGACTCTGGTCTTCTTGCTGGTTGAGAGTAACAGACAGCATGCTTCTAGCCATTTCACCAAAATCTGCGTTGCGCTCACACATCTCATTGAAGAGGTTGCGTAGTCTGCGCTCGGGGAGTGTGTTGATCACATCATGCAGGGATGTGGACTCGGGTGGAGGTGCGTCGTCCATGATGAGGGGCGAGAGGGAAAAAGAGGCGGACAGAAACGATTGGATTCACTCCCTGGAGAGAGAGGAAGAAGAAGAAGAAGGGAGAAACGGGGAGCGAATCTACTTAAGTATTTATAAACGAGGGTTGGGACGAACTCCCTATACAACACACCTTCTGAGACACAATCCTAAAAAGCACCCCCAAAAAGCTTATACAAAAGGAATCCTCTAAGTCAATCTCTGATTCTCAAGTTCCCCGATCTTGATGTTTTTGACATTTTTGTGGCTCATGTAGTCCCTTTGTATATTGAGAACATCCTTCCCCCAGGTCTCCGAGATTCATTCCCTCCCTTCCTCCTGGGTTCTTAGACTTCATATACCCCCCAATTACTCCCATTTACCAGCCATTTGGCCAGTGAGAGTATTGAATAGGAGTCTCATGCTGTGGCTAAGTAGATATAGCATTTGTCATACCGTAAGCCGTATTGAACTCTGCACCATAGGGCTCTAGAGCATCGGATACCACTTGAGCACAGCACAGGCTGTATTGAGCTCCGCACCATAGGGCTCTGGAGCATTGGATACCGCAGCGCATCTACTAAATTCGTCAAAGCTAAACGCCGACGAATCACTATTGGCCGTGCCCCTTACTGCATTCTGCTACTTAGTATGTTTAGTGTGAAGACCGCTTAGGAGGGTTGGGACGAACTCCCTACACAACAATGATGGCAGTAGAGCCTCGAATGTGGGACTTAGCAGTCAAGAAAGAGGAGTGTAGTATCGACTCACTCCCTTCACTGCATCTCCCGCAGATCACTGAGTTGGGCAAATGTCAATCCAAGTCAGAGTTGTAGATTGAGTGTTACAACATTGCCGTTCAGTGATGAATCAACCGACGAAGTGATCAGAAATACTGCGGAACAAGAGGACACAGTAGCCTGCTGTGATAGAAGACAAGAGTGGAAGAAACTAAAGTTATTTACGCGAGTCCAACACAGAAACATGAAGAGTTCAGTGTTGTCCATCGCATCTAGTAGATATATCCTAAATGGGCGATGGCACTAAACCCAATTGGGACAATGTGACAGAAAGCTTGGCATCATGATTCCCCCAAGGTGCACACCGAACCTGTTCTCTAGATTTACTGTATAGACACGGGAAACAGATAGATTAATCGGACGGTTCGTTTAAAATGTCCATTAGAACCCAATCGGCCCCCACTACCAAAAGTGCGCCAAGTGTGTATGGCCTGATTCTTGATCGGATAGTGACGTCGTCCATTCTGTGCAATCGGACTTTTGTTCAGATCGTCCCCTCAACAATCTTACAGTTCAAACACATTGAGGGGCACATGCATTAGAGCGGGTATCTCTCTCCTATCAGATCTAGTGAGAGTCAATTCATCCGGTGCGGAGAGGGGTGCAGCTCGCAGTGTAAAAAAAGTAATCAAGTAGTCCGTACTATTTGGTATGACCAGTTCTCGGGTCTAGACAATGTAAAAATACCGGGCAGAGACCAAAAGGGCAAATAGAAGACACCTATGACAAGATTAACCGGGAAACCGGATGGTGGGATGCTGTCGAGAGATGTGGGAGGCCAGGAAATATCAGGCAATGTTCGCAAGTATAAGAACGTCCTGTGCGACTTGGTCTCATTGTCACTACTTTCCCCCACTTCTTTCTTGACTTTTATTTCTACTTTTACCTCTACTGTACCTCCACTCTACCTCTACTCTACTCTAATTCTACCCATCTACACACAAGATGACTGTCCCCGATACTCAGTGGGCTCAAGTCATCGAGCAAAAAGGCGGACCACCCGTCTACAAGCAAATTCCCGTTCCCAAGCCCGGTCCCGATGAAGTCCTTATCAAAGTGAAGTACACCGGAGTCTGTCACACAGACCTCCACGCCCTGAACGGCGACTGGCCCCTCCCACTTAAGCCCTACCCTCTGATCGGCGGGCACGAGGGCGCCGGAATCGTCGTCGCGAAAGGGGAACTAGCCCACGGAATTGATATCGGTGACCATGCCGGCATCAAATGGCTGAATGGATCCTGTCTCGCTTGTGAATTCTGCAAGACCTCCGATGAGCCTCTCTGCCCCGAAGCAGAGTTGTCTGGATACACCGTCGACGGAACTTTCCAGCAATATGCGGTTGGCAAGGCGGCGCATGTTTCCAAGCTGCCGAAGGATGTTCCTCTTGATGGTGTGGCGCCGATCCTGTGCGCTGGTGTTACTGTTTACAAGGGGCTGAAGGAGTCGGGTGCTCGGCCTGGTCAGACGGTGGCGATTGTTGGTGCTGGTGGTGGCTTGGGCTCGCTTGCGCAGCAGTACGCTAAGGCTATGGGGCTGCGGGTGATTGCTATCGACGGTGGTGAAGAGAAGCGGGCTATGTGTGAGCAGCTTGGTGCTGAAGTACGTATACCGGCGTTGATATATTGAGACGGATGATCTAACTGTCACTAGACATACGTCGATTTCACCCAGAGCAAGGATCTTGTTGCGGATGTGAAGGCCGCCACTCCTGGAGGTCTGGGTGCCCACGCTGTTCTCCTCCTCGCCGTCGCCGAGAAGCCTTTCCAGCAGGCTGTTGAGTATGCTCGCTCACGCGGTACCATTGTTGCCATCGGCTTGCCCGCGGGCGCATTCCTCAAGGCCCCTGTCTTCGACACTGTCGTCAAGATGGTCAACATCAAGGGAAGCTATGTTGGTAACCGCCAGGATGGAGTTGAGGCTGTTGATTTCTACGCTCGTGGATTGATCAAGGCCCCTTTCAAGACGGTTCCTCTGAAGGATCTGCCCGAGGTGTTCAAGCTCATGGGTATGTTATCGATCAGCCAAGTTTTTGAGATAATCATGCTAACCAACATAAATAGAACAAGGCAAGATCGCCGGTCGCTACGTCCTTGAAATCCCAGAGTAGACACGTTGCTATTTTGTTGATTCGCGATTTGCGAGGATGGTACTTCTGCAGTCTGCTCCCAGGCACTAAGACCGATGAGAATTTTCTAATTTTCTAATTTTCTAATGTTTCATAAATGCTCTAGCCTTTTGTCGAGGAATTAGCGAGAATCGAAATCAGTTTAATACTGGATGATAATACCGTTGCTTGAAATGACCATGAGTACGAAAAATGGCTCGCCATTTTTGTTCCACAGTCGAGATACTGTTCAAGAAGTATAGCTTGAAAAACCGGGTTTGCGCGATCTTAAAGGACCCAAAACTCACTCCCATTGTAATTAAATGGTCTTCTCCATAGCCATACCCTCATCCTCCAGGCTGACCGTTGTCTGTGGTCCCTTGAAGGTCTTCCTAGCATATGCATAATAATAAAGCAACGAGCCGGCCCAGAGACTACCATTAATAACAACTGTGTAGTTCATATTTTCCGCTAGTAGAATTGCGTCAGGGCAAGGCATCAAGAAAAAGGGTGCGAATTGACTCACCAGACGGATTCGGTCCCTCGGTGGGAATCATACTCAGAACAATAACGAAAACCATGTAGATAACAGCAACCCAACCGATCGGTTTACTGAGATACTTCCCTGTATAGAACTCACCAGGAACGAAAAGCTCATTACCCCAGACCAAACGTGCCAGGATTGGCGTCAGCCAAGCGAGATCGTTCGCGGCCACAGCGAGGGAGAAGAGGGCGTTGGCAGCGGTGTTGTCAATGAGTGAAAGGAGACCGATGATGACAGCAACGACAGCGACACCACATACCATTCGGACAGGCTGGTATCGCATCCAAGCATGTTGGCTTACTTTTCGGAAGAAAACCGAGAATGGCAAGGCGCCGTCTCGAGAAAAGGCCCAACTCTGTCGAGAGGCGGCTAAGACCTTGGATGATCATCAGTTCATATACATCGACAAGTCAACGAAAACATACAATGCTAAGTCCCATGAAGAACTGCACGATCATCACAACAACCATAAACCCCAGCGCGCCATTCTTGCCCAGCGCATCATAGTATATCTACCGTGGGTCAGCCAATTCAACAACTGAAGGAAAAGAGCAAGCAAACCTGAGTCATGGGCTGACCATACTTCGAATTAAGAATACCGGAAATATCCGTATCCATTGAAGCAGCAATAACAGCCAAAGAAACGAAACCTAGAACTCCACACATCCCAGCTGAAGAAATAATACCCAGTGGAACAGCACGAGCTGCATGTGTTGCTTCTTCACTCATATGCACGCACGAATCGAAGGCGCCGATCGTCCAAATTGGTGACAGCCACGATAACATGAACGCCCAGCCTGTCGGCCACGATGTGAGGTTCGTCACAGAAGCAAAGACATACTCACCCGAATTGACGGGTGGGTTATTGTGCTTTTTACCGATCGGTAAGGCAATGACAGTAGCCACGACTAAAGCGATGTTAAGGAAGATACAGATGGATTGAATTCTGGGCATGACTCTGGCGAAGAAGATGGCTATGAAAGCGTGCGTGAAGACCGTCGCAGCGTACGTGCCATATATAACTGGCCGTGTGGCAGACCAGTTGCCATCTCGGGCTAGGGATATCACCGAGAGGAGCATGTTGGCGAATCCATCTGGTTATTTTAGTTGAATATCGAGTGTGGGAGAGGGATGTAGCTTACAGTCAATTGAGCAGATCCCACCTACTAAGCCGATGGTGTTGCTGTATCCGACTAGAAAGCTCAGTGGCTTCTTCCACTTCTCGGCGGCGAAGTGGTGCGTCCAGAAGTAGAGGCCGCCGGCGGTGGGCATTGCGGAGGCTATATCAGCCTTTTGATTGAGAGAGGTTCAGCGCTTCGGTATTGTAATTGACGCGTGGAGTGAGTCTCACCATTGCTAAGCTGACAATGAAGATGAAACAACTTGCAGCTAACCAGCCTAGTATATGTCAATGCTGATTTCAGTGGAAGGGATTGGACAATGGCTATACCCTGAGCAAGCGTCAGTCTCAAACTTCACACCAACAGCAGATCAACCGATAGAGACGACAAAAGGAGAGGTGAAATTACCCAAACCATCCCCACCGGACCAGCAGGCATGGAAAACGACAGCGTGGTGGCAATCGACGGCAAAAGACCCATGATGCTAAAAGCAACCGCGAAGATCTGTACAGTCGAGTAGTGCCGTCTCAGTTCCTGCTTGTATCCCAGCGTAGCTATACAGTCATCCCAGTCAGCACACTACTCCGGAGCCTAGATCTCATGGATGTGCTATCTCGCACGAGTTACATACCCAGCAGCTCGCTGTCTGCAGCCTGGAGCGAGACATGGCCTGTGACTTCTGATCCGCGTCTCTTGCTCTTGTGGGACGGGGCTTTCTGCAAACCCGCCATCGTGTGCAATAATGAGGGAAACTGCTCAATGGGTGAAATGTGCGAGGTGGGAGGAAAGGCAAAGTCAGAAACGATCAGTCTTCTAAAGTTATACTCCGACCCCATTGAACAACTGAGGGGTACGGGGTACGTGATACAACTGGGGTCTATTATCCCCTAACATCAATAAGCACCAATTAGCACCAGTAAACGATCCTTAGGCTATACTTTCCTAGATCCCGTTGAGATAGCTAGGGCTACTGTGAGTGGGCGATAGCCAATGCTTAGCTCTGCTTATCTGTTTCCGAGGTTGTTTCCGAGGTCTTGGCTACTCTGGATATAAAGTCCGTACGCTATCTGACTACGGATGCTTCGAATTGAGCTGATTCGGATTGATATTCGTTTACACAGGTTCGCTAGGCACATTCGGCTTCAACACAAAATTCAAGAAGAGAATTCCTACATCAAAATGCTGCCCGTGTGTGAATCGTACAAGAAAGGGCTAAAATACATCTCAAAGAAACAATCAAACATTACCTGGTCCAGGTCCCTTGTGGTTCGACTGATCCAGCAGCAAGGTTGGCTTGATGTACTCTTCGTCGAGCTGCCGGAACCAAGCCGCATGATCACCCGAAGCCCCGCCGGAGAAGAGATCCCGCAGTGCTTCGCGAGCAGTAAGACCAGGGAGATGACGGGAGGGCGAGACGCCGTAAGTTGCGGCCAAGTTGGGGGAGGGAGTACCGATGGGGCGAGGAGGCTGGGAGGCGGAGCGTCGGAGACGAGAAGCGCCCTTGGCCGCGGGGGGAAGATCATCGTCGGAAATTCCATCCATATCGAGATCGAACTCATCGGGGTGGGTAGGGTCGTTGCGGAGGATACCTGTGGGTGGGAGACCGAACTCGTCATCACTACCTTCACCGGCACTTGGGCCAGCACCAGCGTTGAGGAGGGTTGCGGCAGATTGGCGGTCGCGCCAGGACTGATCCTTGTTACCGTAGGCGGCCGAGTACATCCGGGTGTGAGTGTAAGGTGGGCTGGGGCGGCGGCTGCTTCCACTTGAGTAGCTGCCGGCTCGCGCTCCAAGTCCGGCACGTGAAGCGTTGGGGTCTGTTGTGAGGCCGTCCAGGGGAATGTTTGAGCCAGTGCGTCGTGGAGTGTAGCCCAGGCTGGTATCGGAGCGTTTGTAATAAGTGCCGCCATGGGTGACTTCAGTATCGAATTCATCATCGGAGTCAAGTTCTTCAACCACACCGGTTCTGATGCCTAGAATCTCGAGCATGCGGGCTGTGGTTCCACCGAAGATGATGACGGTCAACACAACAACGACGAGGACGGTGGCACGAAGGGCAGGGGCGTTCACCCCAGTAAGACCGGCTGCTAGAGCCACACCGACAGCACCTCGGAGCCCAGCCCAGAACAGCATGGCTTGATAGGCGAATGGTAGCTCATCGGTGACCTCGACGCCACGACGGCGGGCGCGGTACCGAATAAACCAATTGATAGCCTTGGACAGCGGGAACACCGCGAGATAACGCGCCAGGCAGATACCGAAGAAGGCCACTAGGATGAATAGAGGGTTGAATTGAAGGTTGGCTTCGACAAACAAGTCGAGACCAAGGTAAATGAAGATAAAGTTCTCCGAAAGTTGGGCCATCACCTGGAATAGGTATTTGGTAGTTAACTGCGTGCGGCGCGACATGTTGTAGTATGCATAATGCTTGAGAGTGATGCCGCAGAACAGCAGAGACACAATACCAGACAAGTGCACGCCGTTGGAGAAGAAATAGCTGGCATATGCGATCAAAATAATCAGACAGCTCTCAATATGGGGCATACGTCGCACGTGAGTGTACTTCAGACCCAGTGCTGTAGTGATTCCCACCAGCATGCCGACCACCATACTACCAAAGAACACAAGCAGGAAGAGTCCGATAGCCTCGAATAAATGGAGGATTGTCAACGAGCCGGCCGCATTCTGGGCGTACTTTTGCGCAGTCTCGAAGAGCACAATAGCAATCGCATCGTTAAGAATGGACTCTCCGAAAATGATCGTGTACAGCTTTGGCTCAACCTTGTAGAGATTGAAAATAGCTAAGATGGTGACAGGGTCTGTAGCAGAAAGAGTAGCTCCAACGGAGAGCGCTTCAACGAAAGAAATATCGAGGCCGTTCAGCGGAATTCGTGTCCATAAGTACAAGACCAGGGCGAGAACGACTGCGGAGATAAGAGTACCGGCGAACGCGAAGGTGAGGATGGTGCCGATATGGCGGAAGAAGTTCGCTTGGTGAAGCTCATATCCGGAGGCGAGGATAATTGGAGGGAGGAGGAGATTAAAGAAGAATTGGTAGTCGAAGGCGACGCTGTCTTGCAGAGTCGACTTAGGAGTCAGACGAATGATCAACCCAACAAACATGCCTGGCAACCGTTAGCATCGTTTGCGCACCACGCGCGTTGAGCAAAGCAAGCTTTCAAAATGCTTGCAAGAACAGCACGCCTTTGAGGAGTGTATCCTACCTGCGAAAATCGACAGAACAGTCTCATGCACAGCTTGGATCTTCTTCTGCTGCAGGGTGTAACTTGTGAAGAGGGCGAACATGAGCAACATGATCATAATGAACAGTGCCCAAGAGCTCGACACCTCTTTGGTTCCTGCCTCAGGCCTATCTGCAGTCCACCATCACCGTTAACATCACCGTCATATAGGAGCTCCGTATCAACGCAGAACAGGAGGGGTGTTTCAGGCACGCGTACCATCGGGATCAGAGTCTTCGGCGGCTCGTCCTAAACGTGAGATGAGCTTGTTAGCTTTGGATACACCGAATGTCGCGAATCGCAGCGTCAACAATCACGCATCACTTACGGAGCAGGCCGTGCAAGGCCTCGTTCATCATTTGAGTAGCCATCACGGCTTGCGCCTTAGGAGGTATCAATGACCAGCGCAAATAACTGGCAGCTCACTCGCGTGAAGTTTGAATGGCCAGACAGAGCGCACATAATCCGAATGGAGTGGCGAGGAGCGAATTGAGAGAGTCGCGATAGACGACGAGAGTGAGTTACGAGGAGTGGCATCTCGGCCAGATAAGCTGGATTGCGGTGTTTAGTACGCGACAATACGATACGACCGTTTCGCAGGGCTGGTCCGGACCCAAAGACGGGAAGCCCCGCCGGCGACGATGCGATCGTATTGAAAGACGACATAAGCGTCTTCGTATTACGGAATGTTACGGGACAGCCCGGCCCACTGCCGCGCAACTGCCAAGGAACGTTGCAATCTACACATCTAAACACCTACGAGGATTGTCCGACAGTGTCTCCTCCGTCGTTTACATACGGCATTTATTCCTGAGCTTCTTGAGTCCTGCAACTGACAGTAATCATCTTCAGACGTTCTGCCTTCGCCATTCGGCGCCCTCTGGCTCTCGTCCGTAGCCTCTGTCACTATCCAGTCTCCCCTTCTGCTGGTGCATTAGGCCCAGTCGTCTGGTCCCTAGTTTTCGAGCAAGAAAGTTCGGGGAGCGCGGATGATAGATGGGGCTATTCCCTGCATCTGGATCTTCGGTTCTATCCATAGGGAGCTGCTTCGTTGAACCAGCGGACTGTCGTTGGCCACGGCTGGGTTTCCACGCATTCCAGCCATCAACGACTTGGTTGACATTGAAAGCGAAGATGAGGAATGGGACAGAAACACATGCAGAGGTGCAGACTAATTATCTCAGTTAGATTGAGCGCCACGACAAATCAGTCAAATTTCGGTGACGGAGTACTCACAAATGATCGGGAAGATCCATTTCCCCTGAAACTCCACGTCATCTCCGGAGTGTGGGAATTCGGCTACATTCAATGCAAATAACGAGCTGGGGAACGAGAGGGGAAGCTAACATTCCTCGATTAGCTCCGTCGCCGATTCTTTCAGGCTGTACTTACGAATAAGATGGCGACGATGGTGAAAACCAAGGTTATATTGGCTTGCTTGGCTGTGTCGTTTGCTTGCCACCTTCCAAACTCGGTTTCTTTGCTACAGGTTTGTTGTTGTCGCAATTCCAGGAGAGCATTGATCTGAGCAATACTATCAGCTGGAATGTCGCTGTCACGAACTCGGGGGGAGGATAGACCGAGTCTTGGACGGATGAAGCTTCCTCGGCAATGCGCGCGATCTCATCCAACAAACGGCTGGGGTTTGTTGGGTGATTGTATTGATACCCAGGAAACGTTTCCAGGTCTTCGGTTTTAAAGGCATGCTGCCAGACCTGCTTTTGACCTTCGAATACGGTCTTAAGCATGTTGAGCTCATCGCGGATATCTTTGATCTCTCTGAGCAAATAAGCCTCGTCGTCGATAACATGGTAAGGATTCTTGGGTATATTCCGGACGAAATTCATGTGCTTATGAGAGTGTGACTCGCGCTCGAGGGATGTGAGGAAGCTTCGATAAAGAATTGCTTCTTTGTCCATCTAGAAAAAGAGACGTATCAGTGATGCTGCCTTTCATCCATGGATGCAGGGTCTTGATGCTATACCAAGCATCGAACTGATTCCTGGGAAATCTCAAGCGCATTCTTGCTTTTACGAGGTTCTAAATTTCCTTTATGAGCTTTCTGGGAGAACTTTTGCTCAAGGAACATTGTTGTCGTAATGCTGGGCACAATTTCAACCATCGCTTCAGTCGTTCTTGGTCGCTCAAAGTCACATTTTTCTTCATTCAGCTTGATGAACCTACAGATCTGTTCCGGAAGACTTGCTTCTGACGCATCTGATGGGTTTGTGCAGCTGCTAACGACCGTATCTGTTACTCGATTAGTATTGATAAATGATTTTCACGCACAACCAGCTTGGAACATACTGTCATCATGCACTCGAATCCATACTTGGTCAACGGCCAGTATTGCTTTTCCAGGCTGGGAAAGACGCCCTGGAGCTGCCGGTACTCTTTTTCTTGCTCGACGGGGCTCTTCTCCTGTTGGATATCAAGATTCAGCTGGAAGTATCCATTATTTTGCCGTCGGCCTTGGTTTCCATGCCCATGGAGGCTAGCTCTGAGTAAATTGCGTCCTGTGCCTTGATATATTGTATGTAAGTTGGAAGGTCTATCGCATTGAAGCGGAAGAGTCTTTACGTGAGAGCCAAAATAAAAATCCAGAGAGCGGATTGACTGCATAGAAAAAAGCAAATCTCTCGCGGAATTAGGGAGAGCTGAGCTGGACCAGCCTGCATTAGTCTGCTTCTAAATTTGATCACCACGAATCGTTCCCCTTTGCCCCGTGGAGCCAAAACCGCCAACCGCCAACTATATGTGGACCCCCAAAGCTCGTTCTTTCACTACTTAAGTATCAAATGTTTGATGCGCTAATGCACGTCCTACCCCCGAAATAGCGAGCTTGAAACAAGTGTACCCGAACTCTTCAATATATTTCTTGTATCCCTCACCACCAAAAGTCTTGAATATCATCATCTATCTAGATCCATCCGAAACCCTGCGAGTCAACCAGGCTGCAACCAAGGCAGCGCATCCACCGAATCGCAATACCCATCCCACACTGTCATCCCAAGGTTCACCTCTAGGTTTCTGAGAAACCTTAAAGATAGCACTACAAACCAGACTAGACAAGATCTGAGGCAGCGAAACAGCCATATTGTGCAGACCAAGAATGATACCCGCTTGAGCGACATCTGCACCCCCATGAGAATCCTTAGGTCCAATCTCGACATCATTGTCGCGATCATTATGCTCATCCCGATCCTCGGCAACCATCCGCTCAGTTTCAGTCTCGCCCGTCTGGCGATGTTGTCGAGATGGATCAATCCTAGCTACCTCGGCTGAAATAAGAGCGAATGGTGCCCACAAGGCAACGGCCCAGGAAATGCCGATTATCCCGACAACAGCAGAGCCAGCCTGGTGCGAAGAGATGAAGATTGTGCTGAACATGCAAATTGCAAATAGTAGATGAGAGAGCAACCAAACTCGACGCAGTGTCAGTCCCGGAATCCGGAGACGGGTTAGCCAGGTTGGCTTTTCTACTGTTTGCTGTGGGACATGGGGTCCGTCCAGGAGTGGCTCGGATGCATTACCAGTGGGCATGCTCGAGAATGAGAGTCTTCTCGCTGGTTCTTCGTCATCGGAGGCATCACCACTGAGACGGCGGGGAACATGTGTCGGGGCAGGATTGTAGGTTGGGACCACGAAAAAGGGCAATATAGTATTTGCGAAGAACGAGATAATCGCATAGATGAGCAGCGCAAGCGTCCCGACTCGAGTGGCGTCCTCCCAGGCATGGTCGATCTCATCTTTAGAAAGATTGGGGTTCTTTGCGAAGATTGGATTCACGTAGAGCTGTCCGATATAGGTTGTGGAGTAGAAAAGGAATGGGAACCAACCCACCCACGCTGCGATTTGGACCTGGCAGACTCGGGAGATCTGCGTTGGTAGGCTCTGTATGGACTTGATGATTTGTCTGAAGAATGATACGACGCCCAGCTTGTCTGTCACGGGGGGATCAAACTGGGGGTCTCGCTCTTTGATATATGCGCAACTGATTCCGAGAGTGACACTGAGTGAGACCGAGGCAACCGCACAGAGGACCTTGAATTGTGTATTGCCCAAGAAAGGAACTTTACTTCGGAGATCCATGTATCCGAATATATAGCCAAGAATGTTCCCAGCGCCCGTCATCCGACTGGCCCATGCGTTGGCAAGTTCTTGCTGGTGAGCAGGACAGTTGTCGACAATGAACGCCCTGATAGCCGCTTGCACTGGAGGTCATCAGTAGAGCAAATCAAAACAGAATCGACTGGCACGTACCCGTATTGATAGCGAAATCGAGAGCATACATAATAATTGTAGCCATGATAATAATGGACACCTTAACACCCGACGAAGCAGGGTCAGCCCCGAATATCGACAAGAAGCCACCCACGATCTCTTTAACCCAAGCCAGGGCGAGCAGTGAGATAATAGTAGCCACACCGCCGACAATCATGAATGGCTTCCTCTTTCCCATTGGCATTCGACAATTGTCGCTCCTGATGCCGATGTAAGGCTGTACCAGACCGCCAGTCAAAGGACCAGCTATCCACACAAAAGCAAGTAGCGACTTGCTCATGCCAAGCGACAAAAGGAAGGGCTGTAGATTGAGTGTTAGAAGCTGAAGATATTCGGCAATGGAAATCCAGAATCCAGAATCCAGGAATGAATTCATTCATAAGACCGAGAACACTTACCGATCCATTAGAAAGTTCGACAGACCATACTACTTGGAGTCTGTGAGGAAAACAAGCATTAATAAACGTCCTCATACATCACATCGCCATTCAAAAGCGATACCGGGGTCCTTCAAGCAACAGTACTTACCCGCCAATAGAAAGGGTCAATAAAAACAAATACCAGGCACTTCTGGACGACTCATCCAGACGAGGCCGGACCCCATGTCCGTCCTCACCCGGGGTAGTAGACATGAGAGGCGATCTCTCGTGAGAAGTTACAGGGACAGGCTTGTCAGCCGTGTCTCTCATCGGAGAGCTCGGAGGGTTAAGAGAACCGGAACAAGGGGTGCTGGTGTGGAACCCGCTAGGTTGGGCGCATGAAATCGACAACGATCGGATTTGAGTTTCACGCTGCAGCTGTGGGCTTCACTGGGTAGCTCGAACTATGAGATTCCTAACACCTGTTTTTTTGAAGATCCAAGCTGGGTGGATTTGCCTGTTTTAGGTATGTTGGTTGTTCGGGGTGTGGGGAAAACAGGTGTCAGATGGGATTACGGGGAATCCTCGTACTGACGAATTGTAGGTGAGATGAAAAAGCCACAGGCGTGTGTTCTATATTTGACGAGATATATGCTGACCAAGTGTGTTTAATTGGCGATCTGCTCGTACACCGCACCGCTGCAGGTCCCAGATCGACGTCAGCGCACGTGACAAGGGAGTATACGAGACAACATTGTGTAAATGGTGTAAATGACATCTCAAGTTTACGACTGTTTTTAAATTCCAATTCAAGTTCGTTACAAATCTCCCTGTCTATATAGTATGATAAATGACGTACAAAATAATCCTCCCTTATCCCAGCCGCTCTCCATGGACTATGCCTGATGATCCTGCAGAAGCTAACCCGGATCTTTTCCATTGCCAATCCATAAGTAAAAAAAAAAAGAAATAGGTACGTTTCTCGTGCCCGTGCCCGCCAGGCAGAAGTGATTGACTGCCAGAGCAACCCAACTTGTCGCAAGGGCAGCCGACAATAATACACTGTGTTAAGCCACAGCCCCAAAACCCAAAATAAACAAGAAGCATGCCAACATGAAGCAAAGCGGGCTACCCAACATATGTCGTGGTATGTGTGACCCCCTCGATGAAGAATATGCATTAAACAAGAGGCGTTATAAACCCCGAAAGAAGACGCCTGTGTGCGCCTCGAAGAGCCCGATTAGAAAAGAGAGTAAAGGATGTTCACTGGAGTCCTAGATCAGGACAAGAGCTCAAGCAGCTACAATGTGATGATTCACATATGCTGCTGAAGAAGCTGGGGGGCAATCATGTGTGGGGCAACCATGCCAGACATGGCAGATGGCATGCTCATTGGAGCTGGCATCGATGTCATGTGAGGCATGTTGATCATGGCGTGAGCTGGCTCAGGCGGGGACATGTCTTCTCTGGAGGAGTCATATTCGTTTTCATCGTTTTCAAGATCTTCGTCAAGTGGGACAATGGAATGGCCATCCTGCTGCGCTTCGTGGATGCGACGGTGCCTAGAAGAAGTTAGTACATGTTATGATTGACCCGGGGGTATGAAAGCTTACTGTGCAAGGTTGTCAGACCGGGAGAAGGCTTTGCTGCAGTAGGGGCAAGGGTAGGGGCGCTCTTGGGTGTGAGTGCGCACGTGTCTAATGAGGGGTTAGTCGGCGGCTGTTGAAACGATCTTGCAGCACACGTTGCAGATCGGCCCCACTAGGCTGGGTGAGAAAATAGGAGTAAGCTTACCTTTTGAGGTGCTCTAATCTCTTGAAGAGTCTTCCACAGGATGGGATTGGGCAGGAGTGTGACTTGTGAGAATACGGACCCAGCTCCATCAGTGTTGCACTCCTAGCTCGGCGGGTGGGACCGGCCGCTGAACGCTCAGACCGACTAGAGGTGTTCTGAACAGCGGTCTCAAGGGCTGCGCTGGTGGGAAGAGCGGACAAATCATCCGCCTGGCTCACCAATGAGCCAGGAAGTTGACTTGTGCTCTGTTCCATTGCCTGCATCGGTGTGCCATGGCGCGACATATCTTGAAGCAGGTCCTTTCGGGGCAACATCGCACTGGGGTAAGTGCGCGCGAGATCCTGGGTGGACTCGTCTGCCTCTGCGACCGGGGCAACCGAGCTGGAGACCGAGCGCCGCAGGTCGCTCGGGCGATGAGCAGCGTAGGAAACCGACTGAGGCACCGGGGGTGTTGACTGGATGTGCGCAGGGGCGGGTGTGCTGTTTCCGCTGTGAGGCGGAATCGACGATCGGCGTCTGCGTTGTTTGTATGTCGGCGAACCTTCTATCACAGGATACGGATGGGACGAGTAGGAACGAGGTGCAGGCTGGTAATGAGCGCTGGCCAGGTTGGAGGGTGGCAGTTGCATCATGGGGTGGTACGCGGGGCCGTTGGAGATGTCAGGAATCGCGGTGTAAAGTCCAGTATCCTCATTGGCGATATAAGCGGGCTCGGCTCCCATTCCAACTGAATGCTGCGGAGGGGTCACCGGTTCGAACGAGAGGCCGCGGTTGCTGTAGTCTTCATAGTGCGAGGACACGAACGATGGCGCGGGGGAGTATTCGTAGAAAGTCGGCATGGAAGAGTGGCGCTGGTGCGCGCGAGGCATGGGCATTCCGTTGCGATCGTACTGAATGGGGCCATACTCCTGCTCACGCTTAATGATGCTCTGGACTAGATTGTTCGACAAGGGCGCCGCCTGCGGGTGACTGTACATGGGGTGTGTAGAGTCGTCCTGAAGCAGAGGAATCGCCGGGGGAGCCATCTGCGGGGGAGGCATTGCGTCAACGGTCCGAACCACGGGGGAGTTGGGCTGACCATATGTCGTACTTGCGTGGGCAGCAAACGATGAGGAGTTCGCTTGTTGTGACTTGGTCAGCTGCTCATACAGAGACTGAGAGGAGTCAAATTCGAAGGACATGGCCGGTTCACTGACTGCGACCGTGGTTGCCTCTTGGTTCATCTTCTCGCGCTTCAAGTCGCGTTCCAATGCATCCAGGAACAGCCGGTCGTGCGGCACACTGTACCAGAAGAACACCTTTTGCTTCTTCTGCGTCCGAATGCAGTTGTTCTTGTACAAGAAATCCAAGAACGCGCTCTTAGGCTCCTCCAGGGTCGCGTCAGTGCCGGCCTTTAGGTTTCGCAAGTCCGAGAAAATGCCCTCCTCGAACTTTTTGGAGTTCTTCACGGGACGCCCGAAGGCCTGGAATCGGAAGGCGAGACATCGGACAATATCGGTTCCGGAGATGTGGAAGAGGTTGCTCCTAATGCGATTATCAGTCAAGCTGTTCCGATGAATATCGACGGCAAAACCCACCAAAGAACACAAGAGACGTAGTCGCCAGTGGGAAGCAAGAAGCGTCGAATCAGCTGATCCGGCTGCCAATCCACGGGGGCCGACAGCAGGAAATATTTCACTAAGCTGAAGTTAATACATTGCTCCGATTGCTTTTGCTGTCTGAATGCGTGAATGCATGTAGGAGCCGAGAAACGTACGATTATCCACTTGTTGCAGTGCGACTTGGGCGTCATGTGGCAGACTTTGTTGTGCCTCGGTCGAAAGCATGAAGGTTTCCGGTTTTTGGGGCGGTGCCATCGGGGCACCTGGTTGCGGATACATTATGTCCGGCGCACTGTATATAGCTGGCTCCAAGGTTAGCGGGAAGTGACCGGATTGATAACGCACGCGCAAACAAAGAGTTAAGCTTGAGCCCAATCAAAGGAAGCTCCTGCAACTCTCTGAGACACTGCGAGACCTGGAGACTCACCAGATAAATGATTCGGGAACACAAGATCGGAGAGACGAGGATCAAAGCAGAAAAATGAATTCCGAGTACAGAATCGGATACAGTGTTTTAAGCGGAGCAGAGAGGAACCAGCCTCTAAGGATGAAAATAAAGAGAGATTGTCAGAGATTGAACTGGACCAGCCGGTTAAAGACCTCTATGAATATTCGCGCGCAGCGGAAACGAAAGTGAAGAAGAAGTGTCAGATGTGTGAAGAAGAAGGGGGGGAAGAAGAACGTCAGTCTAATAATATAATTCTGGGAATGAAGCGCCCTGCTGAGAGGGTTAGGGTGACCGGTCATGGACTAGTATGTCATTTTGGTTATTTTGGTTATTTTGGTTATTTTGGTTATTTTGGTTATTTTGGTTATTTTGGAAATGTTGTTAGTCACAGTGGAGGTTCTTGTCGGACCGGAGGTAATTAGTGGTAATTTACTACCCGTACTGTGTACTTCATGGGTCAGGTACCAGATCGAACAAGGTACGGAATACTACACCGTAAACCAAGAACTTGGTGGCATCAACTTTAGATCTCTCCCTCTCTGTCTCTCTGTGTCTCGCTTTGTGCTTGGTTGCACATTTCCTACAGAGTTCAAGAGAATCCCATTGTCTCTCGGATCTAGGATTCTTCTTGATCTCCAACTCATGATTCGTCCTTCCCGCTGGTGACCGGACTGCATAACGCTCAAATGATAATCATATCACCTACCCCTTTTAGAAGCCCCATTGCTTCTGGACAGGGATTCGGCTTGAAGTCCAACGGGGAGTGGATTCCAAGCCAAGCCTCATCAAACTGGCGCTGGGACCTGAAGCACCCGCCTTCTCGTTTCAGAGTCTCAGTGGGCGCTTACATGCAGCCACTGAAACCGTCCCACTTTACGATTCTCTTTTCTTCCCCCTGATATTTTCTCCGAAATCAACGGCTGTGGCTTTGAGATCGTCTCGCCGGCATTTCCGACTCATCTCTTGGACAGTAGACAGATCAAATGGAACATATCTGAATGATAACAGTTCGATACATCACTCCTGGGAGTGACGGATGACGCTAACGGGCGCAAAAACCAGCCCATCCGATATTTGTGCTTTTACTGGAATTTCGGTCCACTTTCATCTTTTCAACAAGTCGGAGTGGACTGAAAGTCCAGACCACATGCCGGCACAACGTTCCCACGAGAGGCTGGGGGGACGACAGGGCAAAATCCGAGACTTGGCATTGGCTTAAGCTGCCATCATGTGTTAAGTGGAGAAAGCTCCGATTATCATTCTCGTATCCATTCTCGTATGGATCTCATCTACGGACTCCGGAGTCAGATTTTTTTTTTTTCTGAAATGAGATCATGAATCATGAATCTTCCCCCGAATCACTCCGAGATGTGCGATGGACGAGTAACTTCCTATCATCCATTCCAATGCACAGTGACGGTATAGTTTAATGATGCTACTCTGAGCTTCCCCAAGCAGATCAATTGTCGCAAGATGTCTCATTCTCTAACAAAAGCTTCAAACTGATCACGATAAAGTTCATCTAGCTTGCCCCAGAACGCCTCCGGTCAAGCATCAGATTCAACAAAACCCAAGCCCGAGAGGGTATTTTTAGGGATGGAGAACAATGACCAAGTTTTCGCGGAGCCCTACCCGATTGAGCCTTGATCAATGCTTCATCAGACCTATTGGCATGGATATTCTTCAGTATAGACTCCAGCAGGAAGTTTCAACCATGACCAGGGTTGCCCGTGTACCCGAAAACGAGCGCAAAATCTCACCAGATACGACCGACTAATCCTGAAAGAGCAGACCACTTTGCTCATCGGCCCATTGCACAGGACATCCTGCGATGCAAGCACGTTTGATCGTCCATCCTGAAACGATCTAGAAGTTCGCCGTGTTAGCCCTTTTGAGAAACGTGGGGACGTTGCTCTTTAGTTTTACGCCTAGGTTGAACTTTTGGCATTCCTGCAGCGAGCCTCATACGGTAAACAAGGGTGACGGTCAGTTCTACATACTGTATCGAGGAAGAGGGTCAAAAAAGTATCTTTTCGGTTCCCCTATTATGGGATCGGGACTACTTCGGCAATTATGACTTTGTATCATCTATGCAATATAGTGAGCCGCAGCTCAACCTTGGAACGCCGTTAAGACCTATTTGTCATTCCCATTTTTTGGATTTGCTAAAGTTCCTGGTAAAAGGGGGTATGATCCTCCCGGGAGATCCCAAGCTATAGCCATTTAACCCGACAGCGTTTTTTTATTTTGCAGAACGTGGAGCTCAACTGTAAAAAGGGGGGAACTTTGGTTCGAGCTAGTGACGCCCTGCCCGTTCTAAACCGCAATCTGGAATATCTCCGATGCTGATTATTATTATTTTGTTTATTTTTTTATGGAGCTTACTATCCATTTCCCCTGGATCCAAACTATATACGAGTGATTCTTTTACAATTGAGTTCCACTAGTTTTAGGGCCCCTCAGAGTTGTTGTCGGGCGAACAATGCCGATGTACTATTGTGAAAGATCGGTCTTGTGTGTTTCGAATCCACTCGGTTTTTATGATCCTGTTCATGCAGGGGCTTGGAATGGTGAGAATGACGTCCAAGCCTTCGATTTGCTTCTATGCTTAGAATATCCGAAACGCAGGGTTCCAAGTTTCATAACTGAGAGTCTCTAGGAACCCGCGCTCTTCCGTGGAGAAGGGTTTATATCGGCAATGTGCTGAAACGAGGCAGCACGAGTAAGTTGAAGCCGAGTTGGACACGCATACAGAGTAGTATCGAGCGAAGATCTCTTCGGAATGAGAGGACATGCATCCGCCGGCATTTGATGGCCACTTCGCAGGGTGCAATCTAGTCCTCAAACGGAGTCGACAGTTTTGCTTCTCTTTTCCACCATCGCCTCTTTCATGAATGGACTTCTTGCTCGGATATCTTTGCCCCAGATAAGCACCAAGATTGGCGCAAAAGATAGAACTAACGCAATCAACGCTAATAAAGTACTGGCCCACCGAGGGCCCAGGTGGGAGTACATGCTCATTGTAGCTAGAGGCAAAAATGCTGCCAGCGTATTCTCACCGGTGGCAATGATACCGATGGCACTGCCGGCGTATTTTGCATACGCATCCACAACATAATCCGATATTCCCGTGACCACAATCACGCTCCCAGCCCCGACCATGGCGAGGCCGATGGCCGGTGCGATCCACGGAAAATATGGATACGAGGTCCAGGCGTATGTGAACATACCGCCAGATATTCCAGTGACTCCACCAACGATGGCAAGGTACAGTCGAGCCTCCGGGATAGGGGTACCAGGGATTTCGGTGTTTAGAGAAGCCGAGTCGAAGTATAGCTTCCCAGAGAACAAGGTGGCTACCCATCCCAGGCATTCTCCGATGACAATTGCTGATTGGACGTACCCGGCTTGTGATGGATTCCAGCCATATAGCTCGGCGAATACTTGCTCCACTGATTGAGTGAAGAGATAGAGCGTACCCACCGTGAACGCAGACCACAGCGTTGAGACGAATACCACAGACTCGGTGAAGAACAGGAAGAGGGGTCTGCTAGCGCTGCGACCCATGATTTGCAGCATGGACTGATCCCGTGTGTCTATCTCATGCTGGGTGAAGGCGTTCTTACCCTCTTTGCGCAGAGCCTTTGCTCGTTGTCCCAGGATGGCGATTCCGCGACACTCCTTGAACAAGAAAAAATACATCGGAAAGAAGGCGCCATACCAAATGAGTTGCATGTACCCAATCCACCGCCACGAGAGGGCTTGGTAAATCGCCGCACCGATGACAGGCCCAATGCTGCTCCCCGCCAAATAGGTAACGATGTAAAGACTGACGGGGACATTGCGAGATCTCTCGGTATCCCAGAGGTTCCCAATCACCGTGGCAGAGGTATTGGCGAGGATTGACACGCACCCTCCGGCGAAGAACCTTGTCACGACCAGGGTGGCAAAGTTCTGGGCAACTGCCTGTGGCACAACAAAGCAAACGAAGATTAGATATGTGCCCAGGAAGACCCATCGCACGCCAAAGTCTTCCATCAAGGGAAGCACGAGTAATGAGCAGCAAGCCCCGCCGACCGCCCAAGACGTAACGGGCCAGTAGGAATGAGGGAAGTTGACATCGGAGATGTTGAATTGCTCATTGATAGCCTCGTGGGCTACTGTGATGATGGTGCCATTCATCATCGTGATGAAGGTGGTGAAGACTGCCAACGCTGTCAGGATCCATTTCTGTTGCAGTGACCAATTGTATGGGTTTCCAGGGTCCTCGGCGCCCTCCCATTCGACAATTGTGACATTCTTGCTGTGATCTAGATGATCTGGGCGTTGGTTAATATCGTGATCTCCCCAGAGATGGTGTGCAGTTCTCACTTATTGTCTGGTCATCATGACCGGAGACATCACCCCGGGCGAATACCATCCCCGCACCAATTACCGAGGTCTTGTGTCCACAGGATCCCGGCGTACCGGGAGTGTATCGGGAGTTGAAGTTGAGCTCGGCGACAGATGCGATCTCAACTTTAGAAGTGTAAAGGATTGTAACATTTTAGAAGAAGATCGAGCCTAAGCCCTGAAGCCAAAGAGAGAAAAGTTTTGAAGTTCGAAAGTTCTCCAGACAATGACCGTATTGGGACTAGTCCGGATCTCCCCAAACGTGGGTCGATGTCGATTTCGTGATTTTGTTCTTCTTGTTGGTGCAATTGGCCATTGGAAGCTGCTAAATCTGCTGAAGCTGCTGGAGTGTGGAGATATTCTCCGAAGCCAAGACAATGCTTCTTTGTCCTTAATCCGCCTGGGCACGAACCTCGCTAGCCCGTTCCATGGCGTCATTCCAAGGTTGACGATACCCAGGTGAGAGGGTATGGACATTTGCATATTCTCGTGTTTTCTTTGGGTTTGTGGTGGTTCAAATCCACATTCAGGGCTTCAAAGCTGCAATGCGACTGTGTTGCGGTGATCTCCAAGGCCACGCTGAAGAGACTACGGGGTGTGGGGGTCCTGTATATATATCTGCGAACAAAAGTGGCGCCCACGGGTTCTAAAGTTTGGAGCGCATTTGAACCAATTCAACACAGAGCATCAATCGCAACTGACCATTTCAGTCTTGCCTTGAAACAACGCTCAGGAAGAACCTGGGTAGTCCTGAAGTCGTTCCGACCGAGCTCAATTCCCGCGCGGAAGGGTCGGGATAGATGTTATTAGGAAACCAAGGCAGACACGATCGGAATCAACCAAAACAAAACTTAAGAAGCTCGGCAGACTTCATCATACAGAGAACATGAGATGATCATATCATGCCCGATATGCACAGCATGGACGAATACGAGGAATTTCAACGTGTCACAGCCACTTCCGCTTTGGGATGCATGTTGCGCTCTCCCGAGATCGTTTGGGGGCCAAAACAAAGTTGCGCCAAGAGCAACCACATCGAGTCAAAATTTGATCCGCCATGATAGGTTCCTCCAAGGCTCACCAAGGCTCAGCTCTACCAGGGTAGGGCTGGATCGCCGTTTGCCTCTTATTATAGCAACTCACCGCGCTCCCCCACAGCGCCGCAAAGACCCGTACAGGGCATGGTTGGCACCTTGGCCTACGTATGTTCGTTGCTGTACAGTGTTGAAGTCCTGGAATGACAGCCCACAGCCTCGATGCATCTGGTTATAAAAGATCAAATCATCCCCGGCCAAATGAGGGAACCAATTCAAACACATCAGTTCAAACAGCATCTCATCACACACCCTCGCAATGCTTTGGGAAAAAACCTTGATCGGGTCCTTGTTAGGTCTCGCAGCCACTTCTGCAGCACGTATCGTGGCAACAGATGAAGTCCCGCTCATCGGTCCAGCCTTCCTAACCAACTTTGATCCTTCCAATTCCACTTCAATTGCCCACGCCAAGTCGAAGTTTCCGGGTCTCGTCGACGGCCTCTTCTCGTCCGGCGAGCTCAACAAGACAGATCTGACATTCAACATTGACATATTCTCGGCTGCAACAAATCGCTCTATCTATAACTACTCACACGTTGGGGAGGATGCGAAAAAGGCTCTCACGACTGGGTCGTTTGATGACCAGACAATCTCGCGGGTTGGAAGCGTTTCAAAGCTTTACACTGCTTATGCAATCATTGCCAAAGCAGGCATAGAAGTGTTCAGTCATCCAGTGACGAAGTACCTCCCCGAGCTTGCCAGCAACTCATCCAGCAGTCCATTGAAGAAGATTCGCTGGGAGGAAATCACTGTTGGCGCGCTGGCATCTCATCAGGCTGGCTCTGGCGGTGGCGCAGGTCTGTACTTTCCCCCAACCTAGCGACATATCACTGACTGTTCCCAGATTTCCTGCTCAAGTACGCCAACCCTGAAGACCCAGCTGATTACAAAACCGAAGGTGTTTTAACCCAGACCCCCAGCCGGGATATCACTGACGGTTGACATAGATCTCTTCACCTTCTTCCGCGATGAGAAAGCTCCCGTGATTGCTCCATGGCGGAATGCTCTCTATTCAGATGGTGGCTATACCATCTTGGGACAAGTACTTGCGCGTCTTGCGGGAAAAAAGACCATCGCAGAGGCCATGCAAGAGATCTTGTTTGATCCCCTAGGCATGGATAGCACGTCAACAAAGGCACCGAAGGGCGCAGACCTCAACGTCGCCGATCGCTCCACCATTGACAAAAAGTCCGCATGGGGCTTTGATGCCCAGATTGTAGCATCGTACGTGAGCCTCAAATTCTCTATTCTCCACTTTATCCAACCGAGAACCATGCACTAACTGCAGACAGGAGTGGCGGCGTTTACACCAACGCTGCCGACCTTCGCACCATGGGCCTTGCTATTCTAAACTCCGAGATCCTCACTCAGGCTACAACATCCGAATGGATGAAACCCCGCAGTGGAACAGGCAGCTTGGTTGAGCTTGTCGGCGCACCATGGGAAATCTCACGCCTGGAGATCCCCGTAACCCCAGGCTCCAACCGCACCCGCATCTCAGATCTCTACACCAAAGCTGGCGGAAACGGCGACTACACTGCAATCCTTGGACTGTCACCCGACCACGGCATCGGCTTTTCCATCTTGATCGCCGGTTCCACAGCCACGCCAGCCCGTTGGCCACTACGCCGCATCCTTGGCGAAACATTCATCCCTGCCGCAGAAATCGCAGTGGCTGAGAATGCCAAGCGCAACCTTGCCGGCACCTTTGTGGACAAGCGCACGCCGAACACGAACCTCACCTTGACTGTTGACAAAGGCCGTCCTGGTCTTGGCCTTAAATCAGTGTGGGTCAACGGCACCAGCTACAGCGCCCCACACCAGCGGCTCTACCCAGCAGGTCTGAGCTCCATTTCCACGTCTCTCTCTTCCTTGTATAGGACGAAGGGTACTTTAAGCCTTGCACACCGCGCCGCAGCACCAGAGCCACCTATGAAGCCCCGTGCTGCCGTTGAAGGTGGCCAGGGTGGTTTGTTCGATAATTCTTTCACCTGGATGAACCTTGACTTTGCAGGTCCATATGATGAGTTTATCCTTGACTTGGTCGATGGAAGACTCGTCAGCGTTCAGTTCCCGATAACCGGAGCTGTCTTTAAACGGGTTCATTAAGTTGACTCGACCCAAGCGCGTTGATCATCTTGGCACATCTGAACATAGACTATCTGATATTATTTTATTACTCTAGTGCATTTCAATTGTTTTTCTATCGAGTGAATTGGCATCATAGTAAGAAGTTATCCTAGCTAATGTGTGTTGCCACCCCTAGCAATCAGAGTCCCTGGGCCCAAGTCAAGTTGGAACTGATCGACAGTTTGCCTTGTACAACCCCAGTATTTGCGACCAGGAATGGCTCACAAGACAACCGTCAAGAGCCGACATCTAAAGGAACTGACGTTGATTTGTTTCAAATCCAGAATGCTGCCTCTGATAGGTGGCCAAATGAAAGTGTTTATATCATACGTTTGCCACCAACTTATGACGAAGGGTCGGGTCCCCGCATCACATAAACCCAACACTTCGACAACTATAAAGATTCCTACCTTCTCACAACATAAAATAAAAACCATCGCAATAACTCCAACATGGTCACCACAACTATCGATCACAACCCCCTGGACCCGAACTTCGCCAAGCGTCGCAGCTCCCTCGGACACATCGACGAGCCGCAAAAAGTCCACCACGATGTCAAGGAACTAACAGATCGAAATGTCGCCCCGTATGATCTACCCCATATCCAGGCGCAGCTTTACATATAATTAACCCATACTCAATAGATCACCCCATGCCATGTGCGCCGAGCTTGCACACCAGCACGCCCTCGACGATCTTCACAAGAATACTGAGCATTGGGCGAATCAGGAGGTGGATCAGGGTATGTTCCTCAACTCGAACATTCAAAAAACTGGGACCATGAACTCGGGCTAACAATGAGAAGTTCACTTCCAATCCGATCTAAGTGCCGACCGTGGCCTTCAGGCGCATCCCGAAACGCTGGGAGAGTGAAGCACCTGCGCCAATTGAAGAGTCATGCCGCAAGTAGACTGCGCAGCGCTGTACCTATGATCGAGACCCTGTTTGATGAGCAATAACGTGTAAAATAAGAAATGGACAATATTTTGTAACTATGAGTTTTGACCATTGATGTCATAATGATGGCCCGCATTGTAGTAAATTCGATACAAAAGCAACTAATAGGACCTACTGCCGTAATCCCAGCTCATATCTTTAAAAATCATGACTGGAACACCTTCTTCCCCCGGTACCAAGTCTGACACACCTTCGTACCAAGTAATTTCTCCGGAGTCCACTGCACATCCACAACCAAGAAATCCGCATCAAGCCCCTTCTTCAAACTCCCCGTCCACCCATCCGCAAATCTCGCATAAGCAGCCCCAGAAGTAGCAGCCGTAGCCGCCTGAGCCAAAGTCAACGCAAACTGCGAATTAACAGTATTCTCACTCTCAACTTCCAGCGCCGACCGCCTCGTCGTCGCATTATAAAGATTCGGAAACGGCATATGCGGGGCCGTCGGCGCATCCGTGCCAATGGCAATCGGAGCACCTCCATCCAGGAACTCCTTATATGCGAACGCGCGCTTGCAGCGCTCCTGGCCGACCAGGCCAGGCCAGGCCTTGAAGAGGGCTGGATCAGAGTGAACGGGCTGGATTGAGGCGGTGATGCCTAGTTGTCCTAGACGTCTTGCGTCTTCCGAGGTGGTCATTTCTAGATGTTCGATTCTGTGTCTTCGGCCTGGTGTGCCTACTCGGGAGAGAACGTTGATTGCTTGATTTATTGCTTTATCGCCGATTGCGTGGATGGCGCATTGGATGCCTGCCTGGTCGGCGTGGTGGACGACTTCTTGGAGCATGGACTCTGGCCAGATTGGGTCGACGGGGTCGGATTGGCCGGTGTAGGGTTGGAGGAGGGCGGCGGTACATCCGTCCACGACACCGTCGCAGATGAGCTTGATGCCGAGGATGGAGAAGTTGGGCTCGGTGCATTGGTGGTGGAGTTCGATTGCTCGGTCAACGTATTTCATGTTGGTTTTTTGGTCTGTGGAGAAGGGGACCAGCCAGTGGACGCCGATGTGGAATGGGATGGGGTGGGAGCGACGGTAGAGGTTTAGGATTTCCCAGGTGCCTTCGTCCATGGCCATGTCGACTAGCCCGGTATACCCGGCGGCAGTGTATGTGGAGACTGCGGTGTCCAGAGCACTCAGCTTGTCTTCTGTAGATGTGACACTCTCTAGATATGGCCATGCGAGGTTCATAACTGCGGACTCATCAAGGAGACCCGTTGCCCGTCCATTTTCATCGCGTTGAATAGTGCCGCCGGGAAGGTCCGGTGCAGTGTGGACCTTCATTTCATCGAGAGCAGCCGAACTACACCACATCGAATGGAGATCAAACGAGTCCACGAAGATCGGACGCGGGTCAATCCCATCCAACATACTGGCCAAGGCGACTCCATTAGTGGTTGATTGAATCCAACCCCGGCAAAGAATGCGAGGGATAGATGGGTGTGCCTCGGCGTATGCCTTGATGGTTTCGCGGATCTGATCCAGAGAGGTACAACTTATGAGGTTGGCCTTGCGCAGGGACTGGCCATAGTGTAAAATATGCACATGGGCATCAATGAAACCCGGAATGACGGTGCGGTTTTCCAAGTCGATGACGTTTGCTCCTTCTGGAATTGTGATACCCTCTAGAGAGCCAACATGGGAGATTTTATCATTTTCAATAATCATTCCCTCGGTGAAGTCTTGGCCATCGCCCACTGCAGCGTGCGGCGCGAAGATGCGTCCATTTTTGAAAACCGATGTCATTGTGCTTGTTGCATGTGTTTCGCATCAGCGCAAGGGAGTTAGACTCATTTATACCTTGGACAGAAACCGAATCATCCGAGACCCCAGAGTCTCCAAGAGTTTCCTTTTCAGAACATAAGGCGATGGAGATGTGGTCAAGCGATGCAACACAACCGGCCATAAAACGGGATGCTGATTGGCTGGGGATGGGTGGAACCGGGCTGAATGGGGCCGCGCAATTTGACGCCATTGGCTGGATTCTCTGCGCCTCTAAGGCTTCGCGATGGTCTATCAGACATATAAGCGAGATCTAGAGGCTTCATCGGAATTGATAAAAGGTGCAAATGCAGATCGCCAACAGGCAGCAGTCCATGGATCATCAAATCAAAATTTCAGTCCATTCTGCCATCGTGTGGGATTTACTCTTCGATGTACTTGGACATACTCCTGGCCCGAAAGGGACCAACCCCAGGAATGCAAGGGCCCGGGTGATTGGTCGGCAATTGTGTGGGACTTGGAGCACCCGCGATTGGAGTCTTTTAAACACTGCAGATAGGGGGGGCATTTAGGTAACTCCATTACCCCGACATACTCTCTTTAGTACCAATAAAGTCATTTCCCCCGCATTTCAGATCAACTGAAGATGATAAGCTCAGATTTTTCAACAAGTTTGATTGGATGTTGCCTGAAACTTCCTCTTCAAGACAACGCGTATTTGCTTGCCTCCACAACCTATCGATGTGAATGGCTGCAGTATGATGAGACCGAGATAAGGCCCCTTGGCAGATCATTGATACTAGCATATCTCTATCTATAATTAAGTATAATATAACGAGTCCGGTGCCAGCTTTGAGGAGACACGAGCCAAAATTATATACCAATTCTATCAATCACTTTCTCCAGAGTTTGACTCAACCCTCCGTCCATCCCAGCACTTTTCCATCTCAATGCCATCCAGCCCTGTACCAACAGATCCGGCCTGGCCACCAGGAACGGTCCGGATAGAAGGCACAGTTTCTATCCCTGAGCAGAAGCCGAAGCAAGAGTGCAAATACTAACATAAAACAGATTTCTCACAGCCAGGAGATTCGGAGGTCGTTCTCCATCCGAAGCCTACACAAGATCCCAATGATCCGTTGGTGAGAAGCCTCATCAGAATACCCGGAATCACCGATTGAGCTGACGCTACCCCAGAACTGGCCATTATGGCGCAAGAATTTGAACTTCGCACTTGTATCTTACTACGTCGTGATGGTTCTCGCGCTGTGAGTTACTATTTACCGCCTTTCTCATGGCTCAGTGTTAACAATAGTGCAGCATCGACGTCGCAACAGTGACCTGGGGCCCACTCAATTTAGAGCTAGGATTCAGCTACGCCTTGTTGACTGATAGTTATGCTGCAGGCTGTGGATCTCTCTGCATTGGAGGTCTCTTCTTAGTCCCCTTCGCCCTGAAATACGGCCGCCGACCCATCTATGTCTTCAGCACCGCCATACAATGTGGAATCAGCGTGTGGTCTGCGAAAATGCAGACAGTCACCGACCTAATGCTGGTCAACGTGCTGAGCTGCATCGTCGGAGCCCTAGCAGAAGTTCTGGTACAAATGACTGTTGCAGACGTCTACTTTGTGCACCAACGTGGTCTCACCAATACAATCTACTTCTGGTTCATGACCATCGGAGTGACCTTGGCACCTTTGGCTGGCGGCTTCATCACACAATCTCAGGGATGGCGTTGGGTCTGGTGGTGGATGGCGATACTGTTCGGTGCAGGGCTTGTCGTGTTCATCTTTCTATACGAGGAGACCATGTTTGATGCGTCCCCAATCAATGGTGTTCCCGTCGCCGATAAGCTGGACTCAAATCCACCCAACAAAGAGGATCTCGAAATGTCTGCGCTTGATAATTCGGACATCAAGACACCGGAAGAGACCCAGCTAGCAAGGGAATTACCCCTTGATCATTCGATCCCCGCAAAAACATACTGGCAGAAGCTCGCGCTGTGGACGAACTCCCCTGTCCCCTTTTCAGAGGTAGCGAAACACTGCTACCAGCCTTTTCTAATCCTCTTCCGAATCCCAGGCGTCTTCTTCATGGCCCTGGTGTATGGCGTCATGACAGCCTGCACAACCGTACCAGTGACAACACTCTCATCAGTAATGACATTGCCACCCTACAACTTCGGCGCGTCCCAAATCGGATTAATGGGAGTGCCCCCATTCATCGGGACAACACTGGGAGCCGTGATCTGTGGACCGCTGAGTGATTTGATAGCCCTTTCACTTGCGAAACGAAACAACGGCATTTTCGAGCCTGAGATGCGACTCTGGCTGGCGATTGCTTTTACGCCTTTGGTTCCGGCTGGTCTTTTCATGTTTGGTATTGGTTTGAATAATGGTACGCATTGGCTTTTGCCTGCGTTTGGACTAGGTGTTAGCTCTGTGGGAGTTGTTCCTGCAAGTAGCGCTGCATTGACTTACCTGACTGATTCTTATACGGATGTGAGTTGCTTGATGTCTGAATTCATTGCAGTGTCCATTTCTAATGCTACTTCTCGGTTAGATCATTGCCGATTCGGTCGTGGGAGTCACGTTCATTCGAAATCTGATCTCTACGATTTTCATATTTGCCCTTCAACCGTGGTGTGATAGTGTGGGACTCGCATGGTTCTATGTCACGTTTGGGTTGATCTCCACCGTTGTTCTTTTGGGGAATTTGATCTTCATTTACTATGGGAAAACTCTCCGGGCAAAGCTAGCGGACACCTATCATCACTATAGCCAGAAGCAGTTGATATCTCGGCCGACCTAAGGGCTACGGGAGTTTGCAGGTGCCACTGAATTTTTACCAATTTGACCACAATTAACATTTTCCGTTTTTCTCGCCGATTCTTGAATATTGTAAATTAGGTACCAACCCATATCTGTAGTTCCGTACATCTTTAACTAATCATTCAGCCATGGATCCTGAAGTAGCTCCTTCGCTGTCTTCCTATCCTCAGGTCGCCACCGAAGCATCCCTCTCATGAAAGCCATAAACATCTCCTTGTTTTTTCCGTCGAGTATGTTTTCCGTCAGCTCCAGACCAGCCCCCGTCGGGATTTGTATGTTTTGTTTCCATTTCCCTGTGAGGATCTCTTAGCCTTTGCCAAGTAAACTATTGAGCAAAATAATACTTACCATCGCTTGTAAAAAATTCATGGCTTCGTTTCCCACGTTGCAGCAGATCTAAGGGAGGCGGCCCTAGAACCCCCATAACTTCTGCAAGATGCGCCCGGGTCGAATAACCTTTCCCATCTGGGTCATTCCCATAGAAAAGACGTCTCCCCTCAAATAAATCCCACACCTTTTATTCCGCAATGGTTAGTATTGATGATGGGAGAGAGGAGTAAACTTTAGAATAGGCAGATCATACCATAGCACCAACATTCCATATATCAACCGGGTAGCTCCAATCAGTCTTCAGCATCACTTCCGGCGATCGGTAAATATTCGGCTGTGCATCGTGGTCTCTTCTTTCCTCTCCTTGTACAGCAGATCCAAAATCACTCAAAACTGCTCGGCCAAATACTTTCGGCAAGTCGAAAGATCGCGACGCGTAGATTGGTAAACCATCAATGATTTTGCGGGGTGAAGGGTTGTTCAATTCAGCTTGGGTGAAGTTTTCGAGGATGGACTCATCTTCGATTTCTTGGAGAATATTATCGCTTTTGTAAAGCTTTCCTGAAATCGGGTGCAAGTGCGATTTTACCTGTATGGACAAGCTTGCATTCAGTATGCAGATAGTCAAGCGCAAGAAGTATTTGCATAAGACCAGCTTCTAAAAGATCTTCAGTAAATCGATGACTGGGGTTACGATAAAGGAGATCCCCGAAGCTTTCCCAAGTAGGTATTTGAACAAGACACGCATGGCTACCCTTTAAAGAGGAGACTGTGAAGACATCAAGTGCTTTCCTGACATGACTATGGCCGGGGTGCCATGAACTCCCTTGGCTCAGCTGCTTATAGATCTGAAACTCTTCTTGATTATCTTCATCACGAGTGTAAAGCTTGAGTGAAACATATTGGTGGCCTCTGATTGTTTTAGCGAGTGAATTGAGATGAGTAGATTCGCAATAGCTTACTCGAGATCGCGGGCTAGCCATACGGTCGAAGTTGTCCCAAACCCAAGTTTACCGACAATTTGGTATCTGGAATTAAGCACTTCGCCGATATGGGCAGGATAATATTTTCTGAAATGCTCAAATCGTTCTTCTTCAAGTACATGCGAGGGCGGAATAGTCTTGTACCCACCCCTGGGAAAGATCATGGGAGGGGATGGAGGCTTTCGAAGTGCGTTTGTGGCCCATCTAATGATTTGAGCCATTCTGGACGCGAGGGCATAGGCTGGATATAATGGAGGCAACAAGGATGCACGATAGAGGTATACAGGTGATGTCGGTTTCACTTGACCTACCAATTCGACTGTTGACATCTGGACGGATGACTCATCATCCAATGCTGCCCAGGTGCCCAGGTGCATTGGATTCCTCTAGATTAATTGATAACATGCAGCACATCTAGCTCTATAGATTTTGGAAATACTTCAAATGAATTTACCAAGCCATCAAGGAGTAGGTAGACTTGCAAAATTTCGCTGAATTTCATTTCACAAATTAGGGTACTGATTAAGAAAGAGGAATATCTTAAGGATTTTTCTCCAGGTGAGAGGGTTTGGAGGTTTGGGTATAGTATTAGAATGATACCTCCTCGGGTTATAGTGTGTGTATACTCAAGCAAATACTTAGACTACACTTCCAAGGTTTTAGAAGTCTCTCCAGAGTTCTTCCTTCCCAGTCTGTGCTTTCTATTGCACGCTATACCTAAACCAGTCTGTTATTGCAGATTGGCTAAGGTTTTTTTTCTTCATACAGGGAGCTATTTTCTCTGTGTCTCATCAGTGGCCTCAAGCACGTAACTGCGATGGAAATGTGGGGCTCGGGCCGTGTCCTCGACCTGAGAATTCTCCAAGGTTAAATATGACCTTCAAGGTTGGACCTTGACGAATCGAGCAAATGGCGAATGCAACCTAACAACAGTCCCCAGAAACAAGGCAAAATCAAAAGAGAGGCAGCAACGATAAAATCCAGGAAACTCGCCGTCGACTGATGTCATATGCGGTCAAGGAACCTTGCCGATGCTAGGCAAGGCGCCATATGCACTTGGGGAACTCTTGGCACACTTCATTTCTCGGACTTCTACCCTCGACTCCGGATACTTGGTAGAAGAGTCACTACAGGTCGAAGATGATCTGACCCGGCTTTCGCCAAAATGTCTCAATTAGACCCCTCGAGTGACTTCGAAATTCCCAGGATTGTTGCGGACATCACTGATCGACACTCGGGTTTGGGGGCGACATCATCCTGATTGGCAGCGGTGGAACCAGCGAGCGAGTAGCGTTGTGAGCGCGGTTGGGCCCCGAGCAGAGAGAGCCTCAGCCCTGCAATGATGTTGATGCTCGGTTGTCTCGGCGCACGCATTTGGGGGCGTATTAAAGGACACTGCCTTCCCCCGCATATGGACCTTTTTTATTTTTTCATACTTCAACTTGATCTAGATAATTTATCTCTCTTCAAACCACACCGTCAAAATGCAGTTCAAGTCCCTTGCCGCCGTGCTCTTTGCCAGCATGGCCATCGCTGCCCCTGCCGACAACGACTCCAATGATGGCATCGAGGACATCTCAGTGCCCCCCTCCATCGCTATCGTTCTGGCTACTGCCGTTCCAACCTCATTTTGGGCTGAAGCTACCAACACGGCCAACTTCCTCTCCCAAGTTGAGCAAGGCTTTGCCTCCAACTCTTGGCCCACTTGGTACAGCAGCCTTCCCGACAGCGTGAAGGAATTCGTCACCACTGCCGTCGGAGGTGCTTACCCTTCATTCGCATCATCAATCTCTGCGGAGCTTACTAGCTCCGCTGGAAGTATGAGCTCTTCCTTGTCTAGTGTCACTGGCTCCAGCTCTGGTCCCACCACCACTGGAACCACCACAGTAGTGACCACTACCTCTTCCTCTTCTTCTGCCTCCGCGACCGACTCGGATGCTGCATCATCTTCTGCCTCCGGCTCAGCTTCCGGCCCAGCCTCTGGATCGCCCTCTGGCTCTGCTTCCCCCACCACTGATGACAGTGCCGCTGCCCCCACTGGTGTGGCACTAAGCCTCGCCGGTGCTGCCGGTGTTCTCGGTCTGGCTCTTGCTCTGTAAACAGGTGGAGGGATTCGGAGTTTCCGATAATCTTGACTTGATCTCATTTGTGCACGTCCTTTCATAAGGGCCTTTTGTCTATACACTCACGAACTGATGACTCCAGAGGGTGGTTAATTTTACTATATAATCATGGCTGAATGCAATGTTGTTTATGTTAATTATGTTTTTTCCCCTAAATCACCGTAGAACTACTCTTTCAGCCGTCCGCACCTTTAAACCTCACACAAACGTGGAAGCTATCAAGGGAAGAATGATCGTATGGTTGAAGGGGACGAGACAAGAACCAGACACCCCACGAAGCTAAGCCACAGTGGATCTCAAGGTCTCGGCAGCTCGGGCGCATCCCGCGGGATCCCAACGCGTCATCTTAACAAGTCCCGGGCAGCAAAATTCAGTGCTGGAAGGCCCGAGGATTGTAAAGCCAAAGTGGAGCAATGCTGGGAAAAAGCTCTACTCGAGTACTTTATTGCAACTAGGAGCAGTCAGATTTGAAGCTAAGACCACTGAAAATATCGGTCAGTCATGTCGACAAACGCCAAACGCAAACGCGCGTTGAAGGCATGCATCCCCTGCCACCAGCGCAAACGAAAATGTGATACAGTATATCCGTGTGGTATGTGCACCACTTACGGATATACCTGTAAGTACACCAACCATAGCGGAAGAACCGCCAGCAGTAGCGTATCTGCTCCACCGGCCAAGCAGGTCAACCTTGGCGGCGAGGGCCTGGCGGACGGGACTGCCCCAAGATGCATCCGAGATAGCGGGCGGAACCACCAAGATGAAGTTGTTTCGTCAACAGAGAGTCCCGCCGCTGCGACCGGGGCATCTCCAGGAATCTTCGACGGCCAGAAACTCAGATACTCCGGAGCATCGGCAGCAATGGCATTTCCGCACATCCTGGGTGTGGCTCTCGGTTCTGATAGCCCACCAAAGATGCGGTCGTATGCCTACAATTTTGGCGTTCGCCCGGAAGAGTCCTCGAATCCTCATTGCTTCCTGGGAAATATAATATCAGAGGAAGATCTAGCATCACTCTCTGATACGTACTTCTCGGTATTCGGTCCAGTCGCCGACTTGATTGACCCAAAAATCTATGCCCAGCGATACCATGACTACTATCGTGGTGTGAGCAACGATGGAGTCGCATTTTCCACTCTTGCGGCGGGCGTTGCTGCGCTCGGGTCATTCTTATCCCCAACCAAGCACCCGAAAGAGTCCGAGCTGGTAAAATATGCCAAAGAGGTTCTCGATGACCCAGTCTCTATGCGTTTACATGGAGTTGATCACATCCTCGCATGGGGAATCCGGTTGCTCTATCTACGCGCAACGACACGGCCAAGTAACGCTTGGATTGCGTCTTGCACGGAGATGCACCTCTGCGAAGCCATGGGGTTGCATGAGGAGGACACCCTGAAGAAGATAGCATCACTCGCTAGTGTTCGCGCCTCTGGATATGACGCAGATCGACTGAGGAGAATTTTCTGGTTTTCATGGGCGGGTCACATCATGCTGTCTTACGAATATGATCGATCTCCTGTTGTTTTTCGGCTCATTGATTGCCAGCCCATCGTCGCCGTTCAAGGTTCAATCACCGATCAGTTTGTGAAACTGATTCAGATCATCCCATCGCCTAATTGTCCATTGCAGCCTGATGTGCGCCCTCTAAACCCGATCGAAGAGCTCTTCAAGCGCCTTGAAGCGCTTGATAAATTCAAATCAACTCATCCATTTCTGGCAGTGACAAAGGCAGACATCGCCTTCTGCTTCTATCGACGTCTGTATCGGCTCAAAGCCGGCATACCAGACTATGCAATCAACGCAATCATTCGCAGTGGAAATGAGGCAGTGAAAGCAGCCGAACAGCAAGCCAGTGCGGGTCATTTATTTTGGAACGTCATTGGCAGTGTCTTCCAGTATACATGCATTTTGTTAGCAATCGATACGCCAGCAGCCTCTGCCCACATCAGCTCTGCATTCAAAGGCCTAGAAAATCTTGTCAAGGCCGCCGATACAGGACTTACGCGTGAGGCGCTATCAATGGCGCGACACCTTCTCAGCCTTAACATGGCAAAGAAGCGGAAAGAGCTTGCGCACCTTGAATCTGTCGAGGCGGGCTTTGAATTGATTCAATCACCGCAGATATCTGGACCCGATGTTGCGCCACCAGACATGGAATGGGCTGTGGACTGGGATCAATTTTTTATTGAACCGTATATGACCATGTTCAGCTTCGATGCTTAGTTGTAACATGGAACAAGGTGAGTCAGGGTTAGTTTCGCAGTCAATATTGTGCGGCTGAGCGGCTATTGCGGACTTAATCTCTAATCGCCGCGCCAGCCTATCAGGGACGGCGCTAGTGGATACCTTCGTGCGGCTGCTGCGGCGGAGCCTTGCGGACTTGTCAATCTCCCGCAATCGACATGCGCAAGTGGGCTGAGGTTGTTGTTTTGCAGGCTTTTGGCCCCTGAGGCTAGCATACCCGAGCGAATCAACTCAAACGGCCGAGATGGAGCATCCGAGGATCGTGGGACTCGAGGCTGAACCTCAAATGTATAAATAGGCGAACCTTTGCTTCCCTTGATGTTGCATTCAAACACTTCCAAACGTCTTTCTCTCGATCAAGCTCGCCGACAAACATTCCGTTCAAAGGACACTGTTTTATACATTCACTCTGCCAATCCAACCACCATGACTAGATACGCCAAAGACCAACCCGTTACCTCCGAAAACGCAATCAAGCGCGTGGCCATCGTTGGTGTAAGTAAAGACTGCAACCCATCATATCTCCCGTCAAACTGACACTCCCCGCAGGCCGGTGGTACCGTTGGATCGCATATTGTCGACGCCCTGCTTAAAGCCGGAAGACACACAATCACAGCTCTTTCCCGCGAAGGCAGCGGTAACACGTTCCCCGAGGGAGTGCAAGTCGCCCACGTCAACTACGATGACGAAGTCACTCTTGTTGCTGCCCTGAAAGACCAGCAGTTTCTGATCATCACCATGGCCCCCACAGCGCCCCGCGACACACACAGCAAACTCGTCCAAGCCGCCGCCAAAGCCGGGGTTCCCTATGTCATGCCGAACGAATATTCCGGCGACATCGAGAACGTCAAGCTCGGTCAAGACATGATCCTAGGTCCCGTGGCCCAGGCGCAAAGAGACGAGATTGAAAAGCTCGGTATGAAGTGGATCACTGTCTGCTGTGGCTTTTGGTTCGATTACAGCCTGGGTGGAGGGGAGTCACGCTTCGGATTCGATTTCGACAACCGCTCTCTGACATTCTATGACGATGGAAATACCAAGACCTCGACGTCGACGTTGGCTCAGGTTGGGCGCGCTGTAGCCAAGGTCCTTGGTCTTGATGAGCTGCCCGCTGATGAGAATGATGAGAGGCTTACTCTTTCCTCGTTCTTCAACAAAGGCGTGTACGTGAACAGTTTTGTGGTCAGTCAGAAGGATATGTTTGAGAGTGTCAAGCGTGTCACTGGCACTACTGATGCCGACTGGACGATTACTCATGAGGATACCAAGAAGCGGTACGAGGAGGGTCTGGCGCAGGTGAAAACTGGAAATATGGCTGGCTTCAGCAAACTGCTGTTTGCTCGGGGATTCTTCCCGAATGATGCCAGTGATTTCTCGGCGAAGGCACAGAATGAGCTGCTTGGGTTGCCGGATGAGAACCTGGATGAGTCTACCAAGGTTGGAATCGATCTGGTCAAAAAGCTGCAGCTTCGTCCTGAGCGAATGGCGTCTTAGAATACAACTTGGGAGAATACAACATATAGATTTTAAGGCTTTGTGATAGTGTTCATATTGTTACCATCTCGGCAATACCTTCAAACTGCTCCCATCCGTTTAGGCATTTCTCAATTACCATTCTGGCCTCTTTGGTTAGCAAAAAAAAAAAAAAAAAAAAAATTCGGGAAAACACAAAGGAAAAAAAGTAACGCCCGGAGAGCTGCCCCCCCCTCCCCCTCTCCCCCACATCTCAACCTCCTGCTTCTCTCCCTCC